TCTGAGCTGTCGGCACTGCGGGCACTCGACGCCATTGGTGGGGGACGCAGAGCTGGGCTGTTGTTCAGCGAGGAAGCTGAAGGCGGGCAGAAAGAAGATGTTGCAGGATGACTACCTGAGTCACTGCTTGGATGTGGTGTAGGAGAAGAGGACACTGGTCTCGAAGCAGAGGCAGAGGCAGAGGCAGATGTAGGCGCGGATGCCAATGGTTTAATAGCAGCGGCAGCTATGGACGTCTGGCCCCTGCGGAGGAGCATGGGGTTGCGGTTTCTCAATAACAACCCCAGCCCTCCACGAGATCCGCTCGCAAGACGTGATGCCAAAACTAACGACTGGTGACCCATGACAGGACAACGTGGAGCTAGGGGGGGGGTTGAAGGGGACGTGAAGCTGAAGTGCTTTGGGGTCTGGGCAGACTCGGGTTCGTTTCAGAGGGCAGTGGAGGCCAATCTCTGCATGGGCATCACGAGACGACAAAACGGCCGTGGAAGGGGGAAACAAGTGTGAGGCACAAGCAAAAGGGGGAAGGGGTTTGTAGCCAGGGGCCAGAGGGAAAATGCAAAGAAAGAGAGCTCAAGATTGGCAGACAGAAGAAAAGGTGAAACGTGTAGACAATGGTGCAGTAATACCTGGTAAAGAAGGATTTTGATGAGGTACCGGTACATTTGCGCACAGCGGGCCGGGCACGGACGACGCTGGAGCTGCACGAGGTGTGGAAAAACTGACAAGACAAATAAGGGGACGGCAAACTAGTAAGAGCAAGAGAGACAAGAACAGAAATCACCCCAAAAGAAAAAGGGTGCTGAGCGCGCTCCGTACTTACCGGTGAGGCTTGTTCGCCTGGGGAGACTAGGAACAGGGCGTCTGGTGCTAGTCCTTCCGCGCAGGTGCTAGCAATACACGGAGTCGATTTGACGGAGTCGCAAGCGGGAGCGGCGAAGCGGGCGACGGAGATGAAGGATCGAAGGCAAAGGAGGCTGGCTGTATAGGCGAATGGACGGATGGCTGGACAAGAATGATAGATTCGTTCAGGAACGCAGTTCCCCAGAGGGTTTGGGCGAGTATTTGTATGATGTTCCCTTGGAAACCACTAGAGTCGGATGGCGTTTGTTGTTGGGCCGTCCTGGAGTGAGATATACCGGCCTCTACTCCGTAGCCGGGTCGGGATTGTGTTATTCGAAGCTTGCGCAAAGCCCTAAGGTAGGTAGGTAGTACTCCGCGTAGCACGGGGTCTCTCCGTAGTATCTATCTACTAGCATCTCCAACCGTGTGTGTGCGATGCGCGTTGCGAATAAGCTGGACCGTCTCTGCCTAGCCAATCCGTCCGCCGGATGGACTCTGCGCGTGAGTCCGTCCAACCTTGCCAGCCCTCAGTCCGTTCGTCAAGGCTCCGTGTCGCTCCGGTCTGTGGCAGGGGATGCGCCAACTAGAGTGTTTCTTTCTTCCCCAAGCTGCATTAGCCGGCGCCAGGCCTCCGGGATCCGCAAGGGGTGGAGAGACACGATCACTAGCCTGCTTGCCTGACTGTCTTGCTCTTTTCTGTCTTGTTTGTCGGATGTCTCAAGTTCTTCGCGCTGGTATAAGAAGCAGGGAATGATGCAGATTTTCTAAAGAGAATCTGAAATCAGAGCTGAAGGGATATCAAACCTGGACAAATCTACGTAGGTAGGTGCAAGCGTGGTAGCTGAGATAAGCCATTGAGCAGGAGCTGCTTCCGCTTTCGTCTCTCAACTTCAAAGTGAAGGCGCAGGTCACGGCACTCGTTCCTTCCTGCACAAAAGAACAGGTGCCTCGTGCGGCAACTTCCACACGACCAGGGCCAAAGCTGGCCAATCAGCAGCATTGCCGCAGGTGCCCCACTCATCCTCTTCTTCGAGCATTCTTTTTCGTCCCATTACTTTTCACGAGTACGACGCCGTACCAGTACATGATCTTCCGCATACCGATTTACTATCCACCACTTTTCTTCTTGATCACCTTCAGGTCAGCAGACTAAAGAGCAAAGACAAAGGCGCAGGCAGAACCGAACATGTACGAACAGGGGGCGGCTAAAATCAGCAGCGAGGGCTCATTTCCCAGTCCCGTCTTTCTGCCCAATTGGCCTTGCATCCATCGCTTCTTGTTGGGCTCGGACATCGCGAATCGAGGGCTTGACCGGGCTGGATCCGGACCCGGGCCGGTCGATTTGAAGGAGAGACTCGAGGCCTGCTGAGGCCATCATGAGCGCCGTGTGCTTACGAACCATCTGGGCCGTGATGTTTGGTTTCGCAAAACCGGTTGTACTCCATCCAGCTCCCCTTTCTGCGTCGAGGCGGCCACTCCAGCTGCGCACGATGCTCAGCTCGGCGCTCTTGGTGAGCTGGTAAGCTGATGATTCAACGGATGACGAGCCTTTCAGATTAACTACCATCCATCAGCATCCCGCATCCTAGCAGTGTCACATACCTCACCTATGGCCAGTGGGGCCGACTCTTCTGCGCGTTTGTATCAGCCACCTGCATACATACAATTCTTCTTGTTGCTTCAGCTGATGCTCCTGAATTCTGCAGTTGAGACACATGAAGCATCACCTTTAGCTGCGCGCGCTTCGACGCTCCGACCTCTTCCGAAATCCTCCGCCCACCAGGCCAGGGGTCCCTGCATGCCATTGATGGGCCTTGCCGGAGCCATTGATGGGGCCTGCAATCGGGGCCGGCGGTCCATCGATTGTTCGCATTTGCTTGCGACTACATGCCGCCATCCACGCGCGGAAGCTGTCTAGTGTGCCGTCAGAAGCGACCACTCGACTTTTTCTTCGTCTTGAACGAGAAAAGTTGGATGATTGAAGTATGGACCTGGAATACATACAGTCGTTGCCAAGGAGATATGGAAATTTGTCAGAGGCGAAGCCCGCCTGCCATTCGTTTCCGTGGTCTTACAAAGTACGAGCCTCTCTATATGGCTCTCCTCTGAATGTGCAACACAACGCGCTCGTCACGACCATACAGTAAACCCTCCAGTCTCTGACCCTCTGGGGTTATACATACTACCAAAGGCCCGGTAGGACGGGGCTGCCGATATGAAAAATGGCACCGCCGATGGAGTCTTAGGTAATTCCAATCCTCCAACTCCATACAGGCACCCGTCTGTTGAAACTTGTTTATTGAGCTTGCTTCGATTCTCCCTGACAGCCTCGCACGGCCCCGCTATGGCCTCCGTTTCTTTTTCTTGCCTCTTCATTTTGACCCTCACAGACTTGATATTGAGTCCGTTGCGTATGTGGTCGGGCTGCAACGACCCTGTCTCCTATGTACCTATACTTTGGAGTTTGGGTACTACATGCCTCCCCTGAAGCATCTTGGCCATGTGAGTCTACGAGTTTTAAGCGGAAAGGCTGTTGTGAACTAAACGGCGGCCGGTGGGATTGCGAGTCTGCTGCAGCAATCCTTCTGTGCACCCCATATCATATCTCGTCAAGAGACTGTGCATCGTCTCACTCTACGATTGCCCTACAGCACATTGCGAGGTATCACAGGAGACCTTCTCCCGCACCCTCCGTGGGCAGACACGAAGCTCAAGTTCTGGAGCTGCATCTCAATTGAGTTTTCGTCGTTTTTATGACAGACTCGATCTACGGCCGCAAGCCAACAGCCTCGTTCACGTTAGCCTCGACTAACAAACCACTACCGGGAGTCTTCGGCTGGCCACAATTCGTCCCCCACACTCGACTAACAGTAGTGTCAAGCCCAACAAATGAAACAAGTCAGCAACTTTTGCCGTTCTTACGTTCGATGGACGACATCCTGGAGCGAGGCCGTTCGTTACGGCCTACTACTCCGCTTGCAGTGCTTCTGCATTTCGACTTTGCTCGTCAGTGGCGTTAAGCCATGCCGGCATCGGCCCAGACCTCCTCTCACCAAATCGCTCCTCCAGGGTATGCTGTACACGTACATGCTACTACAAACCCTGTTCCTGTACGGTGGATACGAGATCTCGAGCTTGGGATGGATCATCTTGGCAAACATGCTTCCCCTCAAGATCACAAGCAACACTAATCTTACCTACCTAGGCACAATCACAAGCCAAACCGCGGAATCAGTCAACATGGCTGGCTCTACGGCAACACGCCATCTCCATACTATTAGCAGCACATGGATAATTTTGAGTGACTGACATGCATACATACCTTCTCAACCCACCCTACCTTTTCACCTCGGCAAGCCAGTTGTTGTGCAATATCTTGGCTTTCTCCCCTCTCCGGCCCGCAGAAAACCCGTTGTCCGCCTTCGAGGTCCCTTTGAGCTTTCAACGACAACCCCGCAAACCCCCATACCCGTCGAATCTCTAGATCTGTAACCCGCTTGTCCGGGTCTGGACGGGTCTTTGATATCAGATCATGTCTGCTCATGGGCTATTCCTCGCTAGGGCACGTCTGTCTCGACGGCTCTGGTGACGTATAGAGATCTCGGGACCGTGTCAAGAAGGCTCTCTCCTGTAGTCATTGCTATTGCAAATCATCCCAGTATGCCTTATCTCTCTCTCTCTCTCTCTCTCCCCCTCCGAAAGCATAGATGCTATCATCCTCTGAAGACATCGCGAATTCGCTCTTAATACGAGATGGCCAATCACGAAGCGAAAAACAGTAAAGAGAAGAAGAAAGGAACAATGTTGCGGCTTGGTACCGTGAAGAGCTCTAAATCCTGTGCTGTGTAGTACCTAGCTACTTTAACCCTCCGCGTTCTCGGCGCCATATCCCAAGGGTCGGTAGTAGTAGTAGTAAAACCCACCCCCCTTCCTGTATAGTAGATGGTATCAGTAGTAAGGTAGTTCTTCTTACATTGGTATAGTTCATCAAGTCGTAACCCGCCTCCCCCTTTGTCAGATCCGACTTCTTCCATAAATGATCTGTCTCGGGAACGAAGACAAAGATCAGCTCCCACCACGCCTCCTCTTCCTCCCCCCCCTTCGGGTCCATCAACTCCCTGCCATGGTTCGACATCATCGGGCCCCCACCGTTCACTTCACTTCGGGTCATCCTTGACAGCCTGCAGCATCTTCTGATTGGCCTTATCAATCTTCGCCAGCGCCTTTTCATCCTGAAAACCCCACCACCTCCTCAGCCCCAGCACATACTCAATCTCTTCCTCCGACACCTCGACCGGCGGCCCCTTGATCTGCGGCAGCATCTCCTCGTCGCCCTTTTCAAAGACGGCCCATGCCGAGGCTTCTCCGGCCCTGACCCCGAATCCCCTGCCCTGCATCGAGACCACCTGGACGCGACGCAGCAGCACGACGTCGCCCGCCTGGACCGTCGGCAGGGACGCCTGATGCGGCCGGAAGATGTGCGCGACGTTGACGCTCGTGGGCGCCACTGAGGGGTCGGTCAGATGGAGCTCCAGCATGTAGTCTCGGGGCCCGTGTTTCGGCCGGTGAGGCTGCCTCGGAGTGAGCGTTGCTACGGCTAATACATCGGCCGTCTTGGTCAACGACGTGCGCAGGGATTTGAGCGGCAGACAGTCGGGAAGCTTCGTTCTAAGAGTCCTCAGCAGCTGCAACTTCAGGGTCGCCACATTCCCTCCTTCTTCTGCAACGGAGCTCGCGACAGAGGGTGCCTTGAAGGAGGATGAGGCGGTGGGTTTCCGGGGTGACCTCAGGTTGTGGCCCGCCACAGCTTGCTCTGGCGTAGCGTCACGACGAGAAACTGCTGAGTCTTCGTGGGTTCCGTCCGGCGCATCGTCAGTCTCCGCATGGTCCTCTTGATGCTGTGGTGCTGCTTGATCGTCCTTGCTCAAGCTGGCTGTCGCAAGTTGAACGCTCATATCCGGTTTCTCAGACTTGCGTTGACCAGCTTTGAACGACCTGGTTGGGCTAGCGGGGCTGAGTTCCAAGGGCGTCGAAAAAGTTTGTGCCAGTATGATGCTCGCATCGGAACCCCTGATGCCGCGTCTTGCGCGCAGCGAGGGCGTCACCTCAGCTTGCTTTGGCGATATAGAGTCGCGGGGCGAGGATTTAGCAAGTGCAACGCTGGGGTCACTGTGCTCGGCCTTGTTCCGGGGCGATCGCGGTGAACGCTGAGGGAGCGAGTCGCCATCTCCGAGAAGGCACTGACGATGCGCCATGGTCGGGGAACCCCTCGCTAACAAGACGCTGGGGTCGGTTGACAGGCTATCGACGCTACCACTTGACATTCTCTTAGCACGACAGTGGCTCCGAAGAGATTGCAACCCTATCGACATCTCTGTTCCGCCCCTCCGGGGACTCCGTTCGTGTGAGCAGTGCTCCGTGTGGTGATGGCCGTGATGGTCGTGATGGCTATGATGGCTGTGATGGCTCTGCGGGCTATCTTGTTGAATGTCCTGCTGTTGGCTCTGTGGACTTTGTTGGCTCTCGTCAACTTCCGCAATTGTTTCGGGCAGTTGCAACGAGGTCTGGCCAGCACGATCTGCATCACGGGCGCTCAGGGGGCTGGCATAATGCTGGCTTTCGAAAATGAGCTGCTGCTGGATGGCAAGGTCGTCATCGTCACCGTCGTCTTCTCCTTCCCTCGCATCCTCAAAGTCTTCGTCCGCGTCTTCGTTGGCACCTTCGTCTGCATCCTCGTACTTGTCGACATCCTCATCAACACTCTGGTCGGCCTCGTCCTCTTCCAGTGACACCTCTGGCTGGACCATGTCAACCGAACCGTGATCCTCCCTGTAGTCTTCTTGCTGAGTCTCCAGGGGTGTGGGCAGCTGCTCTGAGGTTTCCAATTGCTCTGTGGCTTCCTGCTCCTCCAGGGTCGGAATGGCCGCAGGCATCCTATGAGATGGCTCTGTCTGGGTATCCGGAGGCGATGACGGTGCGGCCACTTCTGGCTCTTCATCATCTTTCGAGGCCATGTCTGTGACTAGTTGATTGTCCTCCTCTTGCATGAAAGATTCGGCCTCCTCTATGAGCTGGCTTTGCACATCATCCTCCATCTCGACATCTTGTTCGACCGCAGTAACCTCTACCTCTACCTCTACCTCTACCGCCACATCCACGGCAGACGGCTGAACTTCTAGAGGATTTGATGGGAGATCTTGCATTACCAAGTCGTCATTGCCAGTGATGTGTTGTGCTAGGGTCTCAACCGCATCAATGATTCCCATGGGCTCCTCCGGTCCGCGGATAGAGGGCTCCTCAGCGGCTGTAGAGTCCTCAGCCTCGAGTAACTCCGTAGGCTGCTCTCGCTCTTGCACTACTGGTTTCTGTTTAGAGGGCAATGATTCGCCCTTCTCGTCAATGATGATAGATGTCGTTCTGATCAGGGGAGGCTCTGGCGATCGATGCGGCGAGGTATCATGCATCACAACGCTCGGCATTTCTTCCTTGTCGATGGCATTGTCGGCCATGACATCGTCTCGTCTTCGATCCCTGCTTTCTGACGGAGACTTGGCTCTTGGCGGCTCATCCTGAACCTGAGCTGCATCTTCGAATGCAGCAGCATGTTGCTGGTCCTTTCTATCAGCCTTGGGAGACAATATCAGATTCGGATGGTCCATTTCCAAATGAGGCATTTGGTTCGCAGCCGGTTCTTCGTGGTGTTCCATAGAATCGTCAGCTCCATCTACCTGACTTATTCGGCTGGACCTCCGGGAGGATGTGTCGTTTGCCCCCATCCTGGCCTTGGTATCTTCCTCAACATTGAGCTCATCCCCGGCGTCTTCCGAGTTGTCGTCCATATCTTCGTCTTTAGTGTCATCCCTGTGATCATCGATGTCTTCTTCGACGTCTTCATCGATGTATTTGTCGACGTCCTCCGCAAGAGCCTCGTCAACGACTTCATCTTCTTCCCCACTCGACTGGTCACGGATATCATCGTGGTCATATAGCATGCGCTCCTCGCTGGGCTCCTTCTTAGGTTGCGTCGGCTGCGTAAGATGCGTAGTGGTGGGCGCGTTGTCGGCATCGTCTTCATCATCCGACAAAAGGCTGATAAAGACGGGTTCCTTTGGAGGAGCAGGAGCCGGCTTCGGGGCTTGAAAATATGATCTGTGAGTTGGTGGCATCGGTTGCATGGTCTGATGATAGCCATGGGGCTCAAACTCGTCCTCCTCCGATTCTCCTTGAGATCCTGATTCGGCATCAGATCCTTGACTGTCGACTTCATCATCTTCCTCGCCATCTTCGTCGTCGTCGTCGTCATCGTCTTCGTCTTCCTCTAATTCGTCGTCTTCGTCGTCGTATCCAGCATAGCGTTGATCGTCGTCCTCATCCTCGGGGTATCCTTCTCGCCATCGACCAGTGTTCCAGTCATAGTAGCGATGAGGAGCAGATTCATCTCCATCCTCTTCCGATTCCTCTGTGCTGGATTCCTCTTGAGGAGGGCTCGACCGACTTTCCCTGCCAAGGGTAGCAGTCACAGTGGCAGTCTCGGCATCGTCTTCGTAACGTTCGGGAAATTTGTCGCTAGGCTTGACACCGTTCTCTTGCTCGATTGAGGAAGATGGCACCCTCTGCGCCTCTTCCACCCGGACATAGCCATGCATTTCCACGCCGTGATGTGCGGATGATGCCAGTGTGTGAGTTTCATCGGAAGGACTGGCTTGCAGTGTATAAGATGATCGGTCAAAGCTTCCCTGCGGGAAATCAAGAGCGTTGTGGCGTGGTACCGCAGAATACTCCGGTGCCAACGCCTCGGCAGCCCAGGCCAGGCCGTGCAACTGGGCATCGTGAGCCCCAGGCTCTTGTGGGCGAGGGGGAGGCGCTTCAGTCGCCGCGAGGTCGTATGTGGGCTGATGATGTGGAAGTTGACCATCTGCTTCATGTAGCCGTAGGCTAGGGTCTAGATCCATGGGCATGTCGAAACCCGAGTGTGGCACGTGTGCCCTAGACTGATCGAGCGGCTCTGGTTCGTGCGTCAGAGGGTGTGCATCGCGGGTAACCGCAAAGTCGAAGGAGATGGGCGATGGCTCTTGCAGCACGTCGTCCGTGTCCGTACGCTTCCAAGGGTGGGTTGGCGTGGGCTGCAGTAGCACTCCGGTCGACCTGGATTCGGCAATGATTTGAACACCTCTGGTAGGACTGGAGCTCAACTCTCTAGTTTGGCATCCCTGGTCCACCATCACTGGCTGCGGCTGCGGCTGGGAAGCTGGTGGCTCTAAAGCCGCCTCGGCTTGTTTGTCTGTTTGCTCTTCCACCGCGGGCGCCTGGACATCATCGGCCCTGGCTTCAGGTTCGTCCTCCTCTTCGACCGATTCTTCTTGCTCCGCCTCGGGTGTAGGCGATCGACTGGCGTATCTCCAGGCTGTCGGACCCATGCTGAAACGAGGCTTCCGTTTCTTCTTGGTTTTCTTGGCTGACTCCTCTTCGTCAAAAATGTCGAAGCCACCTTCGAACAGCGAGCCGTATGATACCCTTGCCCGCTTGATGAAGGCCGGAGAGGCATACTCCCCAGCTCCCAGCGTCTCGTATGCGTATCTCTTCTGCGGAATCGTAGAGAGCGGCGTCCGCGGCAGGGGAGTCGCAAATAGATTGTGCTCGAGCTCGATCGACGGCGTCGGACTCGGTTCCCGAAGCTGCTCTGGCGACTCTTGGCCTGCCTCGTCGCCTGGGGCATCCACCTCAATCGTGTCGACCTCGTGAGTATCCGCCCGCCGCACCTTGAGCAGCAGACGATTGGAAAACCTCAGCTGCCACTCCAGAATGCCCGGCCGCAACATGGACGCCTGCGTCTCCTCCCACCGGGCGCCGTCCAAGCTCAGGCGCACCTCGTCGCCGCCTCCCAGGCCCGAGCCCGCGAGCGCCTTGCCGGCAGCGCCATCGAACTCGACCCGCAGCTGGCCCTTGTCGCGTCGGTGCAGAGGATCGCGCTCGGCGAGGATGAACGCGACGGACTTGCGGACGATGCTGTACGGCCAGGTCACGGTCACGACTCCCTCGACGACGACCGCGGCCGTGTCCGCTATGGCCGGGCTGAGCTTGGCGATGGGCGTCGCTTCGGTGGTGCGCAGCAGGTCGGGGGGCATCTCGTCCGAGGCCATTGCTGACGGCATTCACGGTGGCGCTTTCACGCGGTCATCAACCTAGAGGCAGTACACAGCGGGAGTGGAGGGGCTCTGCCGCGAACAAGAGATATTCATGTTCAGTAGAAGGACGAGGGAAACAAGAAGAAAAAAGGTCAAACGGAGAAGGGAATTTCAGATGTGCAGCCCAAACGGACAAGATGCGCCTTTGCTGCTTGTACCCCCCCTCTGATGCGTTGTTCGGTTGGTGTGCTGGAGCTCAGGTTGCGATGAGATGCAGCTCACTATTTTTTTTTCTCCGTCGCCTCACTGCGCTGGTCGTCCTTGGCTGCTGCAGCTCGCCCAATCTCTCAGCGACACAAATCTAATGGTTGCAGGGGTGCAGATGCTGGAGCGAGCTCGAGTGAGCCAGTTGGAGCCTGTGATTGAAGCTCTGGAGGAACGCGCCTGAGGGAGAGGACGCTAGTGCTAGGAAGGGAAGGCGGTGTGCAGCTACCTAGCATTACACATACTATTACATGGCCATGCAAGCCCAAACAGGCCATAATAGAAGGTACCTTTACCTTATCGGCACCCAGCAGCAGTTCAAGTCACTCGAACCACAAGTCTCACCTTCATTACCTTACCTTAGCCGCCCGACCTTAAGAGACAATTCATTGGGCCGTGGTGACTGACATCATCCGAGCTCGGCATGTTCTCATGCGACTTATTCAAGACCTGCTGATATAAAAGCCGTAGAGAATATCTCATTGATTCACTGTCTCCATTCCTTGGGCATCACCTTCTAAACACCCCCCTTGTTGATCCTCCAGCAGCATTGCCACTTTAGTACCTATGCTGGAACACCTCAGGGTAGGCATATCCAACACTCCACGGCCTTATATTACACGCATAACCGGCCGCCCTTCTCCCGCGTCATCCCAAGGGGTCGCAACCAATCGCATCACCAATGGGCTCCGTCTGGTCTGGTCCGACGCCTAGCGCTGCAGCCAGCAGCCCGGCCTTGCCAGCTCAGCAGCAGCAGCAGCAGCAGCAGCAGAAGCAGCGCTTCCGCGTCAAGAAAGTCGCCATCGTCGGTGCAGGCCCGGCTGGCTTGGCCGCGGCCAGGTACCTCAGAGCCCAAGGCGCCGTCGACTCCATCACCGTCTTCGAGCAGCAGCGCCAGGTCGGCGGCGTCTGGCTCTACAGCGGCCTCGCGCCCAAGGAGGTGCCCGTGCCGCAGCAGGATCCCTTCTGGGGGCCCGAGCCGGCGATATGGCCTGACGGGGCGGACGCTCCGGTGTTTCCCTCGCCCATGTACGAGAGGCTGCATGCGAACATTCCCGGTTCGCTGATGAGGTTCCACGACAGGGAGTTTCCCAGTGACGCTTGGGCGTTTCCCAAGAGGGAGGAGATTCAGGAGTATCTGGTCCGGTATGCTGAGGATTTGAGGCCACTCATCAAGTTTTGCCACGAGGTGACACGGGTAAGCTTGGAGATCCGGGATGGCAGAGATCAATGGCATGTCGAGGCAAAGTCGACGCTGAATGACGACGAGGTTGTTCGCGAGACGTATGATGCCGTTGTCGTTGCAAATGGGCATTATTCAGTGCCCTACATACCGGCCATTACGAACATTCAAGAGTTCAACAAGGCACATCCCTCCATCATCACTCACTCAAAGCAGTATCGGCGCAACGAGGGCTTCAAGGGGAAGAAAGTCGTCATCGTCGGCAACGGGCCCTCTGGCCTTGACATTGCGTTTCAGGTCAACCAAGTTGCCGACAAGACGCTCTTATCCGTAAGACACGCGACATCCCCAGAGAAGCTTGCCCACATCGGATGCGAAGAGGTCCCCGAAATTGTCGACTTTCTGCCAGACCAGCGAGGCGTTCGCTTCATAGACGGAAGCGTAGAGAGCGAGATAGACCACATCCTTTTCTGCACAGGGTTCTTGTTCGGTTATCCTTTCCTCCAGGATCTCAACCACAAGGTCATCACCTCCGGGCGCGGCGTTCACGGACTGTATCAGCACCTGTTCCTCATCGAGCACCCGACACTTGTTTTCCCCGCGCTCAACATGAAGTCCGTTCCGTGGCCCCTGGCCGAATCGCAAGCTGCGCTCTTCTCGGCTGTATGGGCCAACGAGCTAGAGCTGCCCACGGACGACCAAATGTGGCGTTGGAGCAGAGAGTTGGAGGAGAGGCAAGGCGAAGCACTGCACGTCTATCCAGCGGTGGGAGACGACGGCAAGCATATAAACGAAATGTATGACTGGGTGAAGAAGGCGAAGCATGTCGGCAAGGAGCCGCCGCGATGGGACAAAGAGCTCTTCTGGGAGAGATCCATCTGTTTCGAGGCAAAGATCAAGTTCGAAGAGGATGGGTGCAAGGCCAAGACGCTGGCCGAGCTTGGCTTTCACTATGAGCCTGACGAGGAGGGATTGGATGTAGTATGAGGGACGTAGAGAGGTCAAGGATTTTGAGTACCTCAGACCCGACTCCAGAGACATACAGCATAGAATCTATTGAGCCACAGGATACAATTCTGATAGGAAGCAAAGAATCATGCATTGTGAGATACTGATACAGCAAGCACGGTCTAATCGGAGGAGGGCAATGTATGGCGAAAACCATCAAAAAGGATGATTTCGTAAAAAATCACATTTGCTTATAAGACACACGCTGTTAATAGTCAAATCTCTTTTCGTTCTTTTCATTTCAAAGAGCTCAACCTTCCAGAAGCCGTTACGCCTCGATATGAAACCATGATATAAACCCTCCTCCAAGAAACCCAGTTTTTGACTTGCTGCACACCCAGAAAGTCATTGAATTTAAGCCTGCTTCTTCTGAGACTCCTGAGCGAAGACCTTCGCGTAGGGGTTCAGGCGCAGAAGAACCTGCTTGTTGCGCAGGGGGTTCTTCTTCTGGACGGCGGATCGTCGGGTGACGGCGTCGCCCTTGGGGGCATTGAGGGAGCTCTGGATTTCGGTGCTGTTGATCAGACGAGTAAGGTCGGCCTGGGAAACAACGTTGGAAGGCAGGAGGAAGTCCTTCTTGTGGGCAGAGGGAACGGTGGTGCTGCCGTAGATCTCGTCAAGGGCCTTGAAGGCGGCAGAGGTCCAGATGACGAAGCGGCCGAGGTGACCACCAGGGGCGAGCTGGAGGAGGTTGAGGGCGGAGACGGGGGAGGTCTCGACACCGGGGATGTTGCGGAAGCCCTTGACGAGCTCCTTGCCGTCGACCTCGGGGTTGTAGACAACCAGGGGACCGCGGCGCTGGCGGTGGCGGCGGTTACGGAGCTTGCCCTTGCCGGCACGGAGCTTCTTGGAGCCCTTGACCTTCTCGAGGTCGGCACCGGCGCCAACAGCCTTGAGGAGGGCGAGGGCGGCAGAGGTGCGGGCGACGGAGCTGCCCTCAACGAGAGCAGAGTCGACAACCAGGGGAACCTCGGGGATGGTCATGACCTGGTGACCACGGGCGAGCAGGAGAGGGGCGGAGGCGGAAGCAGCCAGGGCAGAGCAGGTAGCATATCGCCTAGAATTTACCATGTTAGTTTTTCCATGACCCCCTCAAGAGCACCGATATTTCGTCTGGAAAGGAAGTTGACTGACTTCTGGCCCTGGTTGACCTTGACGTGCCACTTGCGCCAGATCTTGGTAGGGGCGAACATGCGACCGGATCGGCACATGTTACCAAAGGCGGCCTGACCAGCACGGTGGGTACCGGAACCAGAGACACGGGGGATACGGGCAACAGCACGACCTAGACGCAAAATCCGGGTCAGTCATGTTTCAATGCGAATCTTGTCCCGTGGTGTTGAGAGGAGCAATTCGACGAGAGTCCGGCCAGGAATGTTCCAAGAAAAGAGAAGAAGAAAATTCTTCACAGCTTCCACCCGTCCTTCCATGTCGAATTGCCCACTCCCAATCCTCCCACGACCGCGCATCGAACTCACCAGTTCCCCAAGACTCAGCAGAGGTCTGGTGACCAGCCTTCTCGCTGACGGCATAAGGCTGGCGCTTGTTCTTGGCCATGCCAGTGTGAACCTGCTTCACGATATCCGGTCGGATAGGGCTGGCGAAGACGGCGGGAATGGTGTGGGTAGCTCCAGAGGGAGCACCATCTTTGCCGATGATGGAGACGGTAGGTCGCGAAGCCATTGTGAAAGGAGGACTGGGACCTGATGAGAGAAAGGATGAAGAGTTAGCAAATCTCTCTCGAGATCAACGAGGCCGGCAGTTCTGTATATCCAGGGCGCAAAACGTACCGTGGTCGTCGGGCAGGTCGAATTTGGCGATGGGGAGTTGGAAAGTTTCAGGACCCGCGATAAAATTCACTGAATTTTCCTTCCACCGATTTGGTGGGCGGAGACCCTAAGTGGTGGGGTACGTACCTTAGCGAGTTGGTTTGGGCTTCACGTGACTGATGGAATCGTTGAACAAGGGCGATTCAGTCTATACCAGATTAGGAATTAGTCTAGAGCAGCCCTGACGAGTCGCAATGTCGTCACAATCTTCAATTTGTTCGTTCAAAGTGCTACCTTATCTATCAAGGATGCGTGTAAGTACATAAGGTAGGTAGAGAGCGTCTTGAATGTACCTATATTATTATATGTATCGTCATCATGTCACGTCGTAACTATAGTATGCTTGCTGCTACTCTATATATATGGCGTCTTCGAAACATAGTCTCGCTATGCATGTTTGGCGGATTCTGTACCCAAAAGTGCAAACTTGTAAACATGTAAAAGGAACACCAAGGGGGAAAAAATCCATCCGCCCATTTTCACTCCCATCTCTTCCACTCTCTGCTCAGCTTATCAATCTGTTCCTCCGCCCGTGTACCACCTCGCTTATCCCTAACCAAGTCGAGAAACTTGGCGTGCAGTTCCCTCTCGACCTTCAATCTCTCTCGAACCTTTGCCTCAAGATACTCGGGATCCTTGTTCCTGCAAGCTCTTCTAAAAACATCCCTCATTCTAGGAGAGTAGAGCTGGCATGTTGCAATGGGAAGTTTTGTGGGCTTCGGATAAAAGTTCTGTGCAATGACATTGTCTTCCATGCGCAGAGGTCGAACTACATCTTCGTAGCACTCCCCGCAGACGGTGAAATCCGGCAAATACTCCATGACATACCAGTATCCATCGCTAACGCGGCGGTCTTCGCGACACTCGTCCAAGGTGCTCAATCGCGTAAGCATCATGGAGAGTTCGCCGAGGTCTGGCTTTCGGTTGGTCACGTAGCCCTTGTCCGAGGTAGTCTCGAACGCGTCGAAGAAGAGCACGAACTGCTTTCTCTGGGGTGTGAAATGCAGAGAGCAAACGTTCCGCGTGGGCTCACTTCGAGGATCGAGGGCAATGAAAACTCCGGTCAGGTTCGGAAACAACGTCTCCACCGTCTTTGCGCACTGGTAGCATACCGCAAACTCAGGGATCGGCCGCCTGGTATAGGGGTCCTTAACGGTGTACCAGACTCGCGTTACCTTTCTATCGACGGGGCATGGATAGTTGCGGGATTCGTACATGACGTTTGCAAGAGAGTGAAATAACTGCAGATCAGGCACTTTGTGCTTCAGCGTAAGCAGCCAGGCAATCCTATACCATGGGGATGAACCGAAATCGCATGCAATCGGGGTGCCCGTTGGCCGCAAGACTGGGTGGAAGTGAGTTCGGAACTGCGTATCTGCAAAGACAGCACCGTAGCAGTCCGGGCAGATGTTAAAGTCCGTCCTGGGAAGCGTGAGCCAGTCCATCTTGCCAGCTACCGGCTCCGTGCGCTTGCATTCTGGTATGATCGGAAGGTCTGATTGCCCGTCACGGCCTTTGGTCTCAGAGTAGCGTCGGTATGACCCAACGGTCAGGTCTGGACGCACTCCAGATTTGCTTGGATCGAATGGAGGCGGCTGCCAAGGTTTCGCCGTCGATGACTCTCTGGGAGTCGATGATCTAACAGATCTGTCATCTGGCGCCACCAGCCCATCGTCGACTCGAGGTATGGCGGGCATCAAGATGGAAGATGAGGCGCTAGACGCCTGAGACTGTCTCACCACGTCCCCTTCTGTCTCTGGCCAAGAAACTATTGCATCATCGTCGTCTGGATAAGGAAGGTTCAGCGTCGGAGGGCTTCGGTTGTCACGGCTCATCGGAAAGGTTGTGGAAAGCCGGCGGTTCGGTACCCAGTCTTCTGGCGGCTCCGGGGCCACGGGCATGGTGGGCATAGTAGGGGCTCTGGACGGAGAGCGGGAATGCGGACCCTTGCCGTCCCCTCGGCGTGACGAGGCAACAGACACTCTGTCGTCGTCGATGATGACGGGTTCTCTTCGATAAGACGCACTGAAAGCTTCATCGCGCGGGGAATTTGAGTCTTTGAACTTTGATGGAGATGGAGCTCTCAGACCTTCGACCGGGGATGGCCTATATGCCGAATAGGATCCGTCCCTCAAGTCATCTCGAGCAGGTCGGCTGCCGTCTAGTGGCCGAGGTCCGTTAACGCGCTCGTTTGCCATAGGCTTCCGGAACGGTTCGAAGCTAGAATTTGGTCGCCCTTCCATCGAGACCGTCGCGCTCCGTCTGTGATACTTGTCGTCATCCCGCCTCTTCTCATCCGCCTCACTCAGGCTGACGCTGCTCTGGGTGGGTGCATGGTAATAAGTCTTGTCCCGGCCACTCGGCCCATGCTGCGTGACCTGCGGTGACAGATACTCTTCGCCATATTTGCGATATGCCTGAGTAAACTCCGGCCGCGGAGCACTTGCAGCAGATTTGCTCCGATGGTGACTCGGCACCCGGTTCTCGTTGACGTCCGTTTCCAGCCGAGGCAACTCTTGCCTACTTCCACGCTTCTCCAGCCTTGGGACCGTGCCATTCAGACGATCGGAATCCACCTTTGCGGGTTCGTTGCTTGTCCGTGTAGGTGCCTCTCGTGGCGGGGACACGGACGCCTTCTTCTTCTCCCTCTTCTTTTCTTTTTCCTGGCGGAGCTTTTCTCTAGATGCGCCATCTTCAGTCACGCTCTCCGAGCTACTTGGCTTGGAGGATCCCGGTACAATAACGAAGCGCCGCTCAAGGTTGTACTCGTGGACCTCTAGCATGAGCGGCTGCTGGTCGATTTCCCCCCTTGACTTAGGCTCTTCCTCCGCCACAAGCTCAACGCGGCCACGGAATTCCTTTGCGAGCGAATCGGCCTCATCTTCGACAGTTGGCGAAGGCAAGGATAAGCGGCGTCGATATGGGATGTCGTCGTAGTATCGAGGCGCGAGACGAGATACCGGCGGCTCAGGGGACTCGGAAGAGCGCATCGCAGAACCGGTCGATGCTCTGTGCAGATTCACGCGGTCAACATCTTCACTCAAACGGGGTCGCAGGCAGCAGTCAGCAGTCAGAGTCAGCCCAATACTCACGAGTAGCCATGCTTCGCCCTGGACGTGGTGAAATACCCCGTCTGGAGCATGTTCTGTATATCGAGGGAATTGCTCATATTGGCCCGTCGCTAGGCGATCAATTCTGGATCTCCTCTCGTGAACAAGACTGTCGCAGGTTCTGTCTGGGTGCCGGAGCAGGGCGTCAATGCGACGCGCCGCAAATGGGACGGCCAGAGGCCAAAATACAGGGACCCGTGGTCGAGCTCGACGATAATAGGCTGTAGAGAATGCAATGCTTTAGCAGAGGCCCGCCGTTTGAGCTCGCAATAACACAGCGAAACGGCCTCTGAAGAGTACTCAGACAGTAATGCTTGTGGTAGATGACAAGGTCAGGATGTTTTTGGCAGAAGAGCCACCAGACGTCAGCGATGCAGGTTGCTGCTCTGCTTTAAGACGATCCGAGGCATCAAATGACATCGTGGTGGGTCTGGGCTGCTATGTATGTACCTGTATGTTCCAAGTCGTTTTCTAGCAGTTGGGCGGCCCGCTGTGAGGGGCCCCGAAGTGCTATAGCCAGCCGCCTGTTTTCCCTGGACTTGTGCCTGTGGTGGCTGTAAAGGCGGCTTGTTGATTACATTGAGTGCCTGACCAGGATCGATTGGCCCTTCCCTTGTTGCCACCCATGCCCAACCCTTGCCCTATTCCAACGCTGAATGCCAACTGGCCGTTGACGTCTTGACGTCGATGCCTCTTGCCTGTGAGTGCGTGAAACTTGCAAGGCTGTGTGTGCATCGGGGACTCGTAGGAGTGGTTCAGTGGTCTCTGACTGGGAAGGGCTGGGCTGTTCCCTAATTCGATCCATGCTTGTCAAACACACACAACATGAACTCAAGAGGCAGCCGTTTTGGTATTGATAGGTCAGTCAGCACCTGAGGTAGAGAGTAGTTGGCTCACCCGCTGCGTGTGTGTACTACAGCTAGTAACAGCAATGTGACCGACTTCCAGACCAACATCGCCAACTCTCCCATCTTGAGCTGGCGGGTTGGCATCCACAATCTCATGTGCCAAGCCAGCTACAGGTACACAGCATGCCAGTAAATAACCTTTGATGCCAATTCGTACAGAGGGGCTCTAGCACAGATATAAAGTCCTCTCTCACCCTTCAGGTATTCTGTTTGTTATGCTTCCCCGCCCGAGGTTCTATTCGCCAGAGCCGTGTAAAGGAACGTTCAGGGTCGAGTTGGGCTGCAACTGATATCAAGTGTATGACCGGCATTGCCTACCTCTACTTCTTTCACTAGCAGTTGGCTTCTCTCAATTATCCTGTTGAACTGAGTTGTCCGTCAGACGGGAGATCGTCTTACAACCGAGTTGCCCTGTCACGGCGAGGCCGATACTTAAATGCATATATACAGTGCAGCTGGCATGCATACCTAAGGCACTGTAGATGCTGCGGTGGGGCGCCTTCGTGAGGCTCTTTAGGAGGCGCACTTCTGCCAGTCGAGTCTCCATACCAATGCAACTGCATCTTACCTAGTACCTTGGCGCTGTAGCGGCGAATCAAGCCTACAGTACCGAACTCGGCGAATCTTCGTATTACATGTACATACAGTAGGTAGTAGTACTTCATATCTGATAGGAACAAGAGACCTACAACACTCCCATCCATGTTTAATATGGCAGCCACAATTTCTCCTGATAGAAAAATACAAAGTTTTCATAATCTCATTCTATAATAAGGTGTGTTCGTCATTATTATTGCACCACTTCACCAGAACCGTAGTGCGTGAATTTAAGCAGAATTATTCTGCAGAGCGGATAAAGGCCACCTTGGCCACATGCATCCAGCCCGCCCCTTTAGCACCATCCCAACATGACTCCAAAACAGCACGAAGGCGTAAAGGAAAACCCCCCTCCAGCCGGAAAATGAAAAAGCAAGGGCCAGCAATCCGTCGACCTCGTTTTGCTGATTCTTCAAACTGATCCTGCACGATGCTTACTGCAAGAGATCCCGAATGTCCTCGTCGGATTCTTCCTCCTCCAGTCGTCGCTTCTCCTCGGCTTCCAGGAGCTTCCTGATGACTTTCCTCTGCCTGACTCGCGCCTTGGAGCCCCAGTCTGCGCTGCTCCCATCGGCACCTTCATCAGCATCAACGTCGAATTCTGTCGAAGCGTTGAGGCCACGTAAATCGTTGGGCGACATCTTGGCAACCGCCTCCTGTGCCTCGGCCTTTTCCTTTGCCTCCTGCTCTTCCAGCTTCTTGACGGCGAACTTGGTGGAGTATTTGATGACGTGTGGCCGAATCAGCAAGTATGTGCAGACAATCATGACGAGCCGCAGCCATGAGTGTAATGACATGTCGGTGAAGCTCTTTTGGAGGTTGTTGGACGCATTCTGGCCATACTGAGACAATTGGGCCACGAGTGAGCCCAAGGCATTGAGAGAAGTCTGGCCACTGCCGTCTTCCTGGTACTGGGGTGGTGTTTGTGTGTCCATGGTATTAGTCGCGCGTGACTCTCGTCAACGGAATGCAGAGGAGGTGTGGTTGAGTCTGTGCTGGGGCAGCTGAGCTGAGACTTTCCGCCCTGTGAACGAACGGATGATTGATGAAGCTTGACGAATGAGGCAATGCGCTAGGTAGAATATCAGAGATGGAGGGACTCCGGAATGAGAGAAAAGGAGTATTTTGCGGTGTGAGTTGTTGAGTGTTGAGAGATCAAAGAGGTTAAATATCCTCAGGGCGGAAAGTTTTGCTGGACACGGAAGACGGCACTTGCTGGCTGAGGACGGCGTGCCCGGACTAATTCTCCGAGGCTGCCGGTTGGCGTCTGGCGGGCCCGATTGGCCGATTGAGCGCCATGCTCGGAGGATGGACTGTATAGTGAAGCGCCTACCTACTGAGCAGAATGCGAGTAATGAAGCTATTCAGACGTCTGATTGACAAAGGAGTTTGGATTTCTAGAGAAGACGATACTGGATGGAGATGATGATGTAGTAGCAGTGCGTTTTGGTCATCCATCAGTTCTTCTCCATATCTACCTTAGATCAAGGCACATAAAATCTCACTGCTTCAATTTATTTCATGTCCTCTCAGAAGTATCGACTCACGTGACGCTCCCCATACTTCATCGGCTCACAGCTGTCCAATCAGCATCGCGCAAAAGATCTTGATGCTGGGTGAGCTACTACAAAAATTTCGTCGTGCATTTGGCACCAGAAACGCCTGATCTGGCGCTGTGCAATTTTCCCCTCCCCCACCGTCAACATTTTTTTCCTCTTCTTCTTTCGTCTCGCCTTTTGATCTGGCATTGTGCATTTCAGAACAGCGGCGCATCATGTCGACGGCATTCAGATCAATTGCTCCGTTCCTGCGGACGGCCCGGCATGGCCTCAAGGGCGGCAGCATCAACCCGCTGCAGGCTGCCCTCAAGAACAACCGAGGCGCTGCGGGTGCTCTCAACATCGCTCGCACATACGCCGTTTTCGAGCGAACCAAGCCGCACGTGAACATTGGTAAGGCACTCATGGACTTGAGCTTATGAAGTCAGACCTTGGTACTGATGGAGACTCTGTTATATAGGTACCATTGGCCACGTCGATCACGGAAAGGTAAATCGAATCATCATGGCCTCCTGTGACGCCGTATAACACCAGACGATGTGATATTGACCTTGGCTTTAGACCACTCTCTCCGCTGCCATCACCAAGCGACAGGCCGAAAAGGGCCTGGCCAACTTCCTCGAGTATGGCGCCATCGACAAGGCCCCCGAGGAGCGAAAGCGAGGCATCACCATCTCTACCGCCCACATTGAGTACTCCACGGACAACCGCCACTACTCCCACGTCGACTGCCCTGGCCACGCCGATTACATCAAGAACATGATTACTGGTGCTGCCAACATGGACGGTGCCATCATCGTCGTCGCCGCCTCCGATGGTCAGATGCCCCAGACCCGTGAGCACTTGCTGCTTGCCCGTCAGGTCGGTGTCCAGAAGATTGTTGTCTTCGTCAACAAGGTCGACGCCATCGACGACCCCGAAATGCTTGAGCTCGTCGAGATGGAGATGCGCGAGCTGCTCAACACCTACGGCTTCGAGGGTGACGAGACCCCTGTCATCATGGGTTCCGCCCTGATGGCTCTCCAGAACCAGAAGCCCGAGATTGGTGAGCAGAAGATTGACGAGCTCCTCAAGGCCGTCGACGAGTGGATCCCCACCCCCGAGCGTGACCTCGACAAGCCCTTCCTCATGTCTGTCGAGGACGTCTTCTCCATCTCTGGCCGTGGTACCGTTGTTTCCGGACGTGTCGAGCGCGGTGTCCTCAAGCGTGATGAGGAAGTCGAGCTCGTCGGCAAGGGTGTTGAGCCCATCAAGACCAAGGTCACCGACATCGAGACCTTCAAGAAGTCCTGCGAGCAGTCCCAGGCCGGTGACAACTCTGGTCTCCTGATCCGCGGTATCCGCCGTGAGGATGTTCGCCGTGGTATGGTCGTCTGCAAGCCCGGTACCGTCAAGTCGCACAAGCAGTTCCTCGCCTCTCTCTACGTCCTCACCAAGGAGGAAGGTGGTCGCCACACTGGCTTCCACGAGCACTACCGACCTCAGCTCTACCTGCGAACCTCCGACGAGTCCGTCGACCTGACCTTCCCCGAGGGCACTCCCGATGCCTCTGGCAAGATGGTCATGCCCGGTGACAACGTCGAGATGGTTGTCACCCTGACCAACCCCAACGCCATTGAGGTTGGCCAGCGATTCAACATCCGTGAGGGCGGCAGGACCGTGGCCACTGGTCTGGTCACCCGCATCATGCAGTAACTTTGTAACGACTAAAACAACCCTGGAAAAGCGTGGAGTTGTTGGAACGGGAAAAACAAAAAATCAAAAGCAACGGACGGTAAACTGAGCCAGAATCATCAAAAGAAGTGTACATTTAAACGAGTCTGGGCTGCAGGTTCCGGCGTTTGAGCCATCATTTGAGCTCGTGTATAAGTTGTAGGAGGAAGTGGGTGCACCAAATCTCCGCTTTACTTCTTCCTTAATGTCTTGATATATATTGTACGTTAGATCAAGTAGGAGGCGGCAATAGAACTGCAAATAAAAAGATACTAAAAATGCGCACGGTTTTGCCTGGCTTGACTTCTGAGAGCAAGTATATCAGGCCGGTATATAATCCTTCAGGCGAAACTACATACTATTTCAGGGAGTTGGAAAGGGGTCGTGTAGCATTCAACGTGACAGGTGAGATTGATACCCCATGGACGGACTGATGCCATACTGCTTGATGCAGGATCGAATGTGCTGTCTAATGCGCAAGGTAGCTTCGAATGTTTCGGAGCTGGTGGAGCTGAGCCAGACAGTCTTGCAAAGATGCGACAGCAATGGAAGCAGAGTAAAAAAAACTTTTTGGTCCATGAAATTCATAGATCATCATCTCATCATCTCCCTAACAGTAAAATGACAATGCAGCAACGCGACACCGGCACCACCAAAACGCACAGCAGGACGCAGGATATTATTTTTCGAATGCAATGGTATTCGTCTATTCCTCGGAGGATGTTCGTCAGACGCACGATCTTTCCTTAAAACCAAGCCATCCATTAAACTCCGGTTCCAGGCGGCCGCCCTCCGAGTGCTTTTTGTTGTGTGGCCATCGAAAAAAACGCAGCTCGCATCCGTCAAAAATCCCTTTGCCCCTCCGCGGAAGCTTCCCCCGATACAACTCCTTTATCGGTACTAGAAGAAAGGAGACATGTTAGTTGGGTGTTTCTTCGGCATCGTCCGGGTATTCCCTCTCCCAGTCCCCTTGATTTCGATCGTCTGTCCTTTTCCCCCTCGTGATCGGGTCGGTCTTTGTCTTGGGATGCTCACCTTGTGGAAACCAATGTCCTTGGCCTTCTCACGGAAGCATTGACGGCACAGGTCGAGGTCGTACTTGCGGATCAGACCAGCCTTGTGCTTGCAGACGCGGCTATAATGAAGAAGGAAAATTCCAGTTAGCACTTGTATTCGATGCGGTGTATCGCGACTCGTTTCTCAAATGTCCTCCTTCCTTTTCCTCCCCTTTCCCCCCTCTTCTCTTGCAGATCGACATTCGCTTGAAGGTCATTTCCAAGGAAACCTCCCGAGCCCGGCAAAAGTGGGAAAATCAGGGCAGCATCAGGCGTCCATACCATTGGCGAGAGCCCTTGCCGTAGTTTCGCGGGCGCGAGTTCCAGACGCTTTCGTGAGACATGATTGCGGTTGTGGTGTTGCAGGAAGGTTGATTTCGCGAGGGCACAAGTGGGCGGAAATTTTGTGTGAATTTTGCTATGACCTATCGAACAACCGATTGGAGGGTTGTCAGCCCCGGCGAAGCGGGCCACCAAAAAAAGAACGCCCAAATCGGGCTTGGACGAGTTGGGAGCGTCACGTGAAAGATGCTGTGATGCGCTTATCTTCACGTGAACGGCTTGGCCCGAAGCGGAATGGCGATCTGATAAGGAATGGCGAAGCAAAGCTCTGGTGGGGGGGCGACTTCCCCTCGGTGAGGACGCCACTAAGGTGCTGAGCTCCCCCGCCTGTGCCTGAACCGACGGCCATCCTCTAAATCAAACTTGGCGCAAGCTGTCCTCTTTCTGCCCTTGATTTCAAAGCACCATTTCAGGGGATTGTGCCGTTCATTGCTTCTAGGGGCGGTGATTCTTTCTGGTCTATTTGACTGAGCTGCTCGTTATCAACAGCTGTCGACCTCTGTCTGTTTTGCCCCCGCATTCAATTGAAACCTAACCGCAATACCACGACAGTATCTGCCATCTCCATATTGAATTCATCCACTATCCCAATACGTCATGGTCTTGATCAAGAGCCTCGTGCTCGCCGTCCTGGCCAGCTCGGTGGCTGCCAAGTCGGCCGTCATCGACCTGATTCCGTCCAACTTTGACAAGCTTGTCTTCTCCGGAAAGCCCACGCTTGTCGAGTTTTTTGCTCCCTGGTGCGGCCACTGCAAGAACCTTGCTCCCGTGTACGAGGAGTTGGCCCAGGTGTTTGAGCATGCTAAGGACAAGGTCCAGATTGCAAAGGTCGACGCCGACTCGGAGCGAGACCTCGGAAAGCGGTTCGGCATCCAGGGCTTCCCCACGCTCAAGTTCTTCGATGGCAAGAGCAAGGAGCCGCAGGAGTACAAGTCGGGCCGTGATCTGGACAGCCTGACCAAGTTCATCACTGAGAAGACTGGTGTCAAGCCCAAGAAGAAGGGCGAGCTGCCCAGCAGCGTGGTGATGCTGAACACTAGGACCTTCCACGACACTGTTGGAGGCGACAAGAATGTCCTGGTAGCGTTCACTGCTCCTTGGTGTGGCCGTAAGTGAAGCCTCGACCCCCGACTGAGTCTTGATTCTCGCATATTTACCTCTTGACCAGACTGCAAGAACCTCGCCCCCACTTGGGAAAAGGTTGCCAATGACTTCGCGGGTGATGAGAACGTTGTGATTGCCAAGGTCGATGCCGAGGGCGCTGACAGCAAGGCCGTCGCCGAAGAGTACGGCGTCACTGGCTACCCCACCATCCTCTTCTTCCCCGCTGGCACCAAGAAGCAGGTTGACTACCAAGGCGGCCGATCGGAGGGTGACTTTGTCAACTTCATCAACGAGAAGGCCGGCACCTTCCGAACCGAGGGCGGCGAGCTGAATGACATCGCCGGCACCGTGGCGCCCCTCGACACCATCGTGGCCAACTTCCTCAGCGGCACCGGCTTGGCCGAGGCTGCTGCTGAGATCAAGGAGGCTGTTGACCTGCTTACGGATGCTGCGGAGACCAAGTTCGCCGAGTACTACGTCCGCGTCTTCGACAAGCTGAGCAAGAATGAGAAGTTTGTTAACAAGGAGCTTGCGAGACTGCAGGGCATCCTGGCCAAGGGTGGCCTTGCCCCTTCTAAGCGGGATGAGATCCAGATCAAGATCAACGTCCTGCGCAAATTTACCCCCAAGGAGAACGAGGACCAGAAGGACGAGCTGTGAGCTGTCAACCGTGAGCGACATGGAACTGTTTGGTATAGAAAGGAACGACCAAAGGAATAAGAGGAAGTGTATCAGAATTGAGAGAGAAAATATCGTCTCCTATCAAGCATTATGAATTGTATAAACCCTGACTTTTGAGTCATCAGGAGAACTATACGACGAGGAGGCCCAAAGGATATCCCCTAGAGAAGGAAAGCAGAACAAAAACTCCGTGACGATTTAAACCAGCTCTGATTCCCATGACGAGCCGCCTGAAGCCCAATCTGTGACATGCTGTCCGTCCTGTCATGAGGACTTGGGTGCAGAGCCCGCTTCCTTGTTTTTACTTTCTACAAGTGCGGCCTCAAGGTTGTCGAGCCTACGAGACATTTCGTCCACTTGCGTCCGACCCTGTCAGCATGTGGTATCCTCTGCCATGAGGTAGCTTGCATGGTCGAGGCACTCACTCTTGGCAAAGATCTCAGACGAGACGCCGGCAAATTTGTTGGACAGAGAGTTCAAGAGCTCTTCGACGGCCGCTGTGACGTCGGCGCTACTGTCATCGTTGGCCTGACGAGACTTCGGTTAGCCAACCTTGTGTAGCTTTTCAAGCCTGATTTGAGAATCCCGTGATATATGACACCGCAAGGTCTAGGTTTTCAAGTGTGATGGGCTGTCGAAGAGATTCGGTATAGGTGCTGCAAGAGAGGCGGTATCGGAGGTTTAATGAAGGGAGGGAGTCTTCCCCGGAGCGGTGTCGTCATGTAGATGGAACTCGGACAATGGAAAAGGAAGACGTACAGGAGCTGGGTTTGAGACGATAGAGTCCCGATTTGATGCCATGTTGCAAGAGATGAGAGATGATGATTGCAAGGGATCGATGATGGCTCTTTGGGTGCGTAGTGAAGTGAGTCGGTCACTCGAAATATGAGGTGCGTATTCCGATCCCTTAAGGTGCTGCGGAAGGTTGCTGCCGGTTATATACTCGTATATGCGATGCGTCTCTGCGTCGGCCTGTTTCAGCTGGAGTCTTGGTCAGAGTAAAAGGGGGTGAGAAGACAAGTTCGAGGTTTTGGCCAGAGACAAGCCACGGCAAGGATTGCATGAGAGGCTCGAGCTCCCCGTGTGTTTGCTTTCAACAAGAAAAAAGCCGTCCAGGGATCCGTCATCAGAGATGGGGGCGGGGGGAGACAGCCCAGGCGCTATCAACAGCTCCCGCTGGGTTTTACTGGCCAGGAGCCCTGCTGGCCCTGGAACGGGGAGAACGGGGGGCGCTGTGACAGCGGCTTCCAGCGACCCCGTAGCGGTCTCGCGGCGCTGCAGGGCAGTGCAGCCGTCCCCTGTAAGACGTCCCGACACCTCACCTCAGTGGAATGTTCGCTGCCCCGCCCCCCTCGAGCTAGCGCTTCGCGGGTCGGGTGTTTCACCTCGTTTGGGGCCGGACCTGGACTTCGATTCGTCACCTGCGCTCCTGAGCGTTGACGACATTGCATCCATCTACTTGATACCTACCGGCCGATCGATATCCAGCATTTCGTCCCTTCAGCCACCTCGACCAGATCCTCGCTTAACCTCGATTTTCCTAGCTTCGCTGCCGCCTCAAAGACCCTCCCCTGCCATCCATCAACCAACGAAACCGCCCTCCGCGACGAGTATCATGATAGCGGCATAGCCCGATTCCGCGGCTCCAGCATGCCACTGCCGGAGCTCCCTGCCTACAAGGTCCTCTTAACCATCTTCGTCCTCTGGTGGCTGCTACCGAGCAACGACTACCAAACTCAGTCGGTTGCGCTGTCGGACCTCGTTGTCTCGCGGCTCTCGCACTACCGCGCATGTCTCGATGTGCTGAACACGACTCGCTGGGGGGACTTTGCGCCTTTGGGGGCGGCTGGTAACGACAGCAAGGGCAACGATAATGGCGACCATGCGAGCCCCAGATATGTCAACTTGACGGGTTTTCGAGAGGAGGACAGGTTCTCATGGCAGGATCTGGGCCGGTTCCGTGAACGGGGTCTGCGGCTCAGTCACCATGCCATGCCGGCAGTTGGCGGCGAGCAGCTCTGGGATGTGGGCGAAGGGGCGCCGGTCTGGGCAAACGCCTCCGGAGTTCTTCTTGGACAGTGGGTGCGTCTCCAGGAGTCGGAGCCGAGGACATATGACAGCTACAATCTTAGCCAGAGCGTACCGTCTATGCACTGGATCGGGGACAAGACCGAATGGGGTCGTAACGTGACCGGCGGCACAGGCAGGATCCAAGTGCGGCTGACGGGGAACGAGACGGTGACGGCATACGATCAGCTCCCCAAGACGGATGCACCCCTTTCTGGAGGCTCGATCCGCAATGTGAAGGCTGTGGTGACGTTTGAAGACACGGGAGGGACGGGGCTGAGCTGGGAGATGGTTCTTTTTGGGGCTCATTGGCCACGACAGGGCGTCGTTATCATGACGACGACGAGCGAGAAGTTCGACGGCATCTTTGGGCTCCCGCATCTGACGCCTGGGCCGGACTATTTCCAGTCTAGCCAGCGGCTTCTGAACCAGTCTCTCGAGCAGACGATAGCTGCTAAGGAGAAGAGCATCTATTCCGACCAGAGCATACCATGGAAGTCCAACTTTGACAATCCCCTCCACACGCGGAGTCCCTCTCCGCATTGCGAGTACGTCATGTATGTCCAGATCCATCCCCCCAGCAGACAGGACCTGGGTCTCGGGCCCACCGTTTCCAAGGGCGAGGACGTGGCGGAGATGCTGCAAGCTATCGAGTCGGAGCTGGAATCGCCCCTCGGGGCACCCATCAAGCATATCCCAAAGCTCCAAATGTCAGCAGTGATTTACTCACCAGACTGCAACATCTTCTTGGAGACAAAGGGGCCCCCGGACTTTCCCGCGAGCGAGGCCGACCACCTCCTCGGTGTGAAGATCGAGGTCCAAATTAGCAGCATCAACCATTGGCTGCTGGCGTATGCGGTGGTGATGTTTGGCCAGGTTGTCTTGCTTAAGGGCCAGATCAGAGAGACCTACACACCGTCTACCCTTGCCAGAGCCAGCTTCTGGACCATTAGCATGATGCTCATTGCCGACGGCATGACGTTCACTGCGGCTGCGTCGTGGGTTGCCACGGCACATTATACCTTCCTGCCAACCCTAACCCTGACATTTGCGTCTTTCATGTCAATGACCATAGGGGGAAGCCTGCTTGCCAAGATATACGAAGTCCAGACACCAGCGCCTCGGGCTGGCCGAGATGGGCCTCAGGCCGCAGATGGCAGAAACAGCGGCTCAGCAAGTACAGCCACCTCGACACCGCTTACTCCTACTCCTGACGGCACTGGCACTGGCACCGCACCGGCCGCCGTAACAACAACAGGACCGATACTCCCCGGACCGGTCACCGCAGGACGCGGCTTAGGCGACCCTGCCGTTGCCAACCTCGATGCCGCCGCCAACATCATGGACGGCGCTTCAGCCGTGCCTGGTGTAGCCACGCCAGCTGCCGCAAGACTAGCCCCGCCGTCTACGCCGACATTCCAATCGCTTATGGGCCGATTTCTTCTCCTCGGCGCCCTCGTCATGTTCATCGGCGGCTCGTCCATAGCATGGTACATGACCGTCCGTTCGTGGTTCCTCAACATCTGCGCTTTCGTCTACCTGTCCATGTGGATCCCGCAGATACATCGCAACATCATGCGCAACTGCCGCCGGGCCCTCAAGTGGCAGTTTGTCATTGGCCAGTCCGTCCTCCGCCTGCTCCCGCTGGCCTACTTCTGGCTCAAGCCGGACAATTTCCTCCTGACGCGGACCGAGCCGCGGGCGTTTGCCATGCTCGCGCTCTGGGTCTGGGTACAAATCTTCGTGCTGGCTACTCAGGATGCCGTTGGGCCGAGGTTTGGGATTCCCAAGGGCTGGATGCCTGACGCGTGGGATTACCACCCGGTCCTGCGGGAAGACAATATCGAGGCTGGAGGACTGCCTATCGGGCTCGGGGTGGAGGACAGCCCGGCTCGGGATCGCAGGCGTAGCAGCGAGGACAAGGACAAGGTTGGTCTTGGAGGTGGCGGCAGCACGAGGGCTATTGACTGCGCCATCTGCCGCGAGGTGCTCGAGGTGCCGTTTGTGAAAGCCGGAGAGGAGGACATGAGCGTGACGGGGGTGTTTGCCCGGAGGGCGTACATGGTGACGCCGTGCCGGCACATTTTCCACACGCCTTGCTTGGAGAGCTGGATGAAGTTTCGGCTGCAGTGTCCAATATGCAGGGAAGACTTGCCTCCTATTTGAGATTCGGCTAGTATTCACACACCACATCTTAAAGAGAGAGGATATGGTAATCGGGATATCTCTGTATATAATGGGGTTTCAATTGGGAATGTAGATTCTATCAACCGATTTATTCATGTGAAATGGATTTATATTGCGCCATTTGATCTGTGTGCAACAAGGCATCGACCATTTGCGAGTGAGCTCGCATCTTGTCTGACTTCTAAAAGACTGGTTCATGGCCACTCATTCTTCGCAAGTCAAGTATATGCCCCCCCCCGGGTAACCGCCAAATTCTGTCATATGAAATTCCAACATTGATGCTCGACCAATAACACTCTCTGGCTCTATCATAGTATTTCAGCAAGCAAATATGAACCAAAGGAAGATGAGGAACGCAAAACAAAGACTCGCTGAGATAGATAGAAAGCAGGTAGTTAAAAAGAAAAAAAACAAGGAATTGATTTGCTTCACCAACTGATTCGCGTCGCCCTATGTCGTCGATCCTGCACCCCCTGGCGAAAGTCCCTCGAGCCCACGGTCACGTCGGCAAACCTCGCTCGCAAATCAAAGTCGACCGACTTGACCATGACCCTCTTCTCCTCCGGAATGGCCCGGCTGGGCAGCGCGACGGCCTGTGCGGCTGCGCCACCATGACCGTGCGAAGGCTGCTGCTGCTGCTGCATCTCCGGAAAGGGGTTCTCGGACTCCTCAATCTCCATGACCCATTGGGCAATGTTGGCCGCCAGCTCGCTGTCCCACATGCCCTCGCGCCGGGCACTGCTCCTCAGCAGCTGGATCGCCTCCCGCCGGACGGTCGGCTCGCGGCACTTTGTGGCCACGACGAAGAGCGGCGGCACGATGCCCAGGTCTGCGGAGAAGCTGGGCTTGATGTTGTGGGTTGGGAATGCGTCTCTTCCCGCCCTCGGTCCTCCTTCTTCCCCGCCGGTCCTTGCGTGTCCGTGCTGCTGCTTGCACCGCCGCGGATCGGGGCATCGCTCGGTGGCCGCTCGCTTCTCGTCGTCGCCGACGACTTCCCAGCCCAGGCTGACAATGGCCTTGAAGTGGGAGAGGAAAGCGTCGAACTGGACCTCGGCGTCGCAGAAGATGGTGAGGAAGATGACGTTGGTGTTGACCTGGAACATCTTGAGCGCTGCGATGCCCGACTTTTCAAGGAGGCTCATGCCGGGCTGCGTGAGCCTTGATTGGAAGATGGGCTCGAAGGCCTGTGACCATGAGTCGATTTGACTCTGGAATGTGGCTCCGAGCTGCCTCCAGGATGGGGGTAAAGTGTAAGAAGGTTCCTTCTTGGCGCGCTGCAAGTGTTCGATGAATCGCAGCAGCATTTCACAAAGCTGATCCGAAGCCAGGCGAGCTTCTCGTAAGGATGAGAACTTATACGGGATGGGGCTGGATGGCTGAGGTGAACCCGAGTCTGAGAGGGGGGATGACGGATCATGTAGGCTTTGAGGGCCTAGATGGATCACGTAGGGATGGGGGAAGTGGAAGGCCATGTCGTACGACTTGGCTTGAATGGCTAGTCGTGTGAAGATAATCAGCAGATCCTCCTCAACCCGTTCATTGGAATAAGGGGCCTGTGTCCGATCATACTGAATCCGAGCCAGAAGCCTCAATCCGGTCTGTATCTGGACAATGGCTTGGCGGTGATCGCCAATGAAGGAGTCGAAGCAGGCTAATAGGACGCTGGCCATCAGCCGGGTCTTGTTGGTTGCCAGCTTGTCGCCGCTGAGATGCAGCATGGCCTTGCAGGCTTCCGAGTACTTTCTGATGGCAACCTGCCAGTGACACATGACCGAGTCCAGGCGGCTCATGGCACCAGCGAGCGGCGGCAGGTCGGGTTCGCAGGACTGTTCCAGAGTCTTGTACAGGGCACCAAGAGCGACGACGGCATGTCGAATGGCCGGTTCGAAGTGGCATTCCTGCAGAACCCGTGATGTCCAAAAGGTCGAGTCAAAGTACCCGGACAGCTCGGAAGCCGTCTGGACGCGGAACAGGTCGAAATACAAACTCTCGGTATGCATGAGGGCCAAGTTGTGAGACGGCTCATACATAAAGGGCATCGCGGCATTGGAGGCGGCAGGCTTGGTCTGGCGTTTGCGGCGATAGGCCCGTCGAGGAGGCAGCATAATCGTATGGCCAGTGAGCAAGAGGCTGGCAGTGGTTGAAGTGGAGGCGCTCGCTATGCTGCTGGGAGTAGGCTGCAGTTGCGGGAGCCCCGTCGAGGAGGGAGCCAAGGGCTTTGGAGCAATGCGGACATCGACGGCAGTCCGGGGCCCGCGAGTGGGCGCCGGATAGCCACTGCACTCCTTCTTGCTGCGGATGCATTGCGAACAAGACGGACGCTTTTCATCGCACTTGATGCGCCGTTGCCTAGGGATGGAGCTCGTCAGTGGGCTGCCCGGGGTGGCTTTATGTGTTTCCGTCAATACGAGAGAAGAGGAAGGGAGAGGAGGAGGAAGAGGACATGCATGGGAGAGTGAGTGGTCATGGGGAAGCGGAAGGGCATGATAATCAGGGTATTCCAAAGCGTCCTCACTTGCAGTTCAAGCATCCCGTCTTGACCTTGGGGTTGCTTCGTCGTCCGCGCTTGGCCGGCCTGGCCGCCTCGCCGCCACCATCGCCGCCAATCGCCGGAGCCATCGAAGTCGGGGGCAGCAACGGCTCCATGCCGTCGGGATCGGGCGATCCGGTTGGAGTTGCGGCTGGGGTCTGATATGAGCCTTCGACGGAGGCCATGATCGCCGGCCTGGAACCGGGAGCAGCCATGGGGGGCCAAGTATCGAGACGATGGGATTCTGTCTATGGCTGAAGAAGCGTCATAAAGGCGGTCGAAGCCGGTGCTCGGGCTCTGTGAAACCGGAGGCACAGAAGAGACGGGAAGCAAAGAGGTAAGACAAGAGCAAAAGGACAAAAAGTATCGATTGGAAGCTCGCGGGTGTCTTGCCAGCCCGAGACCGAGACCGAGACCGAGTCAGTGAGTGAAGTGGCGGGGGGGTTCGATCTGCTCTTATCGACGTCCTGCTAGCAGCTGGATAGGGTCAATTGACGGCGAGCTACCGGCTCGGGGAGCAGTTCGCGGTTCCCTTGGAGCGAAGCTCGAGTGGAGACGAGGCGAGACAACGGATTGCCGCTATTGTGATAGTTGTACCAGATGCGAGTGGCATGCACAGCGACTCAGAGCACAGATGCCTTGATCTACCTCCTGATGCTGCTGCTCGGCACAAAGAGGTTGATCGAGGCGGGAGTTGCTTGTAGGCCAATGGGGACCTACTGTGTGAGGGTGACGTGATGACTTGTACCGGGACAGAATGGATGGATGGTGATACGACGCAGAGTGAGATGGATATCTGCCAAAGACTTGAGTGGAATTGAATAGAGACGAGGGACGCAAGACGGGGAGGAGTCTGGGTTTGGAAAAGAGGCAAGAGAGGTAGATATCACGAGAGATAACGGTAGGTAGGTATACTTGTATAAGCGACTACGTGGTGTATGTAAGTGAGGCACCTACCCAGAAGTTTCAGGTACCTAGGCACCGAAGTAGGTACTACCTAGGTAGGTAGGTAAGGAAGTACCTAAGAGCTCGACATTTCCCCCTCCTCACCGAGTCGCTGGAAACTGCATCCAGAGACGCATCCAGGGCTGCAGCCAGACGGCCGGCTCGAGTCGCTGACGGCATGGGCAGCGATGGACTCGCGTATGCACGCACATGCCGCCGCCGTCATGCAGGTCCCCCTTGGACAGACAGACAGGGCTGCTGCGGTTGGCTGTGTGGGAATATTGGTGGAAATACTACGCCAACGTGCATGCATTTTCCTTGGACATGCAGTATACAGTAGGAGTACCTATGTAAGGTAGGTGCTGCAGCAGGACCTACTAGATACCTTGGTAGGGGTGGTAATACAAGGTGGGCATCGAATCGGCGGCGTGATGCTGCAGACAAAAGGTTCCTGGCTCGAGGAGATGCCCAGTTTGGGTATCCGGGGCGTGGGCTGCTGTTAATTCTTGGCCGGACTTGAAGCTGTCGACAAGTCGAGACCAACTACATGTGGTAAGCCCTGCTGAGCACTCGGTGCTTTTGGTACTGTCCCTCCTCACATGCCTTCTCTTTGCTCCTCATTTTGTATTTTTTACAGTTTGTTTTGGTAGTTTGTTGTGATAGTAGTAACTTGGTCTCGGGGCTCCAGCATCTTGTCTGGGGCGGTGGAGAGACAAAGACGACGCTTTCATGGTGACTGCAGCTGCAAGTCGCAGCGGACGGCTTCGAGGTACTGATCCGGGTTTGTTGACAACACATGCCGGCCCCATCACGCTGCGCTCTCGGGTCGCCGCAACTCACAGGATACCTGCCCGACGGGCGGCTAAATGGCTGTTTGGCAGAGTTTCCGCGGCTGCGGACTGGAGGCGGTTTGTAAGAGAATGAGACACAAAGAGACTCACCCCACGTAATAGTAAACTAGGATGCTATTCGAGCTGGCGGCAATCATGATGGTCCCCGTTGGGCTTCACACGTTGCGGCACCCAAGGAATAAACCGCATTCGGCATTGGTAGGCTTCCTCGAACGAGACTCCTAAAGTACTGCGAGGCTCCTTTCCATGTGTGTCCTTTGCATCACACAATGCCATATACCTGAGGTATGTACAAACAGACATATAGTATAGTACCTAGAGTCAACGCACATACCTCTCTCTTACCGGTTGACAATGCAACCACCATCTAAGAGCCAGTCTAACCGCTTTTCCTCGCACCCTTCTTTGCTCGATCAAATCCAATCTGTCTCGACACACCCATTATCCCAAAGATCCTGATGCGGCCCACGTGTCACTGCCGCATGACCGCAGCAATGCATGGTTCCGAGTTCTGCGTGTGTGTGCGTTGCTTGATGATATTACCTACTTGTCAAGCGAGGAGGGGGAGGGCACATGAGAGCAGTAACAACACTGCCGCTTGGCTGCTATTCCCAACTTTGACGTCTGCCCTTTCCAGTGATGGTAAAGAAAAAGGGCATCATGTCAGGGGAGTTGAATGATAGGTAACATTGCCGAACGAGGTGAATGGCGTCGACCATGGTTGGAAACCTCCTTAAGCCTGCCTGGTCTACTCGTCGTAAGCAAGGAATCTCACCTCTCACGCAAAGTGACAGCCATTACCCCGAGATCAAGCTCATGCAGCAGTTCGTCCACGGCCCGAGCCATGGAGGTGGCATCGAATCCTTTCGCCGATAACCTGCTTGACAATGGCGCCATAAATGCCATCGCCTCCATCACGCCGGCATGCATGCATGCATGTGTGTCTTCGAGTTGATTATCACCGACACTTCCGTAGCATGATGGGCTGCTTCCCTGTCCATCCCGTGCAACACCACTGCTGGCTGCTTCTACCTCGTCAGAGCGGGATTCCCAGCTGCAGGGGAGACGAGGTGTTTCAGATGGGTGTTTTGACAATTCACTGTTAACCGCCGCTTCCGCGGTTTAGGGTAGGCAGTCGTACACGGTGGGATGGCGGGCGATTGCGGCTGGCTGAAGACGACGGACTGGATGATACTGCCATGACCGCGATGCAACTCGTGGCTGATTATTTCAGATTGAGCAAAGATGCCAGTCAAATTGCCAGCTGATCCATCACATGTAAATGCTTCCTCTTCTTTGCAAAGACGGAAACATGATCTCAGATGGTTGAAACGGCGGCCGAGGGATGGTGCCTGATTGGCCCTATGCAGCCACTGGCCCGCAAAAAAGTTGCCATGATTTCAGCGTGCAACTCAAGTTTGCTCTTTCTCAACGACAACGAACTGAATCCAACGAACTACCTACGATAACAACGAGCTCTGCTGCTCACCTGGAACGATTAGAAGATCCACACTTTAGAAGTCATTGGCCCCTACTTTACGATCTGGCCGTCCGACTGACGCATCTCGACACCAATCGCCATCTCGACATCACCAAACATCCAGGTATCTAGATACCTACCACATTGCACAACCACAACACCATGTCGCAACAACCCGAGAAGCCGCCGCTGCCGCCGCGCAATGAATTCATACACAAGTCGGCGCTCGCAGGAGCAATCATCTCCCCCCTAGCAATGCTGCTCCCTCCCAGAAAGGCCGACATCCGCCTGCTCGTGCTGATGGGAACCTTTTCCCTCTGCACCAACCAGCTCGCCTACGAGTACACGGGACAGTCCATCTACGCACGCTTCGGCAGCCGCGTGGGCTCAATATTCGACACGGGGCTGCCGGAGGGCGCAAAGAGGACGCAGCAGCTGCTCAAGGAGCAGAGGGAGAGGGAGGCCGCGCAGAGACAAAGCCAGAGCCAGAGCAAGAGCGTGCTCAAGGACGTCTGGATGGGCGGCGAGGGGGAGGACTGGAAGGAGAAGAGGGCTTCAGAGCATAAGAAGGCCTTTGAGGAGGGCAAGGGCATGAGCGATATCATTCTTGAGCAGGTTGCGGAGGTGTTTAGTGGTAACTGGAGGGGGAAGAAGGACGAAAATTCTGCGGACACTTCGCAGGGGGAGAAGAAGGAATAGCGGGAGACACGATGTTTGATAATTCGATGGGGTTAATTATGTCGATGGAGGCGACGCCTGTCCGTCTGCGACTTGTCTTTTTTTCCAGACTGGTGGCAGGTCTGTACGATATATGATTGAAAATGTATTACGAAAAGAGCCCTCTTCAACAACACACCACCTTGATACGAGTGCGATGCATACGGAATACAGGATGATACTGCTGGGCTACTAGGCTGCCTCCTCGCTGTTCATACCTACCCAGGTACTATATGTTGTTGTTCCGACCCGATATATGCACTGGGCGAGAAGATGGTGTTGACACTCAACCAGGGCATTGAAGCTTAATCGCGATTCAATGAATCGTGGATGCATGTGAGCTGTTCGTTCGCTGATCGGATTACTAAATTTAACAGCGGCAGCGCCTTGCACTGCGGCGCCCCCGCCCAAACATCAGCTGCGAAGCTCGTATCTCACGGCGTCTGAGCCACCTATTCGTCACGCTGGAGGCACAGAAAGGTTCTGATCGGCCTCGCACGATTCAAGAAGTCTGCCAGCCTGCATGTTCAGCACGACAGAGCTGTGTTACCGATGATTTTGTATTGTATGTACTCCATACGCGCTTAGTGAGACATGACGGAATGAGCAGCAAGCCGGATTGTGGAAGGGTTTCTGGTACGGTGTAAGAACGGAGTGGAAAACTGAGGAAGAACTCGAACAATGCAGCTTGTATACACGTCTCGACCGTCCATGAGACGGGACAGAATCTATGTAGTCAGCCAGGGCCGACGGGCTCCAAAATAGCCAAACGCCACTGTTCAAGCAGTCAACCAGTCTCTTTGCCTGGCCGATCGACGGCCAGGCCCAGCACAGCCCGGCACCCCTGGCCCACCAACGTCAGCGGTGCTGTGCATTCACGCCAATATGCCAGCATTCCGGGTTCGTCTGCGGCTGTTGGTCCATTTATTAACTTGTTACTAGGACTATAGAAGAAGAAGTGGTGCATCATCTGCTTGCTTGTGCTTTGTCTAACAGGTAGTCTCGTTGTTTTTCTTCATTTACATCGTGCTTCATCAATTGACGGCTCTTCCCCAGCGAGTCCAGGGCTCGACTGAAACCCTCCGCAGCGAACTCGAAGCCTGAAACACCGGGCAGGTCTGGATCAGTGCGCCGTTGAGTGGCAATTTGAGAGCCTGATCCGCCAACAGAACTGCCCGCGGTTGAGGTGCACAGGCCCGACAAGGGGATGCCGACTCGGTACTTGTACCTCTCAGATCAATAAGACCTGACGGGATCCATACGAATCACGCTGCCTGTCCACTCCATCATCGCTCTCAGCTGCTGTACTTCGTACCCACTACGTAATCGCCCGGGGCTGGTGCGAGTAAACATCGAACAAAGCAGGCCAATATCCCGAGCTGTTTTTCTCCTGCTCTTACAACCTCACACTCCTACATTCCACCTACTGAATCTCGATCGCTTCTTTCAACAGCCGCACCTCAGAACGGGGGTGCCCTGATAACCTACATTACCTTGGACAACAAACAGCAAACTACCTACAAATCGACATCGACTCTGGGACACACGATACAGTCACCCGATTCTGTCTTCTTCTCGCGCTCTTCCTCCAACCCGTCCTCTTCGCTCCTCTTCGTGGCGAGAGAGCCCGCTGGATAGCTCCTCTTTGCCATGGCTTCCAACGGCTACTACTATGGCGGCAATCAGCAGCCTCCGAGCCACCAGACGACACCCTACTATGATGCCACGCACACGCCCTCATCAGAATCAGAGCTTCCGCAGGTCTACAACCCGGCCTACGCAGAAGCCCAGTATGGGAACCCGTATGGCGCTCCCGCAACCCACCACCAGCAGCAGCAGCCCACAACAGGTGCGTCGCCGTTTGATACCGTCTTCGACGATCCCGCATACCCAACGAACGCGAATTCAGGGCCGGGCGGCGCGAGCAGCAGCGACATCTCCCAGCAGGGCTTCTATCACCAAGACACGGGCTACTACGGCTCTAGGACGGAGAATATCCCGCTGCAAGACCACACGAGCAAATCCCCCGAGGTCACAGATCACATCTATGACGCGCCAGCCGGACAGTCGAGCCGCAGGCGGGACAAGAGAGGCAAGGTGCGCATAGGCGAGCTGGGCATGCTGGGCGCCCACAAGAAGCGCATCCCATGGCTGGTCTACATCTTTTCGGTGGCGCAAGTCGCCGTCTTCATCGGCGAGATTGTGCGCAATGGTAAGCGCGTAACAGCGAATGATTTATTTTCGCACCTTCACCCCGTGTTTCTAACCTTGACGTTGCAGGTCTCCTGACGGGCTCTCCCATCATGATCAAGCCGCAGTTCAACCCCATGATTGGTCCGTCAACACAGGTCCTCATCAACATGGGTGCTCGTTACGTGCCCTGCATGCACAACATCAAGGAAATCCAAGGTTCCACGATTCCCGTCCTGTTCCTGTGCCCAAATGCGACCAAGAACACGCAGTTCTGCCCTCTGTCTGAGCTGTGTGGCTTCGGCGGCGACGTTCCCAATCCCAAGTTTGACGGCGACGCCAACCAGACACCCATTCCCAACCAGTGGTTCCGCTTCATCATCCCGATTTTCATGCATGCCGGGCTAATCCACATTGGCTTCAACCTGCTCATGCAGCTCACCATTGGCAAAGAGATGGAGATTGCGATTGGGTCCATTCGATTCTTTCTGGTTTACATGAGCGCCGGCATCTTTGGTTTCGTCATGGGAGGAAATTATGCCGCTCCCGGCATTGCGTCTACGGGAGCATCGGGCTCTCTGTTTGGCATCATTGCCCTGACGCTGCTCGATCTACTGTACTCGTGGAAAGACCGACGAAGCCCCGTCAAGGATCTGCTGTTCATCATCATCGACATGGTGATTTCCTTTGTTCTGGGACTGCTGCCTGGACTCGACAACTTCTCTCACATTGGCGGATTCTTGATGGGTCTTGTCCTGGGCATCTGCGTGCTCCACTCTCCCAACTCGCTGCGAAGGAGAATCGGCCAGGATCCGTTATACTCGGCGGTACCCGGTGACGCGGAGCCCGGGACCGTTCCCTTTTACAAAAGCCCGGTTGGCTTCTTCAAGGGACGGAAGCCTTTGTGGTGGGCCTGGTGGCTTGTTCGAGCAGCCGCTCTCGTGGTCATCATTGTCGTCTTTGTCGTTTTGATCAACAACTTCTACAAGGTTGGCAACACTTGCAGCTGGTGCAAATATCTTAGTTGTCTGGTGAGTTCTCATTGTCCACTTTATTGCATGCGGTTTTTGAAAGAAGCTGACATGATGCAGCCTGTCAACGGATGGTGTGATCTTGGAACGATCAAGGTGCAGTAGAGGTAGAGAAGACTAGAATCAGGGACGAAAAAAAAGGGGGACAGGGGAAGAAGGAGTTGGTGACCGTCAACGTCCGACCCTCGCAAAAGTTGCAAAAGACGAAAGACAGTCTTGTGGGAGAGAATTTCTGCATTATATACAGCGTTGGCGTTCATGGTCGAGAGGGAGGTCACGGTTCAGTCACAACACCAAGACAAGGGGGGGAGGGTGGCATACCGGCTTGGTTAAGCAAGACTGCCTTATCACACAGTTTGTACATACATAGAAGGGTCCTGTTCCTGCGGGATTGGATTGTCCGTATCTCGGCGAGAGCTACTGCATGGGCATGGCACAAGGGAGGAGGCTTTGATGGGCTTTCCTTTGGCTACATTTTCTGGGAGGGTACAATGTGACTGCAATGCGATTTGACGTTGCCTCATCTTTGCGACCCCTCTCCCTTTTCCTTCTATTGAAGAGAAGCCGTGAGAACAGACAACGTAAGGCAAGGCAGATACCTACTATATCTTAGGTACTAATCTATGCAGAAAATGTTCGAGGTGTTTCGCCCAGACGGCAAGTCACGCGACTGGTTACCTAAGAACAACAAGGAAGGGAAGGCACAGTCGGATGTGTGTTACATCGGCATTGCCTTTCACACGTATTTCATCCACGGCTAAATCTCTCAGCCCATTTGTCTTCTTTCATCTCATTTTTTTGTTTCTCCTCTCCCTTGTCGACGGTGATGAACACGCCAAGGAGGGTAAAAATGAAGCATGATCGGACGACAGCATCTCAGGGATAGAGGAGCGCACATGGACAAGCTCGACAGTAGGAGGTAAGGCCACCCCAATACAAGAAACGCCGCCTAGAGGAGCCCCATACGCCGCCCTGGATTCATGATGAATGTTCTTCAATGCATGGCTTAACTGAATGATCCTACGAGGACACATGTTGAGCAACAAGAATACACGTCTGACGTGCAATCCTGGCCTCTTTCTATTACAATTGTCTCTGATCTGTTTGAGAGGGAAAATTGACTGATTACTGATGCTGGATAGGTAACGCAGAGTAGTGTGGACATGAGTTGCGATCTTGCAGGAAGCGTTCACAGGCTCGAGTTTCCAGCATGATTGTGACGACATACATACGGTGTCTGCCCCTCGTGGATCGATAGAGTAGTAGATGGCTGAGCTCTTATGCTTGCGAGTTCTGGATACATGAGGTATACATAGGTAGCAATTGGATATATAACTACAGGAATAATGGCTGCTGTTTTCGACTTGCCCCTGACTAAAAGGTAGCTTGTGATGCCCCAACAAACGAATCTGCAAGCTGGAGCTCCTGGTGGTGGCGTCTTGCTGTTGAAAGTGCTGTGTGCTGAGCCTTTAGTGACGGTTCATCCCGGAGCTGTGCTCAAGTATCCCCGTACCTACCTGTACCTTTTCCAACGCCAACTCACGTGCACGCCCATTAAACAGCCGGCGGGTCCCGTCACGTCACGCCTGAGAGGCGCGTATTGCATTGCTGCAAATAATCGTGTCCGGCAGCTGCGATTGAAACAACCTCGCACACGCCTCGTCTTTCTCTCCGCCTCCCAGCGAATCGCCTCAGCATCCGCATTCACGGAAAACTGCCCCATGACAAGCAGCAGCTGGCCTCGGCCTTGTTCGAATCGCTCGTTCTAGAAGAAACGCAGCGAAAGCGATCTCATGGCGGCCACCGTCGTCCCCCAGAAGCGGGTGCTGGGCGAGTCCCGCACCCGCCAGAACATCCCGTCGTCGCCGCAGTCGAGCAAGAAGCGCAAGACGGACAGCATCGCCGAGCCCGTGCCGATTCCGCGCTTCATCAGCTCGCAGAAGGGCCCCGGCGCCAAGCTAGGCGCCAGCCAGACGAAGAGCGTCTTTGAGTCCGAAATCCTCGAGAAGCTCAGCCAGGACATCTCGGAGCGCAAGCAGAACAACACAGAAAAGGACCAGGCGTGGGATCGGCCGCCGGTGACCGAGTTTGTGCCGGGCCGGGACAGCATCTGCTTCCAGTCCATCGAGGCTGAAGAGGGCACGCTGAATGGCGGAAAGGTGGCCGTGAAGCTGTTTGGCGTGACGGACGAGGGGTACTCGGTCATGCTGCATGTGACAGACTTCAAGCACTACCTCTACGTGGCTGCGCCCATGTCCTTTCAGCCAAAGGACTGCGCGCTCTACAAGGCATATCTCGAGACACAGGTCGCCCAGCACCAGCCCGCGATCCACTCGGTCAGCTTGACCATGAAGGAGGACATCTACCACTACCAGGGCAACGTACAGAGCCCATACCTCAAAATTACCGTTACCGACCCCAAGTTCATCAACACGGTGCGATCGACGATAGAAAAGGGCCTTGCGAATTGGAAGGGCATGTGGGGGCCCTTGGATGGCGGCTTGAGGACATACGACAACATTCAATACGTGCTGCGGTTCATGGTGGATTGCAAGGTAAGGTTCTGCTACAGCTTGCATATGGAGGTGTTGCTATACGCTAACAATGCCGTGGACTAGATCCAAGGCATGTCCTGGGTGGAAGCCCCTGCCGGTACCTACAAGATGATACCCGAGCATAGCAAGCAGTCCAACTGCCAGATCGAAGCCGAAGTCAGCTACGTCGATCTCATCGCCCACAAGCCGGAGGGGGAATGGGCCAAGATGGCGCCTCTGCGAATTCTCTCCTTCGATATCGAGTGCGCCGGACGCAAGGGAATCTTCCCCGAGGCCAACGTGGACCCCGTCATCCAGATCGCAAACGTGGTCACCAAGTACGGAGAGAAGAAGCCCTTTATCCGGAATGTCTTTTGCCTAGACACCACCAGCCCTATCGTCGCCACACAGATTCTGGACTTTGAAAAAGAGGAGCAGATGCTCCACGAGTGGCAGCAGTTCCTTATTCGAGTCGATCCGGACATTATCATCGGATACAACATTTCCAACTTTGATTTCCCATACCTCCTGGATCGCGCCAAGCACCTCAAGGTGCAAGGCTTCGAGTACTGGTCTCGCATTCCCAGCAAGCCCTCCAGGGTCAAGGAAACCAACTTTTCAAGTAAACAAATCGGCAATCGAGACACCAAGGCCACAAACACCAACGGCAGACTGCAGCTCGACATGCTGCAGCTGGTCCAGCGCGACCACCATCTGCGAAGTTACACGCTCAACTCCGTGTGCTCCCAATTCTTGGGCGAACAGAAGGAAGACGTTCACCATACTATGATCACAGAGCTGTTCAACGGAACGCCCGAGTCGCGACGTCGTCTGGCGCTGTACTGCTTGAAAGACGCCTACCTTCCCCAGAGGCTAATGGACAAGTTGTCATGTTTGGAAAACTACACGGAAATGGCCAGAGTCACAGGCGTTCCCTTCAACTTCTTGCTATCCCGCGGACAACAGATCAAGTTTGTGAGCCAGCTTTTCCGAAAAGCGCTGGAACAGAAGCTTGTCATTCCCAACATTGCCCCCCAGGGTTCAGAGGACCAGTATGAAGGTGCAACAGTCATTGAGCCGACGCGAGGATACTACGATGTGCCCATTGCCACTCTTGATTTTGCTTCCCTGTACCCGAGTATCATTCAAGCGCACAACCTTTGCTACACGACATTGCTGAGACCTGGAGATGTTGAGAGATTCAAGCTCAAAAAGGACGAGGACTACATTGTTACCCCCAACGGTGATATGTTTGTGACGGCTACGAAACGCAAGGGACTGCTCGCCCAGATTTTGGAAGAATTGCTGTCAGCCAGAAAACAGGCGAAACGAGAGCTGGCGCAAGAGACGGATCCCTTCAAGAAGGCGGTGCTGAACGGTCGGCAGCTGGCTCTGAAAGTCAGCGCCAACAGTGTCTACGGCCTGACGGGTGCAACGACTGGAAAGCTGCCGTGTCTCGCCATCGCCAGTAGCACGACCAGTTTCGGCCGTCAAATGATTGAGAAGACGAAGCGCGAGGTGGAGGAAAAGTACACCATTGCAAACGGCTACACGCACGATGCCCAGGTCATCTACGGCGATACTGATTCCGTCATGGTCAAGTTTGGAACCAAGGATCTCGCCGAGGCGATGAAGCTGGGCGAAGAAGCCTCCAAGTATGTGTCGGCCAAGTTCCTGAAGCCCATCAAGCTCGAGTTCGAAAAGGTCTACTTCCCGTACCTCCTCATCAACAAGAAGCGATATGCTGGGCTGTACTGGACAAGGACGGAGAAGTACGACAAGATGGACACCAAGGGCCTGGAGACGGTGCGACGTGACAACTGCCTGCTGGCACAGACCGTGATTGAAAAAGTTCTGCGGATGATTCTCATTGACCGGGACGTCCAGGGGGCGCAAGAGTAAGTGGTTCTCTTTACAGTCTTTGACAATACTCGATCTTACAGAAGGGATATATGGCTAACAGATGACTGTTATCAACAGCTACGTCAAGAGTACAATTGCAGATCTGCTACAGAACAAGATTGACATGTCCAAACTGGTCATCACAAAGGCCCTCACCAAGGAGGACTACGCCGCCAAGCAAGCCCACGTCGAGCTTGCGCAGAGGATGAAGAAGCGCGACGCCGGCTCGGCCCCTGGCCTCGGTGACCGAGTGGCATATGTCATGGTGAGAGGAGCGGCGGGAGCCAAGAACTTTGAAAAGTCGGAGGACCCAATCTACGTGCTGGAGAACAACGTGCCGATCGACACCAAGTACTACCTGGACAACCAGCTGGCGAAGCCTCTTGGGCGAATCTTTGAGCCGATCCTGGGCGAGACAAAGGCCAAGTCGCTGCTGACGGGAGACCACACGCGGACCATTTCGGTGGCGGCGCCGACGGTGGGAGGGCTGATGAAGTTTGCCAAGAAGACGCAGACGTGCATGGGATGCAAGAAGCCTCTGACGGGCAGGGACGAGAGCGCGGGCGCGGTGTGTAGCGACTGCGCGCCTCGGGTGGGCGAGCTATACAACAAGACGCTGGACCGGGTGTCGGACCTGGAAGTGCGGTTCGGGCGGCTGTGGACGCAGTGCCAGCGATGCCAGGGCAGCATGCACTGCGAGGTGATTTGCAGCAGCAAGGACTGCCCCATCTTTTACATGCGGATGAAGGCGAAGAAGGATCTGGAGGATGCGGGCAAGGAGCTTTCCCGGTTTGACGCAGACCAGGCCGCCATTTGGTGAAGAGTCGGCGAGATGACTCTGTTGGGCTTTCAGTTCAGTGATTATTTTATCCTGGGGTGAGGCAAAAGGGGCTGCAGCAGAGTGGTTGTTTGTATTTGTTATCGAATGTCTGTTTGTACGAGTTGGAAGCATGTGGGAGACACGCATGAGATGTCTGGGACTGATTCGGCAATGATTGATGGCATATGCTTTTGTTAAAAAACTCTTTGATGCCAGTTTGCTTTTCTTAGTGCAAAGGGGTACCATCTATATCAGATTAAAGACTAGCTACTAGGTATCATACAGAAACATGAATATTGACTGTTATCGAGATGGCGTGGAACACGAGCAGTTTGGAATCATTCCATCTGATGTGGGTGGTGGGTAGTAGTGGGTGTTTTGGAATCCCGCAGGATCAGAGTCACAATATCTTACGACACACATTCTCGAGTAGCAGCTCCCCGCCGTCTGACGATGGCGTTTTTAAGTGCTTGAATACCCGCCGGCTTATAGGTACGATCCAATAGCCATTTTTTTTGCTTGAAATTCATTGAGGTGATTATCCGCTGAGTGGGCTGCGTGATTGCTCAACTCCGTGATGATATTTGCCTCAATCACACATACCTCGTTGGTTTACACCAGCATCCATGCACCCGCCTTGATCAACGCGAATTAGACCTATTCACAATGCATGAAGCATCTTGTCATATTTACCTCCTTTTTGAAAGAGAGAGAGAGAGAGAGAGAGAGAGAGAGAGAGAGAGAGAGAGAGAGAGAGAGAGAGAGCGAAAGAGACTCAAGACTCAATCCGCCTCAACGGGAGTCAGACGGATCCAGCAGCCGCCTACCATGGAGAGCGTCGACCCAACCTGATGCCGCATCGGCTCGTCATTGCCGGGCTGAATGTCCTTGAACGTCTGCAGCACCCTCGCCATGAGGTAGAGCATCTGCGTGAGGGCGAATTGCTGGCCGATGCAGATCCGGGGACCGCCACTGAAGGGAATATACTCCCACCTGTATTCACCAGTCAGCCACTTTTCTTTTACCGGCAACAATCCAACTGAGGAAAAGCAAAAGAAAAAAAAAAAATAGCGGGAATCCAGATGTCTTGTGAAATGAAGAACAGACAAGAAAGAAAAGGAGGAAGGGGGAGGAAGAAACCCACCCAGGCCGATGCGTCTCCCACCGCTCAGGTCGAAAGTCGTCCGCGTCTGGGCCCCAGAAGTCCTTGCGGCGGTGCAGGGTGTAGGTCGAGTAGCGGCAGTCGGTGCCCTTGGGGACGAAGAGCGGGCTCTGGCCGTCGGGGCCGCCGCCCCTGGGGAGGATGGTGTCTCGTTCGGCGGTGCGCATGTTGCTTGCCACGGGGGCGTAGAGGCGGAGTGCTGGAGAGGGACTCGTTTGTGAGCGTTGTTCAGGCGAGTAGGGGGAGAGAGGGGGAGTGTGTGTGTGTGGGGGATAGAGAGAAGGATTGCAAGGGGGAAGGGGGAAAGGGATGGATGCTCACTCTCTTTCAGGACCATGTTGAGATACTTGAGATTCTTCAGCTCCTCCCACGTCGGCTTCCGGCCATCTAGCTGGGCTATTTCCTCCCTCAACTTGCTCAGCACATCGGGCCTCCTGGCGAGGACGTAAAACAGCGAGGCCATCGTGCTGGCACTGGTGTCCCGCCCGCCCAGGATGAGGGAGAACAGCTGGTCCCTGACCTCGCGGTGGGAAGCGCCCGACTTGATGATTTCGTTCATGAAAATGTACGGCCGCTCTTTTTCCTTTTCCTGGGCGAGCGCCTGGGAGACGTGGTGGTCGACGAAGCGCTGCGTCGTCTTGACGTATTCGTCAAACTGCCTGTCCGGGCGGAGGAGGACGAGCCAGCCGAGGCGGGCGCGGTTGGTGGACGTGGTGAGGATGTAGTCAAAGGCCGTCATGAATTCGAGGGCTTCCTCTGTGGGGGATGTGAGGAGGGAGGTTGAGTATCCGAACCTGGATATCGTGAACGGAGATGAGTAACTGACTTGGATATACTAATACCCAGAACACCCCCTTGAAAGGCCAATTGTTGTATGAAAGCCACTACTCACATAAAGTCGGTGGACACGTCCATGGTAAAGTGATACAGCAGCCTGTCGACATCAAACCTGGCGCCGTCCCGAGGCAGTCGAGCCAAGAAGTTGTCGACGTGCCTATCCGTACACTCCAGGTCGGCGATCTGATTCCTGAGGAAGCTCGGCCGGATCATGGCGCGCGCGTGATGCCATTCGGGCCCGTTGACGGAGAAGATGGCGTGCGGGCCGAGCGTCAGGACGCTGACCTGCTGGCGCAGCGACTTCATCGGCCAGTCGTCAAAGTGCGTCGACAGCATCGCCTTGATGTTGTCCGGCTCCGAGGTGAGGAGCATCCACCTGCCGAGGGCATTGTACCAGCAGGTGCCGTTGTGGGCGGCGAGGACGGCGTCCCAGAGCTCGAGCAGGCGGTGCTCCTTGAGGGCGCTGACGGAGCTGCGCAGGAAGTCGATGCCGAGGACGGGGTCGCGGTGAGGGAAGACGGCGGCGGGCTGGCAGCCGTTGTTGAGGCGCGTGCCGTTGAGGTAGTGGTGCTTCTTGCGGAGGGCCGTGAAGACGGGGAGGAGGACGAGGGCGGCGCCGAGGGAGGAGTAGCGGGACAAGGGAGTGAGAGGCTGGCTGGTGGCGACGAGGGCGATGCGCTCGAGGGCGGACCAGAGGATGTAAGTGCCGGTGAGGGCGCAGCCGAGCAGGGCGGCGAGTTCGCCGACGATGACGGACATGTTGGATGAGTTTATAGAGTGAGGATTCACATGCGGTCTGATGTCTATAGTGGTGGTCGTTGTCCTGGCTGAGGGCAAACAGACATATGAGAGAGAAGAGAGAGAGAGAGAGAGACAGAGAGACAGAGAGACAGAGAGAGAGAGAAAGAGATGAGATGAGAGGAGAGAAGAGAGGAGGACGGGCGAGGATCTACATATATGTGAGTAGGAGTAGGAGTATGTAGGTATGTATGTGGTATGTATGCATGCACCTTGTTTCTCCGCTAATGATGCGTCCAGTAATAGCTTCTACTTTCGTCACCCTGTTCGCATCCATGGGCTCATGCCGGCAGCCCTCCACACAAAGCCAAAGCCAAAGCCAAAGCTTGCTTCAAGCCATCAAGGATCACGTTGTGGGACGGACCAAAGAAACAAGATGCTGTTTTGGCTGAAGCGTCAGATGCTCTCTTAACGGCGTCTCAGGCAAAAACAGAGCACATTTTACGACGACGACAATTTTCCAATGGCGCAATTGGTCGTTCAGAATTCTCCAAGAAGCTATGTACATGATTCTTCTCATACAAGGTCACTGCCACCTCTCTACAAGGTAGTACGTTGCAGTAGCACATGGGGGAGGGATGTAACATGCAGTTGGGCGGAAACTGAAGTGTGATACGCTTCACCACGTCTCTCGACTTTGGTGGGCCGAATCTTGGTTCTGCTGAACGGTCAAGACGGTCTTGTTCGTCGCCGAGAAGAGATAAAGGGCCGCTGACTGTCTCTGCGGCATCATACGACAAGGGATTAACCCCCCAAGGATCCTCTATACTGTTCTCGTTCTGATGAGAATTCAGCTGCAAAGAGTTGCAAGACGTCGAAAAAAGTACATGGAGGCCGTCAGCCCTAAAGCCGTTGATGCATGCAAGCTAACTCCCCAAGCTTCACATGTTTTAACTTCTGACCACCACCACCACCACCAAAAAAAAGCCTTTGCTTCATTTACTTGCCCTTGTCCGACTTCAGGCAAATCAGATCCCGGACATCGATGCCTCGGCTGCCCCGCCTTTTTTTTTCATGCCCCAAAGTGTCTTAACCCTCCCTCATGCGACCGTTTCCCTTCCTTTGATCGTATTTCGTATGAAGCAGTTCTGATTTGCTGCGTTGGAGGACGTGTTGATTGAACAAGTGAGATGGGGGCAGCTTGAAGGGTGTGTCTTCTATTCATACATGGATCGTGTTGTTTGACCATCGCCCATGTTTATCTGGTGATTGTATGAAGGTATCAGCCTTGAAAATGCAGAGGGTGTCTACCAGGTATCAGCCTTGGATCGGGCTTCGGATATAGTTCCATACATGGATATCACAGAACCCAAGGCCCAAGAACTCATCAGTAGGATGACACTGTTTCAGTCTATATTCTGACTCGCATGTCATATGAAAATGACGAACCTATACGCCAAGGCCATAAACACAAACTCTTCACAAATGACTTTGTTGTCTCGGTCTCTCTCTTCCATCACCATGACACTTCGTGGCTCGAGCCAAGCAGCACACCCTCCATGTATAATGTTATGCCTCCTCTTGGGCTAGCGACAAGGCATGGAGAGCACTTACACCAACTTGCGTCGCCGCGATACTTAGTCTTGACTAAGCCAAGGTGAGGAATAATAACATCCTTCAGTCATTGGAGGATGAATTGTCCGCATAATGTTTACTGCTGGGCGAGGAAAGGCCTAGAACAAGCTACAATTTGAGCTCAGCCCAAGTGACCCAAGTATCAATGTCCAGCTGCATCATCCTCTTGTTCCCGGCTCTTGTGCAATGCCGCTCTCATGAACCATTCACCCAGAGACAGAGAACCAAGAGTGGGACGACCCCATTATCAGCCGACAGGTCTCGCACGTTCGACTTCATCCTTGACATCTCGCAAAAGGCCGCCAAGCTGAAGAGACGGAAAAACAAAGGGCACATGAGAAAGAGGCCGACACGCCCTATATAAGCCCTCGACGAAGAGGTAACAATTGTAACAAATAAATTTCGCCCATATTCAGACACTATCGAAGTGAACCGGCCGCCATCTTTCCACCCCCCACTGACTTTGATATAGTACACACATACCCCAAAAATCCATAAACTCCATAAAGGAACATTGCAAACCCCCCTCTCTCTCCCATTACATTCAGGTCCGGCCCTGAGCGTTCCTCAGCGCCTCGCTGGCAGCCTGGGCCGCGCGGCGAAGTCGGGCCTCGAGGTTGGAATCGCCCAGCATGGCCCGTCCGTGAGAGACAAAGTCGTCGTAGACGGGCGCCAGGGCATCCGATCGCAAATCACAGCCATAGTAGAACAGCACGCTCCCGTTGCGGTTGAAGCTGCCGTCGGCCTTTTCAAAGAACCAGGTCAGGTTCTCGTCGTTCTCGCTCACGGTCCAGACAAGGCTCGGGTGGTCCTTCTTGATGGCGGCAAAGACGTTCTCCGCCACGTTGGTCAGCCAGCCAGACTTGGTGATGGCCAGGGTAGCGAGAGTGGCCATCGGCCGGTCCTTGCCGGCGGGGATCACAATGGCGACGCACTGCAGCGCGTCGTCGTAGTAGGCAGTGAAGGGGTTCTCCCGCAAAAAGTCAATGAATCGGTCAACGGTTGCTTCGGCATCGAGGCCCTCGCGGTCGCGAATGAGGGCTTCCTTGATCTTATCAAGATCCTCAAAGTCGGACACGGAGGACACCTTTTGGATCTTGTCACCTCGTCGGATCAAGGTGCCTGCGCCGGAGTCGGTAAACAGCTCCTTTTGCAGATCGCTGGGGTGGATGATGGCAACGCTTGAGGTCCTGGGCAGGGTGTCGAGAAGCTCCTTGATCTCCTTGATCTTGAGTCGCGTGCCGTAGCGGCACCACGGCTGTGACATGAGGTGGTCAAACTCCTCGTCCAGGTTAATGTGCGAAATCTTCTCGCCCTCGCCGTCGAACAAGCCGCCCTTTTCGGACAAGTAGACGACCTTTAGGGGCTCCAGCGCACGGGCGAGCTCGGCGGCGGCAACGTCAGCGTTGACGTTGAGCAGTCGGCCGTCCTCGGACTCGGCCATGGAAGTCAGCACGGGGATGTATCCAGCCTCAATGGACTTTTCAATCGCCTCCTTGTTGACCTTTGTAATCTTGCCGACGTACTGCCACTTCTCCTTGTCCAGGTAATCGGCCATGAAGACGCCGCTGATGGACCGGGTGGCGACCCCCAGCGAGTCCAGCCTGTCCACCAGCCTGAGGTTCTCCTCGAGGAACAGCTTGCGGGCCACGCCCAGCGTCTTGGCGTCGGTGACACGGATGCCCTCTTCGAACTGGGGCTCGACGCCGGCCTCCTCGAGCAGGCGGTTCAGCTGAGGGCCGGCGCCGTGGACGATGACGGGGTACAGCCCCAGCTCGTACAGGAACAGCAAGCTTCGGCAGAGCTCGTCAATGTACTCGGTCAGGATGGCGCCGCCGACCTTGATGACGGCGAACTTCTGGGACTCGACCGAGGTGAAGAGCTTGAGGTACTGCTGGCCCTCGCGCTTGCTGCCGATGCTGCTGACGGTCTGGGCGACAATCTCGCGGGTGCGGTCCCTCGCGGGGAACGACGCCAGAGCCCTCGTCGACGACAGGCCCCTACGGCCGCCCAGGCCCCGACCCAGACGCAGACTCGGACCCGAGCCTCGGACGACGTTCGGAGCAGATGCGCCAGCCGCGGCCGCAGCCCGGGGCGCACCTCGTCGAGCTCCGGCCCGCAGCGCTGCAGAGGTGGCGGAAAGCATTGTTTCGCGAGATGTCTGGTCCAATTGGCCCGGCGAGGCTGGAGAGAGAGAGAGAGAGGAGAAGGAGAAGAGAACAATGGCCGAGCAGCGAAAGACGAGGATGGAGCAGGGGACCTTATATTAGGTAGATCAGATAAGAAAAAAAGAGTCACCGGCTTTAGTGCTACCTAGGAAACTGATAGTAGTACTAGTACTAGCAATACTGACTGGGTCGTTGTGGGGGAGGGGCAGAAAAAAAAATGTCGCCCCGAAACCGCTCATCCATTGGCCGGTAGGCGGTGAATGTTGGCCCCCCCCCCAATCAGACATGATGAGCGTGTTGAAGGACGGATAGAGAGTGAGCAGCAACAGCTGATGCATGTTTTGTTGCTGGCGAGGCATCTGATAATGATATCAAGCGCTGTGGGAGGACTGCGAGTTTTGTCAAAGGCTGTTGCAACTTGATGTCAGGCTGATGCTGGTCGACTTTCAGCGACAACAGAGTCATTTCCAGCTGTATGTCACTGCGTTCCGGCAAAGCTCATCGCACACTCGTCATGCAGCTTCTGGCACTGAACAGCAACAAGAAAACTCTCTAGCCTTGTAAAGAAATAATTCGTTCTTTTAGGACCGGTAAGAGAGCGCACATTATCTCAATTGGTCGGAGTAAACGCCTAGCCTGCAAATCATATACATAACCCAGCCCGAGAGCACCCCAAGGCTACATCTCCCGTTAAAATAGTCCGAAGTCTGAGCAAACTCCTCATGGCACAGAACCCTCATCCAATAGCAATTCGTAATCTTTCGGCTGGAAAACGAGACCCGGCTCGCCGCTGGCCGTCCCAGAGCAGCTGGTCTGGTACTCGTCAAGGACCTCGTAAATCATGGGCAAACAAACAAGGAAAGTTGTGAGTAATTAACGGGTGGCAACGACTGTGGTTTGCCTTGTCAGTTTTTTCTGTTCTTTGCTGGGCAAATCCTCGCTCGCAAGTGGTAGCTCACCTGATGGAACGATAATGACAACCAGGAGGAGGATGATTCCAACAACGATGCAGACGCGCATCTTCATGTCCTTCCACCACATCTGCTTTCGCACTCGGTTTGCGCCCCGGCGGAAGCCCTGTGCGGATTCCGCCAGGTTATCGGTCTTGTCTTGCAGGACGTCCAGGCGGTCACCACGCTGAGCCACGTTTTCAATGTTCTTTCGCATCACTTGGACCGTTGCGTCGATTTCCTGGAGGAGAAGACGAGTTAGCTTTGCCGCATTTCCTCTCTCTTTCCTGCTTTTTCCTTGCGAATGATGACAAAGAGCCCAACCAAGACCAACTCGAGGTCCCAGCACCGGTTATCGCCCAGCTCAGCGGTGAGACAGAGCGACGAGCGCAATGCTGTTATTGTCTGCCAAGGGAATCTCGTCCCCGACTCCACATCATCACCGCCTTCAAACTCAACAGAAACCCCGTCCGGATCGAAAACAGTCCTCAAATCGGTGCGGAAAACTTACACCTTGAAGCGCCTGCGTGCGCGACTGGCCGCCGGACTGGTCGGCGCCGGCCTTGGGAACGTAGGGATCGTACGGAGCGTCGGCCATTTTGAGAGAATAAGGCGTTCAGAGGAGGGAGAAGACGGACGTCGGCGGCGGGAGGAGGGGAGTGGGAAATGTAGGCGAATAAGCGATCGTGGATGCAGAGCGTAGTCGAGCGACGGCGGCAGCGCTGGTGTTGTTGCTGTTGCTGGTTCTGGAGGGGCTTGGAAGTTGGAGAAGATGGCGATTCGTAACGGCGGCAGAGGAAGTGTGAGGAAGACAAGTTTACGCTTGGTCCGCAGAATAGCCCCCTTCGCCTACAAAAAGCACTGTACAGGACCCTGCCGCAGCAGCTAAAGGGAGCCCGTGGCAGCGCCTGTTGCAGGCTGACGACAGCGCGGAGTCGACGGAACCTTGGAAGCCCCCAGCCTCACGTAAACAGGGTGCCGGCACTTGTAGCGACGGAAACGCATTGAGTACCTTGCATGTCATGCTCCTCACTCTCTCGCTGATACGCGCACCAAGACGCAGGAAATGAGGTACTCGACAGTACTTCATGCCGTCTATCCCGCTACTTCTGCCCCGCCACACTGCCTCGTCCAAGAATGTGGCTCTGGCGCTTCTGCTCACTGGGCACACGTGATTGCTCTCACGGTCAGAAACTGGCTCGGCGGCTAGTGGCAGAAGTCGAGTGATTGAGCCAACAGCTGCAGCAAGCATGATGCACAGAATGCAGCAGAAATCCCGAGAAGCCACCTGCAGCAGATAGGCACAGATAACTAACTGAAGTGCTGCAATACAGGACTCACGGCGTGCTTTTGGTACCTGACTTTGGCTCGGGACATGCTCCGGTTACACAGTTTGGCCTGGGGGCTGGAGCGCGACCACTGTCGCAGGCTGGTTTCATCCCGATTTGACGAACGCATAGATTGACTCATGCCTGAGGCAGGGCAAGCGGCTGGTCTTGCAATTGCCTGTGTGCCTGGATGGCTATTTGACATCTTTGGCCTCGGCACCGTTATTGACGACGAAAAAAAAAAAAAAAAAAAAAAAAAAAAAAAAAAAATAACGTGAAGAGTTGGCAGCAATTATCTGACTGTACCTGTTCGGGAACAATGGGCTCATCGAAGGATCTCGGCGCATCCAATCAAGAACAGACAGTGTGCTGCCAGCTCCGTACAGTGCATTACGAGTACGAAGCCGCCTTGAGTCGACGTCGAATGCGAGACTGCAGCTCAAGGCCGTATGAGAAGCTCACGTTTATTGCACGAAGTGTTGACCAAAGGCTGAAGGTGTCACGGAGGACGGAGCAGCTTAAGCATACCAAACTGCAGCGGGATTTTGCTTCTTCTAAGTGGACTCTGAATGAATTCACCTTGCATACTATCTGTATTTATAGACACGGGTCTGATCCCATATTCGAGATCCATTGAAAATTCGTTAAAAGGGTATGTAATGCGCGGTATCATCGGCAAGCAGCAATTCTCTTGGGGTCTATAACAGCACCTCGTGTTGCCAGCAGTAGTACCTATCCGGAGAAAACGGTACCTATGGTATTGACCATCGTATCCCATTCAGCAGACGTGCTTCGCCTCCGCCGCCCTTGTCAAGCCATCACTCACTGCCCGGGCATTGCTCCTTTGCATGCCAAGACAACAAAGCCAACTGCTGACCTCTTTTCTTTGACCCGAATTGCCTGCAAAAAGGGCCGACATCAGCGCGACCACCCACCCATACCAGGTACTCGCAACATCTTGTCGCAATCTTCGCCGTGACGGTCTATGTAAATCTACGTCAAGACGGTCGTCGCGCTCTCATGCAGATCATGCGCAAGACTCGTGTCGAGCTGGACACTGATTGACACAATGACGTCTGACCCGCCCTATCGAACCTCAGATGCGGTGCCGGGCCCGATAAGCGATCGCCCACTGCGCTGCCCATCATCTCTAATGTATGACGAGCACTCACTTGCTCAACGCCTTATTACCTAACCCTGATGATGCATCCATGGTACTGCTACCTTGTACATATGGTATTACGTACCGTCCCAAGCCTTCAGCTCCGTCGAGACCTGACTCTTGTCTTTGATGCCGCGTGATGCAGCAAGAGAGACATTTGGACGAGACAAGCGAACTGCTGATGCCTTTGTTGTCGTGTCCACTCGTCCGCGTTATCCCCAGCAGCTCTCCCCGCCTCTTGCTCCCGCCTGACCAGGATCTTCTGCATCGTCGTCCCTCTCCCCTCCACCAACACCAGCTTGATACCTGCTCTCGTGTATACTCACTCGTACATGTATAGTACATACACAATCTTGCGTGCTCAGTGGTGTGGCTGCCATGTCGGGCTGAAGGGAAAGCACCGCAACGGCCCAACCACCGCCAAGGGGCCAGCCACGATTCCGTCAGTAATGGAAGATGCATAGAAGGGAGGAATTTCAAGGTTTTTGCTTCTGCCCGAGTCAGTCGACTGCTACATACTACCTAGGTAGGTACTAGTAGGTAGTAGGTAAGGTAGGTAGGTAGCTCTCCAACGTCGGCCAGCCGTCAGCGTCAGCACCTTGACAATACGACAAAAGCTTCCAGCGGCCGCAGCGGCCCTTTGCCATTGGATGCTCCCGTAGCGAGCGGCATCTTCCGCATCGACATTAAGACCAAATAAATGTCCTCTGTGTGTGCGCAGGGAAAATACGAGCTTCTGCTGCTCCGACGGCCTCTATTCCTCTCCGGACGTAACCTCGCCCCCTTCTCACCTCTGCTGCCTTTCTCCCCGGTGGTGATGGCTGGATTTGGAGCAAGGTAGACAAAATAATTAGAAGAAAAAAAACAAGTCCCATCCTGATCGCTGGGCGGGGGCGCGATGTCATTGCTGCTTTCGAAGATTCAGAGGCCCGCTTGCAGCCTCACGCCCTCGTATTTGGATCCCTCTGACCCTGCCAGGTTCCCGTTCTGGCCCAGCACCCGAGCGACTACTGCGGGCTAGGACCAGGTCGCTCTGAGATAGTTCGATGCAGCAAAAAGTGGTGCTACCAAGGTTTGTGCGTGGCGCTCCAGCAGCTCCAGTCCAGCTCCAGTCCACAGCTCTCCAGACTCCGGCTCCAGGTTTTTGGCTCAAAGTCGCTCCATGGCCTCCTCTCTCCTCTCCCCAGCTGAAGGTCGCTCCCAGGTATCGACGCAAACAGTCTGCTATGGCCGGGTACTCGGGAGCTACCGCAAGTGCTCGCTCCTCGCACACGTACCTTACCTAGCTAGAACCTGTTGTTTGCTCGCACAAGAAACGGCCTCACGCCTGTACAAGTACGTCAGGCGAGCGTCAACTCCGCCTGCTCGGTCTCAGGCCGGCTGTGACGAGCGAGCGCAGATGCAAGCGCTTCCGGAGCCGATTCCAGCGCCCCAGTACCTACTAAGAGACGATCTAACCCGTAATTCCTACGTGGACTGGGTAAGGTTAACGTACGTGCGTATTACAGCAGTACTTTAGGTAGGTAGTTAGTTGGTAGTTGTAGGTAGGTAGTAAGTAGCAGGGCAAGGAGGGATATCCGGGCAAGCTGGCAGGGCGGTACGAAGAGACTGCAGGTCCTTGTACTTGTCTATCCACCGCTCACCTCGTCCTTGCCCTTCTCCACAGCTGGGCCGCCTTGTCTCTCGTCTTCTTCTTCTTCTGCTTGCTTTTCCCTCTTCCCTTTCTTCTCTTTCGATATCCCAGCCCATCTGTCTCTCGCTCCCATTCACTCGCTTGCCGTCCCTCGTGGTGCTGTTCGCCCATTTCTGTCGCTGTTGCCGGTTGCCCAACCTGCCGAGACGACAACCGACGGCGTTATAGATGGATACGAAGCCATAGCGAGCTGCGTTCCATCCTGGTCACGATACAGCTTCGATTGACGGACCGACCTGCCCTGCGCGCAGCCGCCGTCTCATGGGATCCTCTCTCGCTGATTGAACTGACTCTCTGAGCCGTTGTCGACGGAATCGTCAATCTGCCGTCATGGGTTGGTTACGCAAATCGCCGCTTGGCCGTCTGGCCCTGGGCTTGTTGGTTGCGACCAGCCAGCTCACCGGCGCCTACAACTTGGACCCAGACTCGCCTGGTACGAAGAGACTACTGCTGCTGCTGCTGCTGCTGCTGCTTTCCATCCAGCATTGGTGCGGCTGCTAATTGGGGGCTTTTAGATTCTGTCAAATCGATATCAAAGCAAATGGCGGAGGATTTGGTCTCGTTTTACCACGGCAACGAGCCTGGCCAGACGCCTGGCCTCCTGCCCGATCCGTACTATTGTGCGTATAGCTTCTCATGCGATGCAGCCAAACTCATCTTCTCTTCTCGTTAACTGACACGGGGAATCTCCAGGGTGGGAGGCTGGCGCTATGATGGGGACGCTCATCGACTATTGGTATTATACCGGGGATGAGACTTACAACAACCTGACCAAGCAGGCCCTCCTCTTCCAGGTCGGCGAGACCAAGGATTACATGCCGAGGAACCAAACCCGAACCGAGGGAAACGATGACCAAGGCTTCTGGGGCCTCTCCGTCATGTCGGCCGCCGAATACAAGTTTCCCGACCCGCCTCCTGATCAGCCACAGTGGCTGGGCCTCGCCCAAGCCGTCTTCAACACTCAAGCCGCTCGCTGGGACACGGAGCACTGCGGAGGCGGCCTTCGGTGGCAGATCTTTACGTGGAACAATGGCTATGACTACAAGGTAGGTCGAGCTGCGCTTGGTCGCGGAAGGTGATTATGGAACCATGCCGTATGGCTAACCGTTCGTAGAACTCCATCTCTCAAGCATGCTTCTTTGCTCTGGGAGCAAGACTGGCTCTGTATACCGGCAACACGAGCTACTCTGACTGGGCCGAAAAGACGTGGGACTGGATGATTCACACGAAACTCATCAACACGACCAACTGGTACGTCTACGACGGCGCCGGAATCGAGACCAACTGCACCAAACTCACCCCCTACCAATTCACCTACAACGCCGGAGGCATGATTCTCGGAGCCGCCGCCATGTACAACTTGACCGAGTCGCAAACCTGGAAGGACCGCTTGGACAACCTCCTCGAAGGGGCCAAAGTCTTCTTCACTGGACCCAAGAACAACATCATGTCGGAAGTTGCCTGCGAATCGGTCAACACGTGCAACGTAGATGAGCACTCGTTCAAGGCCTACCTGACCCGCTGGCTTACCATGATGATCAAATGGGCCCCTCACACGTATGACACCATCAGTCCCTACCTCCGTGCCTCGTCGATCGCCGCAGCGAAGCAGTGCCAGGGCGGCGACAATGGACGCATGTGTGGCCTCATCTGGTACGATGGCAAATACGACGGATCGACTGGAGTTGGCCAGCAGATGGCGGCCCTGGAAATCACAATGTCCAACTTGATCCAGAATAGCAGCGCGCCGGTGACTGCACACAGCGGAGGCACCAGCAAGGGAGATCCAGGCGGTGGTGGTGATGACATTGGCCGGAACCAGCCCCCAGGACCCAGCTACGGACCCATCAACGGAGGCGACAGGTTTGGGGCTGCCATCCTCACGCTGCTCGTCATTGGCACCGTGGTCGGCGCCATGTTCTTCATTTTCCTCGACGAGACCTCACCCAAGAGGCCTATGGATCAGCTCAGGGGATTTCACTCCTCTGCCTCAGCCGCCATTGGGACGCTTGTTGCTGGGGGAGGGATAGCGGCCGCCGCTGCGGCCGGTCGAAGAAGGGCCGACAAGGAGAAGGGAGTCAGCGTCAATGAAAAGGCCGTCGCCAACGGCGGAGGAGATTCAGGAAGTAATGGCAGTCCCAGAGACAGCGCCTTGAATCACGCAACCAATGAAGGGGCACCAGTGGCCGCCGACTCGATTCGGCATAGCACGGCGAGTCAACGACGGCAGTCCAACATGCCCATCGGTTGGCCACATAACCCGTCTGTGAGGAACAGTCTTGTGGTGGCAGAGTCGTCATCTGCGGGGGCGTCTGCTGAGGACCAGCAGCAGCGATAGGAGACTCCCAGTTCGAGCTTTACACACATTGGCAGCAGCAGCAGGACGGCGTTTTCTTCGTCCTCTTCTTTTTTGGGTACCATCTGGTAACGCTGATGACTGCCCTTCATTTTGATTTCCTTTGGGCGGCGTACTCGGAGTTGGTTTCATGGGCGGCATCATTTCGCTACAAGGGCGAAAATGGGCTGGGTTTCAACATGTCAGATGAATGTATTACGAATCCGTGTGCAAGGGCAGACACACGGTATCTGAGCTATACGATGTGACGTACATATAGGATGAGGAGGAGAGGGTTGTCTAGAATATACGAACATTTTCATGACCAGAGGAGTCTTGTGAGAATTTAGTGCTACCAAGTCGCTGATTGTGATATACTGTCGAGAGAGAGTTCCATGTCTATTGTGTGATGATGACGAAGGCATGAGATCCTGCGTAATCCGTGCTCTATAGGTATGTGCTCTGCATCGAGGGATTGCGATACAGCAGCAACATGATTCTAACAGAAAGCAGACGGCGGCCTCGCGATATCATCCAGGAGACTGCATGGCTTATTGATGAAAATGAATGATGTGTTGTTGTATTAATAGTGAATATAAATGAAATCGGGGTTGATAAGAGTCGAGAATTGCCCACATGCAAGCTTATAAGCGTTAGCCTCTCTCGCTGACTGACCCCGTCGACCCTAATAAATTGGCTAGTGGGTCGGTGGATATTCCGGACCCTCGTCTCCATTCTCCAACATCGAATCAGTACCACCCAAAGTGCAAACGACCTGCAGAGCCTCACTTCTTTATCGCACCCTCAGGGGCTTCTCCGAGGCCGCAGCAACATGGCGCCCAATCCGCCAGACGGCAGCGCTGCGAGAGGAGACCGCGACAACTCGTCGCTGCTGCTCCCGACCGCCTACGACGACGATGCATCGTCAATCAACAGCCGAGACCAGGACACGGACAGCGAGGACGATGCGCTGCAGCAGCGGGCGAGGAACAGCCGCGAGCTGCGGGCGCACGACCGCATCGTGCTGATGGAGGAGGAGGAGCTGGACCAGCTGGTGACAGACTCGCGGCGCAAGCAGGAGCTGGTGCGGCGCGGGTCTGCGCTGGCCCTGCCGCTGCCGAATCCCTTCCGCGGCCTGGGGCGCAAGCCGAGCCTGGGCAGCATGTCGACGGCCGGCAGCTCCAACGAGAACGTGACGGGGGCTTCCGAGAAGAGGGGGGCGTCGTTGTCGTCGGCGGCGGGCGAGGACGGGAGGCGGCGGCAGAAGAGGCGGACGAGGCGGAACACGAAGCGCGAGAGGCTGATGGAGGAGGCGCAGCACGGCGAGGACGGCAGGCTGATGTACGAGATGGAGGAGGGCGGCATGAAGGAGGGCAGCTCGACGGGCGAGAGCAGCGAGAGCGACGAGTACGACCGCCGGACGCTCAATGCCCTTGCGCACGCAAAGAGCCAGCGCGGACGGAGCTGGCGGCGGTGGCTCTTCATCCACTCGCTCATCTTCATCGGCTTCGCCATCCTCGTGCTGGCCGCCTGGAAGCTGTCCAAGGGCCGCCGGTCGTCGAGCTCCATCAAGGCACACCTGACGAGCAACGGCACCGCCCTCTTTGCGCCGACGACCATCATCATCAGCCTCGACGGCTTCCGGGCCGATTTCCTGCAGCGCGGACTTACCCCACGGCTGAACGCCTTTGTCAAGGAGGGCGTCTCGCCCAAGTGGATGCACCCGTCGTTTCCCTCGGTCACCTTTCCGAACCACTACACGCTGGCTACCGGCCTGTACCCCGAAGCTCACGGCATCGTGGGCAACACGTTTTGGGATCCGGAGCTCCAGGCCGACTTCCACTACACGGATCCCGCGCGGAGCCTGGACCCCAAGTGGTGGGGTGGAGAGCCGTTCTGGGTGACGGCCGAGAAACAGGGCGTGTCGAGTGCGATTCACATGTGGCCCGGCAGCGAAGCACATATTCTACACCTGGAGCCCGAATACGTGGACAAGTTCAACGGCAAGGAGGAGCTCGACAACAAGGTCTCGAGGATCCTGGGATGGCTGGACCTGCCTGGCCGGGAGAGCGGGCTGGCAGCAGGGACCAAAGGCACGCGACCGCAGCTCATTGCGGCGTACGTGCCCAACGTGGACAGCGATGGCCACAAGTACGGGCCCAACAGCACGGAGATACGATCCACCATCCAAGAGGTGGATGCCATGATGGATAAAATTTTCAAGGGGCTCGACGCGCGGAACCTGACGCACATTGTCAACGTGATTGTCGTGTCGGACCACGGCATGGCTACGACGGACACGACTCGCTTGCTGCAGCTGGAAGACCTCGTCGACACGTCCAAGATTGAGCACATTGACGGCTGGCCGCTATACGGGCTCCGACCAAAGAACCCCGACGATTTGCAGGGCATGTACGATGGGCTGGCGGAAAAGGCAAAGTCCAACTCCAACTTTGACGTCTACCTCCGCGACGTGAACATGCCCGAGCGCTATCACTTTACACAGAATGACCGCATCGCACCGCTGTGGATTGTGCCCAAGACGGGCTGGGCGATTGTCACAAAGGATCAGCTCGATGTTGAGGATGCAAAGGCGAATGGGGACGTGTATCATCCTCGGGGGTTGCATGGGTATGACCATGAGCATCCGCTGATGAGGGCCATTTTCATCGCGAGGGGGCCTGCATTTCCGCACCCTGCGAATAGCCAGGTCGACGTTTTTCGTAAGTGGTTCCCGGTTCGAAAATAGTGTTGTGGACGGACAGTGGGCTAATCTTGTCGGTAGAAAACATCGAGGTCTATAATTTGTTGTGCGACTCCCTTGGTGTGAGGCCCAAGCCCAACAACGGAACGCTGCGACTGCCGTTGAAGCCTATCGGGACGCACGATGGTGATGAAGAGCCCAAAATCCCCGAAGATCCAGTGACGTCTTATACCGTCAGCTCGACTTCTTCAGTGTCTGTGAAGACGCAGACCATTCCCCGTCCGTCAGTGCCCCCTAAGCCGACTACCTCAATCTCGACCTCGACCTCGACCTCAGCTTCTCTATCGTCAACGTCTTCTACGTCGGCTACGTCATCATCACAGTCATCTTCATCTTTATCAAGACCGCATTCAAGTACAAGCACGGCAGCACCTACACCTACTCAAACACCTCAAGACGACGAAGACGGACAAGACTCTTCTGGCTCGTTGAAGGACACTGTGGCTGGCCTATGGGATTGGGTGTCGAAAGAGCTCGGCAAAGTCTGGCATAAGATTACGGATGGTTCGGGTTGAAGCCTCCGAGCCTCGCCGTAGCATCTCTGTTTTCCTTGAAAGCTTCTTTGAGGTATGGTCACATATACACACACACACACACATTGGCAGAGGCGTTTGGGCTGTTTTGGGAATCATACATAATTACCTAGGGTTGTTTTATACTGCACGGCTTTGTCACCTTGAACCAATAGACTTTCCAACCGCGGCTTGTGGCTGCTGTCTGTTACTGCTCGCTTATGAATGTGATTTTATATGACGACCGAGCTCACACCGAGATCGGCGTATGGAGAGTGTCGCTCGAGGCTGGGTGACATCATATCCCTCCTAGGCTGAGCGTCTTTACTGTCTTAGTGCAAGGTCCCTTGAAACCCGTTCAACGTTTGGGTTAAGTCAGGGCCCTTGGGGTGTATTAAACATTCGAGCCAAGTACTATTGAAATTGTGATAGTTGAGGGCCTGTGGACATGGCAGTATTTTGTGTATCAGTGAAAGTTGATGAAATGAGCGAAAAGGCATAAAAAGTCGCTATAATAGGTACCTATCTGTCAGGGCAACCGTACAGTAAGGTACTGCTAAGTACTACTTAATGGGCCCCACTATAAGGTACCGGACGAAACACCTTTAGTTGACGCGACGCGAAGTTTGCAGTGAATTGTTCGCCTCTTGCAACTGCCTCAGGTACTCCAGAACCCACTTCTATCAAAGTCCATTGCACTCTGTTTTGATACCAGCAGTCGCCCGATTTTCAATCTCTGTTTTTGTCGGTTTGTTTTGTTTTTCACATCTCAACACCTCTTGCGGGCGGCTCACCGCATCCCTTCCGTCTTCCGCGCTTACATCACAAAAGGATTATCACGGTCCTCACAATTCTCGGTTACACAACACCATCCAACGTGCTCCGGAAAGGCGTGTGTGTATAGGTATCATCATTGGCCAAACTTATGGAGTCGAAGAGGCCGCCGCCGCCGTCTGCCTAATTTTCCCATTTTCTCACCGAGAACAAGGCAAAGGACGGCCAAACGGCATATGAACATAGCCCCGTTCGCCCAATCGGACCAGGACAACGCATCGTACTTTGCTCGCCATGGCCATGAATCGCGAGGCGCTGCGGGAGGAGCTGATGATCCAGGAGGTCATCCTCGAGTCGCTGCAGGGCGAGACCTTTGACGATGCGGAGGAGCAGCGCGAGGATGCGAAGAAGGAGATTTCGAGGCTTAAGAGGGCCTTGAGAGCCTTGCCCAAGACGACATCCGGCGATGAGGGTATGTATGCCTGGTACTACATTCTAAACGCCTGCCTTGCCTCGGTATTGGCCAGTCTGTATGGAGTAGAGGCACTTCCACAGTGTCAGCCTCATTATTGATGCCACGATGCCTCGGCCGAGCAAAGCCCCCCTTTCGTATAACTGAGCCTTTTTTTCTGATTGGAAAAGCCATGCTGATTCTGATTCGATGCCATTGTGATCTAGGCGGCCCAAGTAACAGCAGAACAGAAGCCCAACGCGCGGACTCGCAGGCTTCAGCGTCACCCCAAGGTGAGTCTGCGTGCATTTTCTCACCACTTCTGCTGCCAAATATTGCCCAAAGGCGGTCACCGTCATCTGCGTCTTCTTCCAACCTGAACCCTCAGGTATCTGTTTCACCTGGATTCTTTTCCCTTCTGCTTCACTTCTGCCTCACCCGACGTTTCTTTTGTTTCCCTCCCCTTGCATTGCAATTCACAGCACAGCACGATCCTTCATTAGGAGAAAAGTCCGGACACCTGCCAGATTCACAGGGCTAGAGACTCTCTGTTCACTTCTGCTGGTCTGATGCACTTCTTCTCGCATTCTACACCCCCCTCCCTTGCATCACGTTCACGCTGCATTCACGCCCCCTAAATAGCCTCGTTCTATTGACGAGTGAGACCTGGTTCCCACCCTCCTCTTGCCGCAGAGCCTCCTGTGTCTCTGTGCCAGCAACCCCTGGCCCCTTTGCCAGCTCTTTTGTGCAACCTATAAGGCGCCCCTTTTGTCCTGCTGTCTATTCACTTTGCCTTGGACCCCTTCCTGGCAGCCGAACTCTCCTCTTTCCTTCTCAGCGTCAACTGGCTCTAGAGGCATGCCCCTCTCATTCATCGACTAACGACTCCTTCGACAGAACAACCAGAACAGAGCCGAGCGAAAACGCCGGCGTCTGCAGGGCCCTCGACATCGCGTGTGCCCTCAACCGTCATGGAGACGCCGAGAAAGCCGCTGGCGTCCGAGTATGGAGAAAGCCCTTCGCTGACGGTAAGGAGTCGCAAGCGAGACTTTGAGGCCACTGGATTGCATCCCGGAGCAGACTCGACTCCGCATCGACGAACGGCTCCAGGGCCCTTCAGCGGCTCTCTAAACCCATCCTGGTCTCCTTCGTCAGACGAGCAGATTGAGATTATTGACTTGACTGGGTACGTTACTTGTCCGCTATGAGGTGTAACTGCAGTTATTCCGGATTACCCCTGTGTCCGAGTCTGGAAGCTAACGCACGAGGCAGAGCGGATGTTGATTACGACTCATCCAAGATTGTGGAACAGCTCAGGCTGGAACGAGAGCGGAAGAGAATTGTAGAGCGAGGGAATGCTACCACAGCCTCGCAATCTTCGTCTCGGAATGCTTCCGGCCCTTCTAGAGCCTCGGGTTCAGAGCAACCGTCTGCCTTCTCTAGGATAATGGCGACGCAACGCCTAAACCAGTCCCAAAATGTTTTCGAAATCTCAGATGACGAGCTCGAGCCGCCTCTTCCCAGCCTGGTTGCTCGAGGGCCGGCATATGGCGCATCTTCCGGACCATCAGCTAACGGCCAACCTGTGCGCGGGGTGAATCAACCAAACCCCAATCCACCTTATTATCAGCTGCCGACTGGGAATCTGCCAATGCCTGGAGCTTTTCCAGGAGCGCCCATGATGCTGGGAATGCCTATAGAGGCGTCCGCTTTAGGCCGTGGGACCCTGACGCCATTGTCCGACATCATCAACAGGACCAGCTCCTTTGACTACGTCAACGGCGTCGACGGGGACGGCAATATGTTGCCTAGCCACCTCATGGACTTCATCAACAACTCCTTCCACGACCCCCGAGTGACGGAACAGGAGCTGGATGACTTGTTGAAGAACATCCGCCCTGATATGGATATTCCAGAGGACAAGCGAGATGGTACCCCTGAGGGCCTTAAGAATGCACTCTATCCCCATCAGGCCCTCGCCCTGTCGTGGATGAAACAGATGGAAGAGGGTACCAACAAGGGTGGTATATTGGCCGACGATATGGGTCTTGGCAAGACTATATCGACCTTGGCTCTGATCTTGTCGAGGCCAGCTAAGTCGCGCCCCAAGGTGAGTGATAGCCAGCCTACCTTGCACGAATGCTGTTCCCTCTCACTTCTTGTGCTAACTCTCCTGCCCTAGACAAACCTGATTGTTGGCCCGGTAGCCTTGATTCGACAATGGGAAGAGGAGATTCATAAGAAGACGAAACCCTCTCACCGATTGTCTGTCTTCGTATACCACAACACAAAAGCCACGATTGATGACATGCTCAAATATGACGTCGTGCTCACCACTTATGGCACCCTCGCCCAAGAGATGAAACGCCTGGACAGCTACCTCGAGAGCAATGCGGATCGCAACATTGACTTTACCGATAGAGCCATCGCAACAAAGTTTCCGCTGCTGAACCCGAGAAAGTCCAAGTTCTACCGCGTCATTCTCGACGAGGCCCAGTGCATCAAGAACCGCAACACCAAGACTGCTAAGGCATGTCATAAGCTAAGCGCCGTGCACAGGTGGTGCCTCTCCGGAACCCCCATGATGAATGGTGTTCTCGAGATCTTCTCCTTGGTTCATTTCCTTCGCATCAAGCCGTACTGTGTCTGGGACCAGTTTCGAAGAGACTTCTCTCCACTCTTTAACAAAAATAGTGCGACGGACGGTGTCGCCATGCACAGGTTCCGCGCTCTTCTCAAGGCAATCATGCTTCGCCGCAAGAAGGACTCCGAGCTGGATGGAAAGCCTATTCTGGTGCTGCCTGCCAAGAGGGAACAAGTCATCTACGCCGACCTCTCCCAAGACGAGCGTGACTACTATGATCAACTCGAGAAAGCCTCCAAAGTCACATTCAACAAATATCTACGCGAAGGCAGTGTCGGCAAGAATTACTCCAGCATCCTGGTTCTTTTGCTTCGTCTTCGTCAGGCATGCTGCCACCCTCATCTCAATCTCGACGTTGAAGACACCGCGCCCAGTGTTACCACGGAAGAGCTGCTTGATCTGGTCAAGAAGCTGGATGAGTCGATAATTGTCAGGATCAGGGAGGCCGACGCTTTCGAGTGCCCTATATGCTATGACGCCGTCCAATCGCCATCCTTCTTCATTCCCTGTGGTCACGACACCTGCCAGCAATGCTTGACGCGGTTGGTGGATAGCGCAGCGGCCTCCAACCTCCAGCAAGGAAACGAGGGCGTCGCGACGGCTAAGTGCCCCGTGTGCCGTGGTCCGTTTGATCCCAAGAAATGCTTCAATTACGAAACCTTCCAACAAGTGCACATGCCGGAACGTGTCGAAGCACCTGTAAAGGACGAAGAAGATGAGAGCGACAGCTCTGGAGACGACAACGACGACGACGACGACGACGACGACGAATACTCCTCCGAGGATGTTGACGATGACGAGGTAGACAGCTATGGCGATCTAAGAGACTTTATAGTGCATGATGACGTCGAGTCTGGTTCGGACCGGGAAAAGATCAAAAGCGAGAAGAAGGAAAAGAAAGAGAGAAAGAAGAAGAAGAAGAAGAAGGGCAAGAAGAAGATGACCGAAATCAAGCCCTCCATGCTCAGGGCCCTTCGACACGATGCGTCAAAGAGTCGTGCCGCCTATAAAAAGTACATGGGTTACCTGCGCAAGACGTGGCTGCCTGCTGCCAAGGTGTCGGAGTGCATGAAGCTGCTGCAGGAGATACACGAAACCGGAGAAAAGACGATTGTGTTTTCTCAATGGACCCTCTTGTTGGATCTGCTCGAAGTGGCCATGTGGCATGACCAGTATCCGGGCAAGATGAGGCGGTACGACGGAAGCATGTCTGCTGAACATCGATTCCAAGCGGCCGTGGACTTTCGCGATAAGAAGGACGTCAAGGTCATGCTTGTCTCTCTGCGAGCGGGCAATGCGGGACTCAACCTCACTTCGGCATCGCGCGTCATCATCATGGATCCGTTCTGGAACCCCTACATTGAGATGCAGGCCGTTGATCGTGCGTACCGCATTGGCCAGATGAAGGAGGTCACCGTGTACCGGATCCTGACTAAGGAGACGGTGGAGGACCGGATTGTCGAGCTTCAGGATCGGAAGAAGGCCATGGTGGAGGCGGCGCTGGACGAGGCCGAGAGCATGAAGATTGGAAGACTGGGCGTCAATGACCTCAAGTTCCTCTTTACTGGACACTGAGTGTCGAGAGAGGCGAGGGTCTATCAAGGCTCACTCTGCTTTACCTTGGCCGTCTTGCGCTTTGCGTTCGGCTGTCTGTTGTCTTTTTTTTGGGATTGTTTTCTTGGGAGCTTTTCCGCTCTTTGCCGGAAGGACCAATGATGTTTACACCTTGCTTTTACTTGTCAACACAGGAAGGGATCTTTAGTATGGAAGCGGGACGGGATGCGAATCTTCGCTTCGTTGATGAAGAATAGCGTACTTTATAGGTTGATGAACGAATCAAATCGAGCTTTATGACAATACCTACAGGCGATTGGGCATTTATTTCACCTCTTTTATGAACTTTGCAACTCTTTTCGTAAGGAAACCAGCATTGACGAAGTCATCTTTCTTAGAACTCTTGAGCAATCCATTACCAATCCACATTGTTGACGAAAACTCCGTGTGTCCTGTACACATGTATACACCGTACTCCCCAAAAACAGCAGTAATATCTCAAAGAACTTCATCCTCAGCCTTTCGCAATTTCTCGCGCAAAGAGCTTCAGTTCTTCAAAGAAGACGGCATTTGTCCCGCGCCCGCCCCCAGCTTAAATCTCCGCTTCGTCATGCCCTCTCTCCGCCATCTCCCTCAAATCATCAAACCACCTAGCCAGCCCCCCTGCCGCGACACCACCACCACCACCACCGCCGCCGCCGCCGCCGCCGCCGCCCCCTTTCTCGAAACGCTCAAGCTCAGCCTCGAGCTGCTCCATTGCGGGAAAGAAACGCTCGTTGTCCTAATTGAGCGTCGCCTGCATCCCGGGGAGCGACTGCACAATGTCCGCCGCTGGACGGGTTTCGCTCTGTCTTCCGGCGGCGAGGGACCATGTCCATGTGATGGGGTTTCCGGTTTGTTCTTCCGTCATGATGAGGGAGAGGGAGAGGTTTCCCATTGGTGTCGTGGCGTTGTCGTTGTCGTCTCCTTCGTGGTCTAGGGAGAGCGTGAATTTGACGTCGTTTTGGATAGCTTTGCTGTCCGCATTGTTTGTATTGTTGTTGTTGTTGTTATCATTGTCGTTGCCGTTGTTGTTGTTGTTGTTGTTCTGAGCGGCTCCTGAGGGTTTGGAGGAGGAAGAGGAGGCGAGAGTAGAGTAAAAGTGGTTTGTGAGAACGCGGGAGATGGCAGTCCGCAGGTAGTCGCCCAGCGCCTGGACGCTGGGATAGCCTTCCGCCCAGGGGGGACACAAGGCGGGGAGAGGCGACGACGGAGGGAGGAGGATGTAGTAGTACGTTGCCGTGACGGGGAAGCTAAACGCCCGCGCGCGAATGATGAAGGAGACGCCCGGCACGATTGTGACGTCGAGCGTAAAGTCCTGCGTTTGCAAGAGGTTGCGGACGAGCGTCTGTGAGGCAGAGAGCTGGTTCGGTCCGCGGGGGCCGGGGTCGGATGCGGTTGCTTGCGCGGTGCGGAGGACGACTGAAGAGGGGAGGCCGGCCTTTTGAAGCGTCTTGACCAGCTGGCCGACGTACTGCGTGGAGTCTTCAATGTTCTTCAGGTACATTGTGCGCGCGAGGACGGGGCGGAGGAGGGCATAGGACTGCTGGCGAGCAGTGCGCGAGATGTGTGGTGGGACGGGCCGTATCCTCATGAGCTCGTTGTATCTGTGGGCGTAGCTGAGGAGGATGTGCAAGACCATGGACGTCTTTTCCGCGAGGCCATTCTCTGGCAGATCCTGGTCATGGGAGGGACATGATTCCAGGGGGAGGAGTTCGAGGGTGATTTTCGTCTTTTCGTCGGCTTGGCACGTCAACTTCTTGCCTTCAGGCTTGACGTCGTAGGCGGCTAGTGACCGCGACTCTTTGGTGAGCTCGTGCCAGAGCTCTTGCGAGAAGATGGTGTTGCGCGCTTCCAGGATTCGAGACTCTAGTGAGCCGTCTTCGGAGGCTGACCGTGTGGTTGATCGCCCAATCACCTTGCCGTCTCTTTCGTATGTGACGACAAGGGCTTCTGATACGCCGCCCAAGCGACCAAAGTCGAGATCGGTCGACCCATCGTCACCGCGTCTCATTGGCGCCAAGCCGCTGTTCTTGAACTCGGGAGCGGCTATCGACATGGTTAGCTGCTGCTGCAATGCCATCCACAGAAGTAGGGATCCGACGTACCCTCTGAGAAGCCAAACCTCACGCCCAACGTGTGCCGCTCCTGCGGGACCTTGCATACGGACCAGCCGGCTTTCTTGACCGAGACGATGTCTTCCCAGTATTTGCTCTCTGCCGCGATCTCCTTCTCCAGGAAGGCGGCGGCATCTTCTGCTGAATCCCTCGTTTTGTTGATTTCCATAATGGTCCATCCCATGGCCACGGCCTCTTGATCCTTCGTCTTGGCTGGTGTGACGTTGGAGTCGTGTAGCCGGTCCGCGCCGAGCGTGCCAATGCCGACCATGTCGCGCAGCTGCTGGGACAAGGTCAAGCCCGCCTGCGTCGGATTCTGCTTCGAGAGGAGGAGGGACATGGAGTCGAGAGTCAACAAGGCGGTGTTACCGGCAATGCTGCAGCTTATGTGTCAGAACCACATCTCTCTTGGTGCCAGAACAGAATAGTCGTCGCCATCTCGATGGGAGGGGTCCTCCTTACTCAATATTCTTCAAGACTTCCATGCGCGCAACGTTGGGATCTTTCTCCGCGACCTCGTTCTCCGGCCCAGCATCCGACATGTCCTCATCTTCATCCGCCGCGCCATCAGACGACTCGCTGTTCTTTAGCTCCTCGCGCAGTTTGGCCTCTGTCACGGCGCGGAAGCCGCCTGGCTGGGCGTTGACTCGGGCGATGAACTCGGCGAGGTTCTTGGGTTTCTGGTCGGCGACGGGGAACGGCCGCAGCGAGAGCGGCGGGGGCCCGTCTGCTGAAGACATGGCGAGGCCTAACCGATGATCAACTGCTATCTCGAGAGAAGACGCATCAGATAGGATGGGAAATGAAAGATGACAGAAGGTTGCGGCAGTCTTTTGGTAAAGTCTGGAGCTTGTAGCTTGACGAGGCTGAGAAGTTGCCGGTCTGTGGTTGGGAGAAAGATGGGCAAGTGGGGGAGTTGTTGAATGCTGCAGGCTGTTGCTGATTGGCTGCGCACTATATCAGCTGCGCGAGCTTAGCGATGTATCTTGGCGCGGTGCGTGGGTGCGCAGGTACAGGCAATCGTAGCCTTGCGGCTTACACCGTGACGTTGAGAGTTGTATCGGTACTCGTACAGTATCATAGTGATGCTTGCCCTGGAAGATGAATGCCTGTCAGAGCCCACAGCGCCGTTAACAATCTACAGTCTACAATACAGTACGGAGCAGCTAGCGGTGGCACCAATCACGCAGACTTTTGGTGTAATATCTGGACGATCAGCGTGGGCGTTTGGCTGCACTGTTACTCCGTCATGCTCGCAAACCTCCGAAGCTGGGACCAGACCCTCTCTCTCTTCGCCTCTGCCCCAATTCCTTACAGGGGGGCCCCTCTAGCGCAGCAGCCGCCGAGCGCCGGAGCTTCGTGCCGTGAGAACGATGTAATAGGCGGCCTGTCATTGGAATTGAAGCGAATCTCGATGGGCAGCAGCGATTGGCAAATTCCCTCACTGCCATTACGTCGTAATTGTGGTCAATGCTTCAAGGGACGAGGTGCCACGATTCTCGTCTATACTCGTATTGCGCCCCTGCAGGCGTGGCGTGAGAGGAATTCGAGCTGTGCTGAATCGCGGTAATACAGCAGTTGCGGGAGTGTAAGGTATTCAGGTTGTAGGTACCTAGTAGTAGGCATTACGTAGGAGGGGTCAGATGCCATGACGGAATGACGATGAGTTGCGTGTAACCAATAGGCGATCAAGAGACGCTCAGCTTCAGATCCTGCAGCCCCAATTCCTCCTGCCCTCTTGACGACCGCGTCTTTGCCTCCTGTTCCCGTCGCTTCAACCAACAGTCCCTCGTGCTGTTAATGCATTAGAGAGGACGATCAGCGGGCTGAGGAGAGAAAGCGACAAGCAGAGTAGAGCGCTGAAGAAAAAAAAAGAAACCTGCCCAAAGCCCCGCCATCTGATAACGTTCCAACTAAGGGCCGATAAGAGCTTCTTCCAGTCGTCTCGTCAATTCCCCTCATGCCGCTCTAAACCTTCCTCGAACCTCGAACTACACCAGCATCTATCCCTTTGCTTGTTTGCCAATTCCTCATCCCGCTCATCCCAGAGCTCACGGGCGACGGGCCCCTTTAGATGCCTCTTCAGCATTACCTAGAATTCTTTCCAGGGCCCATTGACATCCTCCTCACCTTCCGCCGCTTCTTTCGACGCATCTGGCGAGCGCTCTTCCGCGGACTCGGATACACCACCACCGCCTTTGCCTTTGCCTCAGACTTGCCGCCCACGATGGCGCCCAAGAAGAAGATTGCCGTCATGACCTCGGGAGGCGACTCCCCCGGCATGAACGCCGTCGTGCGCGCCGTTGTGCGCATGTCCATCCACATGGGCTGCGATGCCTACTGCATCTACGAGGGTTACGAGGGGCTTGTGCAGGGCGGCGACTTCATCCGCCAGATGGCCTGGGACGACGTCCGAAGCTTCCTGTCCGAGGGCGGCACGCTCATCGGAACGGCACGATGCATGGCCTTTTACGAACGACCGGGCCGGCTGACGGCGGCCAAGAACATGGTGCTCAACGGCATCGACGCCCTCATCATCTGCGGAGGAGACGGCTCTCTGACGGGTGCCGACAAGTTTCGCGCCGAATGGCCGTCGTTGATTGAGGAGCTCGTCGACAACAAGGAGCTGACGCCTGAGCAAGTTGCGCCATACAGGCATCTCAACATTGTCGGCCTGGTCGGGTCCATTGACAATGACTTGTCCGGCACCGATGCCACCATCGGCTGCTATTCTGCCCTCTCGCGTATCTGTGAGATGGTCGACTACATTGAGGCTACGGCCTCTTCACACTCCCGTGCGTTCGTCATCGAAGTCATGGGACGACACTGCGGCTGGTTGGCGCTTTTGGCGGGCGTTGCCACGGGAGCCGACTTTGTCTTTATCCCTGAGCGGCCCAGAGATCAAGACTGGAGAGAGGACATGAAGCTTGTAGTTCAACGGGTGAGTCTTGATATCGCGTCATCAATTCATTATCTATGCGTACATACGCAAAGATGCGAACTGTATAGCTGACCATGTCGCTTGTTTAGCACCGTAAAATGGGAAAGCGAAAGACCATTGTCATCGTCGCAGAGGGCGCCCGCGATAAAGACGGCACCAAGATCACTCCCGAGCAAATCAAGGATCTCCTGGCCGACAAGAGCGAGGGCGGGCTCAACCTCGACACCCGCATCACCACCCTGGGCCACGTCCAACGAGGAGGTACGGCAGTGGCTTACGATCGCATACTCGGCACACTGCAGGGCGTCGAAGCCGTCAAGGCCGTGCTGGAGGCCACCCCCGAGACCGAGACCTGCGTCATCGCCATCAACGAGAACAAGATTGTGCGAAAGCCGCTGATGCAGGCCGTCAAGGAGACCAAGGAGGTGGCCGTTGCTGTCGAGGCCAAAGACTTTGACAAGGCCATGAGCCTGCGAGACACTGAGTTCTCGGACCAGTACAAGTCCTATCTGACAACCACGAATGTGCTCGTAGATGATCACAAGTTGCCCGAGAAGAGCGTTAGTGTTCACTTGCATCCCCTTACGGCGTGACCGTCATTGACTGACTCTTGCGTAGCGAATGAAGATTGGCTTCATCAACGTCGGCGCCCCTGCCGGAGGTATGAATGCCGCTGTGCGCGCAGCTGTTGCATACTGCCTCTCCCGCGGGCACGAGCCCCTTGCCATCCACAACGGCTTCGCCGGATTTGCGCGCCACCACGGCGACTCACCCCTTGGAGCCGTGCGGCCGTTTGACTGGCTCGAGGTCGACGGCTGGGCCAGCAAAGGCGGCTCGGAGATTGGCACCAACCGCGAGCTCCCCTCAGAGTCCGGCATGGAGCTGATTGCCAACCTCATTGAGCAGTACGAGTTTGACGCCCTCTTCATCGTCGGCGGCTTCGAGGCCTTCCACGCCGTTTCTCAGCTGCGCAAGGCCAGGGATGAGTATCCGTCACTCTGCATCCCCCTCTGCCTCTTGCCGGCCACCATCTCCAACAACGTCCCCGGCACCGAGTACTCTCTGGGATCGGACACCTGCCTCAACGAGCTGGTCAACTACTGCGACAAGATTAAGCAGTCTGCCTCGGCCACGCGCCGCCGTGTCTTTGTCATTGAGACGCAGGGTGGACGCTCGGGCTACGTGGCGACACTGGCCGGCCTCAGCGTCGGGGCCTCTGCCGTCTACATTCCCGAAGAGGGCATCAGCCTCGAGATGCTTAATGCCGACGTCAAGCATCTCAAGGAAGTCTTCCACCACGACAAGGGCCAGTCCCGCGCGGGCCGCCTGATCTTGGTCAACGAAAAGGCCAGCAAGGTCTACGACGCAAAGCTCATTGCCAGCATCATCCGCGAGGAGGCGCACGACCGGTTCGAGAGCCGCGAGAGCATCCCCGGACACGTGCAGCAAGGAGGTGTCCCCTCGCCCATGGATCGCTGCCGTGCTGTTCGGCTGGCCATTAAGTGTATGCAGCACCTGGAGGGCTTTGGCCGCAACGCGCACAACCGCGTGAAGAAGGACCCCTACAGCACGAGCGTCATCGGCATCCAGGGCTCCGAGGTCGTGTTCTCGCCGATCGAGGAGCTGGAGGAGAAGCACACAGACTGGGCCAACCGAAGACCCAAGACGGCGCACTGGTTGGACATGCAAGATGTAGTCAACATGCTAGGCGGGAGACCAGCGTATCCCAAGCCGGAGAAGAGCCTGACGGGACTCATTGCCAAGGATACGAAGCGCGGGCTCTACTGGGGAGCGGACTAGGTTGTGTTTTATGATTACCTGTATTTCTTATCTGGGGCCAAAGGATGAAAACAAGAGTATCAAAAAACAATCGCGTGGGAGAGCTGTTTGACAAGGTATTACAGTAGTGTTACAGAAACCAAACGATTATTGGGAACAACGACAATAAAGCATCATCACATGAAGCTCCGACCCTATATAAGAGAGCGCAGTGAAGGGAAAATGCCTCCACGTCTGGATGCCCAACTACCCCTGGCTGCCGGCGATGTGGACTCGATGAATGCCGACTAAGGAGATGTGTGAGCAAATGGGAGATGCCCGGCTGGCAACTGCCGCTGTGGCCTGCAGTCAAGGCATGAAAAAAACGTCTGGTTCCTTGCATCTTTCATCTCATGGGTGATGGCTAGCAGAAGAGGGCGAAGCTTTTGTGCATGCAAGCTGCAGTGTTAGTGTCGATGCTCTTTTACATGATCGAGGCAGCCAACTTGACCAAATGGCCCAGCGAGAGAGAGTGAGGAAGAGGGAGAGAGAGATATGCTATCAGCCTATGTGATGCCACTCAAGGGATGATGGATGCTTCTGGGAAGTAGGAGATTATTCTTGTACGGACTAATTAATCTACGATTGTTCAGGAAATTTATGGTTATTTCTTAATATATCCATCTCTCGGGTGTGTTCAGAGGACGAGTCTCGAGACACACCACCACAGGATCTCATGGTGTTTGACGACACCCACACCCACACCCACACCTACACAGACGGAACACACCACTTTTTCTTCCGACTTGCCCCCCCAAGAGTACAGTAGGTAGGTAGGTTGGCAGTGCTCGTAGTCTCTTCGGTTTAGGGGAGGGGTCACGATGGCCAGGGGGGGGGGGCCTTGGTGACGGCATGTGACGGTATTGTTCACTTTTCGAGCTTGCAAAGTACATGCAGTAGCTCATGGCACTACTGGGCATCAGTGACGCCATGCTTTTTTCTTCCTTCATTTGCTGCCATTCTGTGACTGACAACACTCAACATAATGGAACAAAGGCAAACGAGAAAATTTTAATCCATCATCCCATCCAGCTATCAATGAATGCCTAGTACCTCAGGTAGCCAACGAAGGGAAGAGACTGGAGGGTATACCTATGGATAGGTACAGGTCCCAAGGTCAGGCTCTCATCAAGGTGCACTCCGGCTCCAGCATCGTTTGCGGCGTAAGTCACCGGATGGGTCACTGGACACTTTGTTCTGCGAACGCCTTTGGAGGGACCACATGCAACCCGAAGTTGTTACCTGAGGTAAGGTGATGCAGCAAGTAGATACCGTAAGTACGAGATACATACATTACATGACCTACCTACTAGAGGTAGATAGGTAGGTAGGTAGTTGCTGCATCGAGTTTAGGGTTTGGATCCGGCCATGTGTGTTCTTTATGCATCGCCTACCTTGGCATTTGCTGAAATTGCTTGCTTCATCTCTCTCTAAAAGCTGTTCGAGAAGACTATGGAAGAGCCAAGCAAATGGCAAGGAAAGAAAAGAAACCCGACATTGAAAGGGCTGATAACGGTAGGTAGGTAGGTAGGTACCTTAGGTGATGGAAGGTATGTACCTGGGTATCAACTGAACCTGTGGGGGCGGAAGTGTGCCTAACCACTGCAGGGGAGGGGGAGGGCCCTCTATTTGACGGATAGGTAGGTACTCAGAGGAAAAGGAAGAAAAGAAACTTGGTACTTTGTTATGCCATCATCTCCATCGTTCACACGGGGAAACAGAAAAGAAAAAAAAAAAAAAAAAAAAAAAAAAAGAGTCAAGGCAGATACCTAGTAGAGGGACAGGACAGGATTCGAGCGAGAAAGAAGGTAAACGAAGCGTCCCCAAGGCCAAAAAACCCGCATGATGGAAGCGCTGCATGGCAAATGGCTGGCCTTGGCTCTAGCTCGCATGCACCATTGCGTCAGGCGCGAAAGACGACTTTTCTGGACTAGATTTTACGAGTAGGTAGGTAGGTAGTAAAAGTAGTACGAGTAGGTATGTAGTATGTACCATGTAAGAATCATGGATCTGTAAAGTGGGAGCAGCAGCAGCAGGTTGGGCTGGAATTGGAGAGGTTGGTTTTTGAGGTGGTCCTTTTCACAGCCCCCCTCTGTACCTAGTAGATGGGGAAGTATGGAGGGAACTAGTAGGGGGGGGCGCTGTTGAATATTTGGGTTATGGGTGATGGGTGATAGAGGGGCAGTATAGCAGAAGCAGAGAGAGTTGGAGCAGAAGAGAGAGAGACAAGAGAGGAAAGAAGAGTCATGGATGTTGATGTTGATGTTGATGTTGATGCTGCTGCGCCTTTTGGCTGGCGGGGAGTGGGTTGGTCGGTTGGTTGGGTGGTGGTTCTTTGCTAGGTAAGTAGGTACCCTCTAACGGAGGGCCCATGATGGACCGAGCCGCTGCTAGTATGGAGGCGTAGCAGCCACTGCACTGGTTGACGTTCCTGATTGACCTGTCCTGATGCCGCACGAGTACCGTTCATTAGACTGGACGGCTTACTTGGTTTGATAGTACTAGAAAGCTTGTCATGAGGAAGTTTTACCACTTGTTTCACATTTCGATGCCCAACTCGGGGGGAATGGAGTCACCTCATTCAAGCCTGGTGTGTGTTAGTGGTCAACAGCAGAGCAGCCCAGCCCGGCCTCAACAGCGTCATCACCGCTATGTATCGGGGGCTGTAATACCTACATGTACCTACATACCTAGCTTGGAGCAGCTTCCAGCACCACCACCAGCACCCTTCTTTGACTGCCCTCGCAGCAGCCTCGCAATGATTGTCCGCTATCTCTCCCGCGAGCTCCATCCGGGTGCATTTGCGAATGCATGCAACTGCTCCTCCAGCCGTCCTTTGTAACAAAGCGCACACCAGACCAGGTCGCCAATTTCCCAGTAAGCAAGCAAGCAAGCAAGCAACCCCGCTCAGGCTCCGAGATCATATCACCAAGAAGCGTCAAAGCCGGGCAAAGAAACACCTGAAGCGGGGAGGGAAATGGAAACAGTAGAGAAGAAGAAGTATCTAGCAGATGTTTCGACATCCTGAACAACAAGACAAGGAATGCCGGAGAAGACGAGAGATGGAACACGAGAGACACAGAAGGCTCTCACTCCTCCAGCAGGCCTCTCTCGTCTCGGCAGATACGACGCATGATTGATCCCATCTACTAGGTAGTGGCGCCTTTCGGGACCCCCCCTGGCTCGTTTTCGGGCCTCCAGTAGATGACACACAAGACATCCGGCCAGGTCAGGTTCCAGCAGCAGCAACTTTTTGATCGCCTGAGCCAGTTTCTGGTCCTGTCTGCTGCCCGGGGATGACGTTGGCCAGCCCCCTGTCGCCAGCTGATACTGCCTTGCTGCCTCTAAAAAAGTCATCACTGCCCCCCCCTCGCAGCCGTTGGCGCCCGCCTTTTTGCTGGGTTTGGAACTGCTCAAAACCAGGCACTTCGATCGACTTCTCTTCTTTCACCTCCAACATCTCGCTTTGTCCTCCCCAGAACGCAGCGGCTTCTGTTTGCATCTGTAGCTCCTTTGTGCGCATCGAACCCTTCGACCGTTCGCCTCTGCCCTGTGCGCGGCTTTTCCGGCGTCCTTTGTTGACCTGTGAGTTGTGTCCCTCTCTCTCCTGGCCCTTCCCTGTCGACCTGCCGGGATCTCTCGCCTGTGCAAAATAAAAAGCACACGAGAGAGACGAGGGAAAACGTCACAAGGCAGGCCATTTTGTCTCAGCCGCATGACGTTCCCACCTTTGCTTGGACCCCGCTCGTCGACTCCTCCCGCTGATACAAGTACTGACTCTGGGCAGAAGAAGCAAAGCTATTTCTCTCTCTCTCTCTCTGTTTCTTGTTTGCTTTCCCATACAGCAACCTTGTACACGCCAAGTAGTGGTATTACCCGAGGTACACGGGAATAGCCTCAGCCTGAGCGACTTTGTTTTTTGTTTGTTTGCAGCTGCGAGCCCGGACGCCGCAGACACATACAAACACACAGCATGGCCTACCGAGACCAAGACTACCGCCGGTCCGCCGTCGAGTTTGACGACACCATCCGCACACGCACCGTCACCCGCAGCCCCGCGCCTCCCACTCCGCGCTCCCGCCGCGGCGAGTTTGAGGAGTTTGACGTGCGCATCCGCGAGCGAGATGGCGACCTGCCCGACTTCCTGAGGTCGTCGCGGAGGCCCGAGGCCGGGCCCATGGTGCTGCGTCAGCGCGATGCCGACCCTTACGACCGCCCTCCGCGCGAGCCCAGCCCGATCCGCTTCCGCGAGGAGCGCATCGTCCGCAGGGCCCAGAGCGTCTCGCCCTCCGAGCCCGAGCGTGAGCGCTCGCGCACCCGCATCGTCGAGAAGATCCGCAGCCCGTCCGTCGCCCGCCGCAGGTCGCCCTCGCCCCGGGCCGTGCGCTATGTCGAGCCCTCGGACGCCACCTCGGAGCACATCCGCATCGTCGAGCGCGAGCGTGAGCGCGAGCGGGTGCCGTCGCCATCGCCCTCACCCCCGCCTGCGCCGCCCGTCATCCGCGGGCCCGTGATTGAGCGTGAGGTCATTACTCACTACACAGACATTGACCATGGTGAGTTTTTTCTTTTTGTTATTGTTGTTGTTGGAGAGAAGACGATGTCGTCGTCGTCGTCGTCGTCGAATAGAGTTCAATACTAACAAACGCCCTCCCTAGGAATGATCCAGGCCAGGCCGCCATCCCCGCCTCCCGCGCCACGGCCCCGCCAGCGGGAGCGGGAGCGCGACATCCGGGAGACGGACATTGACATTCAGCTGTCCAAGGGCCGCACCGAGGTCGAGGTTGACTTCCACCGATCCGCCAGCCGCACTCGCTCCAAGAGCCGCGAGAGGCGCTCCAGCCGCTTCTACGACGATGACATTGTCATCCGCCGTGACCTCAAGATTGAGGAGACCAAGGGCCGCCGGAGGGCTCACTCCGCCGCTCCCCGCCCCGTAGAGGACGACGAGGCTGAGTACATCACGTCCAAGGTCGACTCTCGCGGCCGCATGGGCGAGGCCTGGGGCGGCGCCACCAAGTCTTGGACCATTGTCGACGTGCCCCCGGGGACTGAGCGGATACGCATGGACGGCGTTGGCGGCGCAACCACCGACACCACTTGGACCAAGTACAGCGGCGTGCGGAGGACCAAGTTCATCCCGGAGAGGGAGAGGGACCGAGACGACCTGTCCAACCGCGCCCCCTCGCCGCCGCCTGTCCGGGGCGAGCGCGTCAGCGTCTCCGTCCTTGACCGCGAGCGCGAGATTGAAATCGACCGGAGGGTCGGCCGTTCTCCCGCTCCCGCCCCGCCCAAGGAGATGTGGACCGAGATTACAAAGGACCTGGTCATCCGCGAGGCCATTGAGGAGCTTGGCTACGAGTACGAGGAGACGGACATGTTCTTCTACATTATGGATTACCTGAAATACGTAAGTTGCCTTTATGTGCTGGATCTCTTGCCAGACAGCAGGTTTGCTAACACGGAGTTATAGGACGATGTTCTTCAGTTGACTGAGCTCTCTGATGACATTCGACGATCTAAGCGACAGCGAGCGCGCGAGAGCATTCGCTTCGAATTCGACCGCGAGCGTGACTACTACGAAGACGACCGACGGAGCTACGACAGGCGCGCAGCTCCTCGGCGGGACGAGCGTATTCGGGAGACGGAGATTATCTACGACCGCGACCGCGCCACTCCCTCTCGCTATCGTTGAGGCCCTGACGTCCCAGTGCCGTTGAATGAGTACTGGCTCAAAAGGAGATGGGGGACATTGTGCATGGACATGATATAAACTGATTTGGTTGGATTTTTTCTTCGTCTTTCTTCTCTTCTGGGGGAGACTGAGCGTGAGTGAGAAGTTGGATGACTTATGATCTGTGTCTGCTTTTCTCATGTCTTATGATCCATGACTTGTCTTGATGATGATTGGGAGTTTGATCGATTTCTTCGCTTCTTTTCTCACACTTTTTTTTTTTTTTTTACTTTGGTTTCTTTTTGTTCTTTCATACATGTAATGAATAACGAGAAAAGGCAAATAAACAACTTTACATACATTGATCTGCTCTGCTATTGAGTGGGTGCGATGGGCTTGTTATGCTTGGTCGATTGAGGTCTTTCGCGAGGTGCCTTGCATTTTGCCTTTACTTGACTTGCTTCAAGCAGTCGCCGTGCTACACGGAAATTGTCGTCATTCATCGATGACTTTTCTTGAGTCCCGCTTGTATCAGGACCTTTAGATCAGGAGCAACATGGTCTTTCGTTCATGATGTCTAGCTATATGCGTTCAGCACACTTCATCTTGTCGGCAAAAACATTGTCACGTCAGGTGAGAACAATCAATCAGAACCAAAGTTAACACCGCGGTAGATAATCTTTTGTAAATCACCACGTATTAAGCACCTGATACTAGTTATTCGGTCAACCATGCAAAAGATATCATCACCCGGTGCTTGATGCGGTGCAAATGTCTCGCAGCTTCGGGGTTACCTTGGAAGCCGTGGAGTTTAAGGTCGTTTTGTTACCTATCAATACTACATGTACCTAGGAACTAGGTGGGCACATAAGTACATACCTAGTATTATGTATAGAGCACTTGCTGGAGCGGGGAATAAGAATAGAAGATGTTGGAAAGAAAGAAATTGCTTCTGCGGGTTTTGGATGAAGGAACGAGCTTGTGGCTGGGCAGCGTTGCGGATACTGTGTGAAGTGGGTGGGATGAGGCGTGTGAGGAAACGTGCGTGGCCGTGATTCTAGGAACGGAGTCATCACCTTCTGATACTAGGTAGTAGAAGCCGTAGATGCCGGGTACTATAAAGAACCTTTTCAAGTGCGCCGAAGCAGTGCTCTATAATGGAGTGCTATCTGCTGTCAGTGAGGCTCGAATACCTACGTACAGCAGCACCGTTACGACACTGTTATTTCTGTTACTGCAGCTAATATCGTCGTCGTCGTCGTCGTCATCACATGACAGCTACTACTAGGTACTACCTACTACTAGCAACACAGAAACGAGACGCAGCAACACCATCATCTACCAAAAGTCGGCAGCAAAGCAAAAGGTATGCTGTGTACCTTAGATATATAAACATGCATATGACGTAGAAGATGCCTCCTTGCCCATCTTCACCTATCTCGTCAGTCAAAGACGTCTAGATCTACCTACCAACAAGCAGGTCCGCATCAGCCAGCCAGCTCCAGAGCAGATAAACATCAGATCAAATGCATGTGCTCACGGCCGGTTTCCTTGGCAAATCCTCCGCTTCAAGTTTGATGCGCGCCCCGCTTCCGCTCTGATAATATTTCTTCTACCATATTCTGTCTCTCTCGTTCCAAAAGCTTTTTGCCGCGCTCTACTGTAGCTGCGTTAGACGGGGTTTTGCCGACTGGAGCAGCGACCCAGACGAAAACCCCTCCTTGGCCCCGCTGCAAACCCGCCACGGCTGGCGCTGATTCGTCCGTCGGCGGTCGTCCCGCTTGGGGGGGGGGCAGGGAAAACATTATCCCGACACACCCTGATGCGCCCTTCTCACCTCCCGTCAGCTTTTGCCGCTAGCAGTACTGCTGCCTGTCAGGCGCTGTGCTGTTGTTGGCTACAGCGCTCTCGGGGCCAGTCAATCGGCGCCCGGGCCATTGAACGATTCCCGTCCTCGCTCACTGGAAGCTCGCCTGGGAAACTGCCCTGCCCTGAGCGGCCCCCCGGAAGCACCGCCCAAGTGCCGCCACCTTCTCGCCTGTAGCGCCTCACTAGCGGTGCTGCTCACTGACGTGCACGCCGCCCAGCTCAGCTGCGGAGCGACGAGACGGGCGACTGACGGAACCTGGAACATTGAAACTCTATTCCGCGTTGCATTCTTGACGTTTTCGCACCATCCAGCCTCAGCATACCTCCAGCTACTCCCACCAGTGATAATCTCGGTGTTTTCCCTCTTGTCACCTCTCTCGTCTTCTTACTAGTACTGTCTTTGCCCCTGTTTCAGATCAGACAAACAACAATCGTCGGCCCGGCCACAGCCTCTCGACTCTCGTGACTGGCATCCTCGACCATTTGCCGTCCACCTTCGGTTCGTCTCCCACCCCCTCCAGACGTCACTCGCCGCCATTCCCACAGCCCGGCACGCTCTTTAGCACCTAAACCCCTCTAGAGTAGCGCCTAAACAAGGCACGCAGGCGCTGCAGCTGCAAGCAAGTGGCGGTAGCAACTCGGGCCCCCGTCATCCCACAGAAAACTCACCCCCCCTTGCCGACGCTTTTTCTATTTGGAGGCAGACCCTCTGTGCGATTCCTCGACCCTATTCGCTCTCTTCCTCCATTTACCTGCGTTTGCTTCTGACCGTAATACATACAGCCAGGCAGCTGTTGGGATCCTCACGGTTCGGCCAAGATTGTGAGAAGAAAAAAAATACATCACCAAAGAAGAAGCCCAAATCAAATAGACCGCCCTTTTTTTTTTCTTTTCTCCCATTTCTGCCTTGTCGCGCGAGACTCAGCTACGTGTATCCCCGCGAGGCTACCACTTTTTTTTTTTTTTTCCTTTTTCTTTCTTATTTTTTCTTTCTCTTTTTTTTCCCTCTCTGACTCCGCCTTGGGAACCTCCCCCGCGTCTACGCCCTTCTCCCCCCCCCTTGGTCCAACACGTGTGTGTGTGGCCGCTCAGCATAACAGGGCGTTTTACCACCAGCATCAGCGACCACCTGCGGACGACGCATGACAGGACGCTTCCACGACCGCCATCATGTCGAGCTCAGAGATTAATACGGTGCTCGCCAACTCGCTGTCGCCAGGTTAGTACGAGAATCGCAAAAGAAAAATGTCGATGCCGCAGAAGCCCTTCTCGACACCCCTCGGAGGGGCACCTTGTTTGTTTGTTTGCTGGGGAATCACCTCCAGCCCCCAACAAAGACAACAGCCCACGAGCGGGATGAGGAGGGCGACCGGGAGAGAGCTCCTCCAACTCCAGAGCATCTGTAGCTGACCAAAAGGCGAAAACACACAGACGCGAACCTGCGAAACGCCGCCGAACAGCAACTCACTCAGGCCGCCGAGAGTAACTTCGTACGTCTTCAGCCGCACCTCCCTTGAAACCACCGCCGAAGAAACGACCGGATCGCAGACAACTAACAGTAGTTCTTCATCTTCTCCTCTCGTATAGCCGCTATACCTCGCTACACTCGTTCAAGAGCTCGCAAATGAGCAGGCGGATGGCTCCATCCGAGCCGCCGCCGGTATTGCCCTCAAGAACGCCTTCACAGCCAGGGACTTTGCCCGGCAGCAGGAGCTCCAGTCAAAATGGCTCCAGGGGACCGACGACGAGACAAAGAACCGTGTCAAGCAGCTAACGCTGCAGACTCTGTCTTCGAGCAACGCCCAGGCCGGCACTGCTGCCGCCCAAGTCATCTCCTCCATCGCCGCCATCGAGCTGCCCCGCAACCAGTGGCCCGATCTGCTGTCCTTCCTCGTGAAGAACGTGAGCGAGGGCGCCGATCACCAGAAGCAGGCCTCGCTCACCACCATTGGCTACATCTGCGAAAGCCAGGACTCGGAGCTGCGACTGGCTCTCGTGTCCCACTCCAACGCCATCCTGACGGCCGTCGTGCAGGGCGCGCGCAAGGAGGAGACCAACGTCGAGGTCCGGCTCGCCGCCATCACCGCGCTGGGCGACTCGCTCGAGTTTGTCGCCAACAACTTCAAGCATGAGGGCGAGCGCAACTACATCATGCAGGTCGTCTGCGAGGCCACCCAGGCCGACGACTCGCGAATCCAGCAGGGCGCCTTTGGCTGCCTGAACCGCATCATGGCTCTCTACTACGAGAACATGCGCTTCTACATGGAGAAGGCCCTCTTTGGCCTGACCATCCTCGGGATGAAATCCGAGGACGAGGACGTCGCCAAGCTCGCCGTCGAATTCTGGAGCACCGTTTGCGAGGAGGAGATTTCCATCGAGGACGACAACTCACAGGTAGAGAGCTCGGACCAGATGCGCTCCTTCTACAACTTTGCCCGCGTGGCCGCCAACGAGGTCGTCCCCGTCCTCCTGACGCTCCTGACCAAGCAGGACGAGGACGCCACCGACGACGAGTACAACCTGTCCCGCGCCGCCTACCAGTGCCTGCAGCTCTACTCCCAGGCCGTCAACTCCACCATCATCGCGCCGGTTCTGTCCTTTGTCGAGGCGAACCTGAGGTCGGATGACTGGCACAACCGAGACGCCGCCGTCTCCGCCTTCGGCGCCATCATGGAGGGACCCGACGAGAAGGTCCTGGAGCCCATTGTCAAGCAGGCTCTTCCCGTCCTCATCACCATGATGGACGACTCGTCCCTCCAGGTCCGCGATTCCACCGCCTATGCCCTGGGTCGCGTCACCGAGGCGTGCTCCGAGGCCATTGATCCCCAGCAGCATCTCCCCACGCTCATTGCGTCGCTCTTCAAGGGCCTCATCAGCAACGCCAAAATGGCCCCCTCTTGCTGCTGGGCCCTGATGAACCTCGCCGAGCGCTTCGCCGGCGACTTTGGCGCCCCGACCAACCCCATCACCCCCCACTTCAACCAGGCCGTCAGCTCCCTGCTGGATGTTACTGCTACCGGACGCCAGGATACAGAGACGTCGGTGCGCACCGCTGCCTACGAGGTTCTCAATGTTTTTGTTCAGAACTCTGCTTCCGAGAGCCTCCCGGCCGTCGCATCGCTGTCTGATGTCATCATCAAGCGTCTGGAGGAGACCATCCCCCTGCAGTCCCAGGTCGTCAGCGTCGAGGACAAGCTGACGCTGGAGGAAATGCAAAACAGCCTGTGCGCCGTTCTCCAGGCTATCATTTCGCGCCTCGACAAGGAGATCACCCCTCAGGGCGACCGCATCATGCAGGTCCTCCTTCAGATCCTCAGCACCATCGGAGGAAAGTCGAGCGTCCCCGAGGCCGTCTTTGCCACCATCAGCGCCCTTTCCACTACGATGGAAGAAGACTTCATCAAGTACATGGAGGCTTTTGTTCCGTTCCTGTATAACGCGCTTGGCAACCAGGACGAGCCCAGTCTCTGCTCGATGGCCATTGGCCTCGTCAGCGACATTACGCGGTCCATGGGCGAGCGCAGCCAGCCCTACTGCGATAACTTTATGAACTATCTCCTCAACAACCTCAGGGTGAGTCCTTTCTTCGCTAACCATGGCCATTGTTCCTCTCCCCGACATTGACTAAATTTCTGAATCGCACAGAGTACGACCCTCGCCAACCAGTTCAAGCCTGCTATCCTGCAGTGCTTTGGAGATATTGCTGGCGCTATTGGTGGTCACTTTGAGACCTACCTGTCGGTCGTTGCCCAGGTTCTGGAGCAAGCATCCACTGTGACCGCAACCCCCGATGGCCCCGACGAGATGTTTTACTATGTCATCTCTCTGCGAGAAGGGATCATGGATGCCTGGGGTGGCATTATTGGTGCCATGAAGTCCAGCGGAAAGAGTATGTTGTCCGACTCTGAACTTCCGACTTGCCGTGCTCGTCATAGCGCTGACCGTTTCTCTACAGCCCAAATCCTCCAGCAATACGTCCCCGCTATCTTCCAGCTTCTCAACCTCATTGCCACGGATGCCAACCGCAGCGAGTCGCTTATGCGGGCGGCTATGGGAGTCATTGGGTAAGACCTGCGCTTCCACGCTTGATATTTGTGAAACCGCATGCTAACAATATTTCTTTCTTAGTGATCTGGCCGATGCTTACCCCAACGGCGAGCTTGTCGATGCCTTCCGACAGAGCTGGTTGACAGCCATGATCAAGGAGACCAAGACCAACCGGGACTTCCAGCCCCGTACCATCGAGACGGCTCGCTGGGCTCGCGAGCAGGTCAAGCGCCAGCTGGGCGGCTCACAGGGCGTCATTTCCCAGTCTTGAGGGCGCTGACTTTGTCTTTGACTGTGAACGTCCGTCTCGGACCATGAGCTTCGCACGATGAGAAGAAAGCCCACGGCATCGCAGCAGCCGCATGACGGGTCAAGGTCGCCCGTTATTCCCCACTGCATGATATATGCAGCGCATAGCCCCTTTCCCCCATCCTCCCCCCCAGTTCAACGCGACACAGCATAACAGCACGATCTCCATGACCACTTCATGTGTATATAGACCCTATGACACTGCAGTAATCCAATACCCCATTTTCACGAAGATTTTCCACACTACACAATATCCCCTTTTCTTCGTTCGAGTGGTTACAGTCTCCATATTTGAACCCCCCCTTTGCCCCATCCATTCCGTTTTAATCGGTTTTTTTTTTTTTTTTTTTTTTTTGTTCTTGCCCTTTGCCCCCACGTCATCACGATGGAATAGAGAAGTCATGTATGCCTCGCACGTATCGGAATGAACGGCGGCGGCGAGCCAAAAAGTCATGTAGAAAGGATCAGGGAGTACTAAGGAGGCCGGCTATTCATCGTTTTATTTTCCCGTTTTCTCTTGAGCTTTTGTCTGTTTTCTAGGTTTTCGTTGTCCCCCAAGCAGCAATAGCAGAAGGTTAAGCCCTAGTCGGGTCAGTTTCTGTGTTTGGTGTTAACAAGCCGTCGTGCATTCATTGATTGGATGCCCCTTCGAGTGAATGGGCTTTGCATTTAGGAATGGCTCTTTTGTGATTTGGTTTTCAGCAAGGGTCAACGACCGGCGGCGCGGTAGTTGGCGGGAGGGAATATCAAGGAACCCTCTTTTGGGACCTTTTGAGGAGGACTGTTTGCTTTTTCAACAGCTTGACTCGCCTTGGCCTTTTTTTTTGGCGGGAAGAGAGCAAAGATGGGGGAAGAGGCAGAGACAGAGAGAGACTAAGAAGTTATTTCCAAAGTCGGGGCATGATGGGCGAATTTAGAACTAGAAGATCAAGTGATCTGGGTTCCATGTACGGTGGTGCTGAGCGGTCAGGCCATTGTTAGATACCTAGTAGGTAGCGTTCACAAAGTGCCAATGGAATTTTGGTTGATCCCCGCCCCCCTAAGAAGATTTATAGACATTGATTGGGAATTGCTTTTGTGATTGAACTTTGTGTGGCTTCTCGGTTGGAGGGCTCGGTTAGTGAGGTTTTCTATGCGTTGCAGAGTTGTGGCATTTTAAGGAGGCGTTGGATTGTTGAGCTGTTGTGAATTGTGGTAGGCGAGATAGGCTGATGTGAAGAGGGCGGTATGTACCCTTGGGTTACAGTTCGATTGATTGGTTGAGCAAACAAGAGGAGGAGAGAATGCGGATGAGGGGTTATTGATCTTTACCTGCATACCTTACCTTAGGTAGGTGTGTCAGATAGGGCGAGTTGCCGTTCTATCCAGTGCGTTGCCGGAAAGCGACTTGCTACCCTGTATTTAATGAAGGGGTAATACAGCTTAGGAATCAGCGTTGCATCTACGGCCTCGGTGATGGTTTTATTCTGAGAATGTTTGAACATAATGGACTACATGCTGGATGCAGGTTCTTTACTTGTCCTTGCTGGATTCGGAAGTTGTCATGGCGGTCGACATGCGATTGACTTTTGGAGGTAAGGATCCAGGGCCGGTGGTCGGACGTGGCTTGAAAGAGAGATGTTTTCCGACTTATACTATTCTGCATGTGGAGGAGCAATGCTTTTCGAGATACTAGATACGAAGAAAGCAGCTGCATTTCCTTTGCAGCATGTTGCGTTGTAGTACTAACTAGCATTAGACTCCTAGGTCTTCCGAGCTTCCGAGTAAAAGGGGGGAGAACTATTCAACCACATGAATCACGTTTTGCTACTTTTTGTTATGTATGTATGTGCTCTTTGGGTGTGGTGTGTGATAAACTTGCGGTATCAGTGCTTCCTGCTCGGTGTTCATGTGCTGATGTGAAAGGAACACCATCCGCACTTCCGTCTTCGCCTCTATTGCCCCCTCACTGTTTCTATCTGTTCTATATCATGTTCAAACTAGTAATAATATCCCTACAGGACTATCCGTCAGCTGCCTTTGTTCGTATATTTGTCTATCCCTACATGTCTGTACCGAGCCGTGTCATACCCCTCGACGAGCCGTTGAAGCCATCATAACCTTCAGTCAGACTCCATGTCTCGTCCCCTCCAATGTCCATAACACTCTTCTAGTCAATCTTCAATATCATGCATCATCATCGTGATAGTTTGTCTATTAGTTGAATGCGGGGAGACAAACTCGACAGTTTCAAGGGATGACGTCGGCCTTCTCTCTTCACCCCCTCTCCTCTTCTCCTCATCCCTTGCGCCAGACAAACTCAGCTGGCCAGCCCCCTTGCGGAGCATTTCGGATGATGTTGTTGAATCTTTTGTGTCGTGTTACTCCCATCATGCATATATGTACTACAATCTGACTACGTATCCTCTTCCTCGTCCTCTTCTTGTTCACGAATATAACTTCTCCATTGTTTCTCGTTTAGACAGTGTAGAAATTGAATTTCCCTGCAAAGCGTGAATCTAGGATTCATTCGTGCATCACGCCGTATAATCACACTTACACGAGGCCGATAGTCTCCTCCCCCCTCCTCCAGGCAGCCCTATCATGGCACCAACCACTTTCAATAATCTCTACCCAGAGATTGTCCTGAGCATCATGGAGAACCTGCCCGATATAGAGTCGCTGAAATCCCTAATTCTTGTGAACAAGAGGATGCACAGCATCTTCACCACTCACAGAAAAGGCGTCGTGCTTCACTCTGTCCTGGAACACGAACTGGGCGAAGACCTCTTCGTCCACGCCCTCGTCACCTGCCACGTCGAAAAGGTGCCCATCATGCTGCCCGCCTTCCCCGATCTGACCGCCACCAGCATCCGTGCCCAAGTGAACCATTTGCGCAAGGTCCGAGACGACGCCGCGGCGTTACAAGAGGCTCTCCCCTCGCCGTCCTTTCACCCCCGGGACACGGCCATGCGGATCACTCTGCGAGAAGCAGACAGGATGTCGCACCTGTGGAAGAAGATCTCGGAGCTGACGGACGTCTTCGTGGAGGACTGCCGCCTAGGAGAAAGCCTCGAGTTCTACCCGATGCAGGACTCTCTCCGGCGCCGGTCGGTGTCGGTTACCGAAAAGAAGAGGGTAGGGCACGCGCTGTATCTGTTCCACATCCTGAGCATCTTCTGCAAGAAGCTGTACCTGGACGTTGAGCGGACGCGGCAGGGCGAGATTGACGCCGACAGGCTCACGGATAGCCTGGAGAAGCTCAAGTTCTTGCAGTTGACGCTCGTGCTCCGGTTCATGGCGCCATGGGAGCTGTACGAGCTTGTGTCGCTGCAGGCGTGGGCGCGGAGGGCGCTGCATGATTTAGGTGAGTTTATTGTCCCATGTCCATGTCCATGTCCAGCTATCTAGGTTTCAGCCCATGTCGACTCACATTGGATTTTTTTTTTTCACAGAGGATGATTGCTATGTTAGCGAACGGGTGATGCCATATGTCCTCGTCCAGGGGCTGGATCGCCTGCACCGGTGCATATGTGGGAGCGCGGGAGACGACCAAGTGCTGCGCGCTTCTGTGCTCGCGCTGAAGAGGGAGGCCAGCAAGCACAAGGCCCATGGCTTCGGCATGATTCTCTCACGAGGGGAAAGGTGCAGCTGGGCGCGCAAGCCGCGGGAGTTCGAAAAGTACCGGCCCTTTTGGGGCCACGGATCCAGGGACAGAGGAGGGTATCGGATCTGGCGCAGCCTGGAGACGCCGCGGTGGAACCACGCGGTGCTGGACCCGTCGGTGCCGGTTGCGTACGAGCTCCTGGGCATCACGCAGGGCATGCTGGACGTTTGGTCGGCGGCGCTGTGGGATCCGGAGCGGTGGAGCGAGATGCGGCGGACGATGAGGGACAGCATGGTGCCGGATCCGTGGGGGAAGATTTCGTGCCATTGGGACTCGTACATGGTTGGGTGGAGGAGCGCGCTGGAGCCGGGGATGCTGCGTGGGGTGAAGAGGGAGGCGAGGCTGAGGGTGTTGTTGCGGTGGGTGAGGGGGGTGTTGAGGCTGAAAAGGGGGGGATCCTGAGGCAATGCTGAGTTGTGCCGTTGTTGAAGTTGCTCTCTTCTGTTCTTGATTACCCATCTTCATTCCTGCCTCATGCTTTCTTCTTGTTTTTCTACATTATTACCACTATTGATGCTCTTTCGGTTCTATATGTTCGCTTTCTGTTTTGCTGGGTTAGAAACAAATCTTGTCGTTTCTGATCAACAATGTACACTCGGGGAGGTTATTGGCCTCTTCTCTGATATTACGGGAATGAGTACAACCCCTTTATGAATGGCTTCTATAGACTAGGTAGGTAGTACATGCTACAACATCATCTCTGAGGTATGGCAATACTACTGCCAAGCCAAACTGCCCTCTGGCAACTGCTCGCTCTTCTCCCAAAGGCGGTGATGAAGAAACAACTGCCCGGCAGCTGGCAGTTGGCCGGAAAGCGGACGCAGTTTGTTCCTTCTTCCGCGAGTAGCATCTCATCACGTCACGCGTCTGACGCGTTTCAGGTATCTCGTGTCTCTTCTTCTACCTCTTTCTCTAGGTACTTTCACCTTCTTTCTCATTCCCACTCTGTTTCCAGCTTCAACGGGTTCCATCACCACCACACATTCGTTCCATCACAGGGCCGGCGAGCTTTGTCAGGGAGTCTTCAAGCACATGGACCATCAATCTATTCATCCCTGATATTGTTATCATTATCATCAAACTCATCGGTTTCATTGCGGTCATTTGAAGTTACTCCCATAGCAACGCCCCCTTCCTGCTCCTCTTGCGAGCTGCGTCTCTCTCTGTGGCGGCCCAAGCCCCCCCCTATTTCACCATGTTCTACAGTCACGAGAGTAAGCCTCGAAAGATCCCATACAGCCATACACAGTCTCTTCTCTCACACTTCGTGTAGTCCTCAACAATACCCAGTATGGGGTTGCCACCATCTGGTAAGCACTCGACTGCTCAGCAGCCAACCGACTTCCGCTGACCATCATCACCATCTAGGCTGGTCGCCACTGTCGGCAAAGGCAACCAGAAGAGACTGACCAAAAAGGCGATTCAAGAGGTCAATGTTCCCAAAGCGTGCGAAAAGATCTTGGACCCAGGCGCTCCCCTCGCCCTCCGCCTCCAGGGAAACCTGCTATACGGAGTCTCCCGCGTGTTTGCTCACCAGTGCGCCTATGTCCTCACGGACGCGGAAAAGACCCAGTCTGATATGGTGACTTTCTTTCGCATCATTCAAACAAGCGAGACCGATCCACGAGCTGGAAAGACAAAGTAAGATGGAAGCTTTACGACCTGTTACTGAAGCCAAAGCTAACATGCTTCATCAAGGCGCCAGAACATCATGTTGGAGGACGACCCCAGCTTCGACCCCTTGGCTGCACTGCCAAACTTTGATGTGCTGCGATGGGACAAAGACCTGGTGCTGTATCCAAGCCAGGGCTCTGCCAGCAACTTTTCCCAAATGACACCGCTCGGCACTGCGAGTCAAGGCAGTTCCTCGCCGCGCCACCCTCCTGCACTCATCAACCTCCAGCTGCCGCCTTCATCGCAGTCTGCTGCAAGTGGCCGCATTCCCTCAGACTTTGGCCACCTCAGCCCTCTGTTTAGCAAATCAATACACCTTCCTGACGACATGGGTGAATTCCAGCCGTTTGGAGAGGACGAGTTTCCGTCCCTTGGTCTCGATTTCGACGGAGAAGGCAATCTCATTGGCCTTTTGGACACAGAGCCAGAGCTACCTCCTCTTCCTGTCGCCGCGACCCCAGTGGTTGGCCTAGGTCTCCAACGAGTACCGAAACCAAACCGAGGGATCATCATGGAGGAAGAGGAGAACTTGTTGGACTTTGGTGATGACGCACAGCAAGTGTTGGAAGCGGTTCAGTCAGTTGAAGGAAATCAAGCTATGGAGGCCCAGCAACAAGCAGCTGAGACAGCTGAAGCAGAATCCGCCCAAGCATCTGCCAGGATGGCACGATCCCGTCGGCCTGGCCTGAATACCATGCTAGACACGAGCATCTCCATTCCAAGTTCGGTAATAAAGGATTGGAGCAACATCAATAGAGAACATCTCGCCACGAAACCCAAGCAACAAAGAACAAGCACAACTCCTGCTCAGGCAAAGAAGAATGCAGTGGCACTTCTCTATGAGTATGGAGTTGCTCATGTGGGAGCATACCACCAGAAAGCCGGCTTGTTTCACCCGTTGGCCACCGAGTTCGCCGGCATCTCGTTGAAGGCTCGTCTCCAGGGACAGGACCCAGAGGAAGTCGAGCTAAATGAGCCTGCAAAGCGAGGTCGTCGACGCAAATCAGACGAAGCATTTGAGGGCGAGCAAGACGGCGGCAATCGAAACACAAGGCCACGAACGGTTGAAGGTGTGGAGCTTGGACGAGGCGATGATCCCAATGCTCACGACGATACACACATCATGTTTGACGATAACTCTATGCCTGAGATTGGAATGGAAGCGGCACCGCCGATGGAGGATCGCCACTCTTCCTCGATGATGCCATGGAGCCGACCTGGCTCTGCTGTCCCTGGTTCATCTGTCCGAGGAAGCGCGCAGAAGCCCAAGGTTGCTCCAAGCCCTCTCTTCAATCGCGGAAGCGCGGTGGGCGCCATCGATCGCCACAGCGACCCTGCCGAGCCGCTTTTCGGGGCCGACGACTTTGGTTCCCAAGACTCGTCTTTCCAAATGGGCGGACCCGTTGGCCTTCTTGAGTTTGACCAAGGCAACGACACGCAGGCTTCGACTCAGGGTCTTGACCTGACCAGCCAGAACTTTCTGGGATACGTCACGGAGCAGGCTGAAAAGACGGGAGTCACTCACAGTCGAGATCCGCGAAACCGCCGCTGGATCGATTTCGAGGAGCTGGCTGACCCCAGCACTCATACCAAAGCTATTGCCGCCCAGGCGTTTCTTCATGTGTTGTCCTTGGCGACGAAGAATGTCATCTCGGTTCACCAAGATGGGGCGGCAGCCATGCAACCATTTGGGACTCTTCGAATTGGAGTCAAGTCCGTCAATGAGGGAGTGTACGCGGAGTCTGATGATGAGCTTGCCTGATTTGGGCGAATGAAAGCTGACAACGATTGGAGATTCTGGGTTGAACTGAATGACTTGAGGATTTGATACGTTTCGACATTTCGAGGGATGCCTTTCGATTGGCACATGGCGTTTGGGAAACAATGACATCCATCTTGGCGTGGGAATGCATCATGAGAAATCGGCAGCGTATCACAGACAGCAGAGGCTGTACTTTACCTAATCTCCTGCTATTTCAGTTATTCTCTCTTCTTTTTCTTATAGCGCGCGACCTCTGGTGGTCGCAAGGGCTTGCGGATATCTAACGGCAAAATGGGGTTAGTATGGACGGAAATCTGACGTTTATTGCAAATTACTTTCATGGCTCAAGATGGGCATATTCCGATGGTGGACTGGAACAGTCTCGAGCAGGGTTTCAATGAGGATTTATGAGCGACCAGTCACTCAGACGATGATCACAAAGCACAGGGCCATCTAAGGGGCATGTAAGCATTAATATGAATGTTTCGTTCATCTAGTTAATTATCAAGCTCGTCTTCTGCATCGGCACCCTCTCTGTCTGTAAACACGAGGTACTCTGCAGCCTCCTCATCCGTTACATTAGGCATGACAAGGTCCCAAGCTTTGCGAACGGGATCTAGAACAGCGTCATTGAAGGCAAGGTCCAGGGGTAGCAAAGAGAACACGGCAGACTGCCCATCGACATCTACAGATGGGGTGTCAAAGCCGGTTTGTTCATAATACACTTTGTACAGTGACTTGGGCGACTCCTGCCCTTCCACCGCCAGCGACGCCAGCAGAGACGAGAGCGCCTTTTCAAGAAGGGCCGGCGCATCTGGGCTTGCGATGGTGCTTAGATATAAGATGCCTGTGATCAGAAACAGCATTAGCAGACTGTCGCATAACTGAATGACCAACAAGATAACAAAGTGCTAATGAAAGTGCGTATATCAGGTTGTCAGAGGAAGTTATCGTCAATGGGTTTCAGCCAATGTAGATAAGTATTCGTTTTCGTTTTATCATCATAACACACACAAAGCAAGAAAACAACAAGCAAGGAAGTTTGTTAAGACTTACATTGTCCACGAGGGCATTCGCCCGTGTCGCTTGAATGAGCCATGGCGTAGATGGGATACTCTGTCGAGCTACCATCATCGCCAAGGCGCGTCCCAGCGGGAACCGCAACCACGGCAACGGCTGGTGTCGGGCCCTCAGACACGGCCTCAAAGAGCGAGGGCAAGTCTGAGTTGACAATGGCCGTGAGCCTGCTCAGGCGGCGGCTTTCGCGCGGCGGCTTGCCCAGGCCTTTGACCAGAGTCTTTGACTTGATGGGCATGTCGTTGGAGAGGACAATGTCCAGGGCCTCGGGCATTTCGGCCGTGGAAGAGGCTTTCTGAACGTCCTTGATGCCAACGCCGAGCATGTAGACAGCGCCGCCGACGGCACCAGCCCGGCAGCCCACTTGGGCAATCTCGGAGAGGCCGCCCCATTTGGGGTACACGGCCGCGAACCCGGGGCCAAAGACGCCCATGGACGAGATGTGGCGGTGGATAGCGGCCAACCCGGCTTCTGTTGAGATGTTGCCGTCGAGGCTGAGCGTCAGAGTGATGATGTACGCCTGCAAGTCGGCGTCGAGCTTGAACTCCGCCGCAAGGAAGCTCGCCAGCGAGTCGCCCGCGTGCGGCTTCCACACGTCCGTCTGCGGCTCGGAAGTGTAGTCCAGCACGAACTTGAGGAACTTCATGAGCCCCCGCTTTGCCTTGACGGAAATCGTCGTGTTGGCAAAGACGTCTTCTCTGGTGGACGGTATGCGGCTGAGGCTGGGGGTGGTGGTGGTGGAGGAGGAGGAGGAGGAGGAGGAGGCTGTAGATGAGGGCTGGAAGATGTAAAACGAGCCGACGGCGAGGAACTCGAGCTGCCGAAAGGCTTTTGACGACACGAGCTTGGAGAGCAGCTCTGACCGCGTGTGTATCAGCTGCGGAGCCAGCGCAAGGCTGTATCCTCTCGGCGACAAGCTCTCGGCGTCGTCGGAGCGAGTCACCTTTGCGGATGCAAAGACGCCATCGCCGTCGCCGGATTGCCGCCTCGCCGCCCACTCGTCGACCTCTTGCAGGCTCAGGACAGCCTCGGCCTCGCCATAGTACTCGTTGGGATCGACGTGGAGGATGTTCTTGCCAGATCGCGACAGGGCACTTTTTTTTCTCACAAGACACGAGAGCTGGTCAGTCAGTCAGTCATTTTTTTGATTTTGCAGGCAGAGAAAGAAGAAGGAAAAGAGGCACAGGCACAAGGCGGGCCAGGCCAGGCCGAATGGAATCCGAAGCTTACAGGGCGAGAAGGGATTGCTGGAGCCCCGTGCCGCTGATCACTACATCCCACTTTGTGTCTGAGAGGGATTCCATTGGTTTTGCTGGAGGGGAGATGATGGAGGAAGAAAAAAAAAGGAAGAAGAGAAGAAGGAGGAGGAGGAGGAGGAGGAGGAGGAGAAAGAAGAGCACGAGACGAAGGATAAAAAAATTAGCACCGGTTGTTTGAGAGGGCTTGAAAGCTGTTGGAGGCTTCAAGCGAAGTGGGGAGGGAGCTGGCTTAGCTAAGTTGGGGTGGCCTGTGCGTGCTCTAAAATGGGGGGAGCTTCTTCAATTTTCCGGGCTTTTTTTTTTCGCTTCTCTTTTTCTCTTTTCTCTCTTCAACATAGTAACCGCTTGTCGAATTTCTCACGTTATGCCTTGTGTACTTTATGTATGTGGCATCGCGGGTTTCTTCGACTTGAGCGGTAGAGAGAATCGTCTGCCGGTATCTACTGCCCTAGAATAAAGTCTGAAAGGGTGGTTCGAATGGTTGACACATGCCCAATTTGACCCATGGGATGTGGTGTACTTGATGTCATAATGTGTTACTGATGTCCTATACCCTTTGTTCATTGATCGGTTCTTTCTGGGGATAGGATCTACTGATCCATTGTATATGCTGAAGCAAACCAGGTATATGCAGATACTTGAAAAAATCATGGTATTATCATAAACTAGATTCAAAGCCGGGTGCCAGTGATTGCTGATGCAAAATCCTCCCACCGCTTACTCGCCCAGTCGAGAAAGTCCTTCGACCCGAGTAGCTTCGCCGTCATGGCCGTGCCTCCGTGCTTTGAGATGGAGAGGATCCTTCTTGAGCCTCCTGCGCAGTCGACGACAATTGTGACCGTCTCGTTGCATAATGACTCCTCGAGGGTATCTGGGTCTGCCAGCAGCCAGAACTTGCCATCCGGAGCCTGGTCTTTCGTCTCCTTGCCTGTGAAGATGACTGCCGTGCAGGCAATCGGTATGCTTGCCACCGTGAGAGGTCTGGGGTCTTTCCTGGAGCACAAGATCATCTCTCGGTCGGGGTCGTAGCGAGCTTGCGGCAGCTTGGTGTCGCGCAGAGCGGCCACCGTAGCAGCCCAAGCCGCATCAAACGGGTTGCCGTCAAAGGAGATGAAGAAGATGTCGATATAAAGCACCCAGTAGGCGGCCACGTATTTCTCCCCATCACTTTCCTCCATAACCTCCTCTTCATCAGCTGGAACCGGAACGTCGGCCGCTCGTTTATGCCATATCCGCAAGTCCTCGGCGCGCAGCAGCTTGGAGCTGTGTAGGAGAGAGTAGATTCTGGTGCTCAGCGTTTGAGCGAGCGTCGTGGGCGGACCGCCGGGTAAGAACTGTGGTGCGGACCCAGTGGCCAACTCGATATTTGGAACCAGTAGGTCGTAGTCGGATAGTTCTGTCTGTATGTTGGATGCGCGATAGTTGGGGATGTGCTCCGTCAGGATGGTTTCGCCCCGGATGCCGCAGATGACGGTGGTGTCTCCCGTGCGCACCAGAGCGCTTCCGTGGGCGTGTGAGAGACTTGACAGGTTCACCGTCGGTTTTCGGACTTCGAACGGTGCTCGGCCATTGCTTCGTGTCGGCGCAGCAGAGTCGCTGGAGGGTTCGAGGTTTGCGAGGAGATATGGATGAGGAGAGAGCTTGGCAAAGGTAGAGCGAGAAAGGCCCGCTTCGGCTGCCATTATGAGCGGTTGCTCGGATTACTAGTTCGGCGTCGGTGTTCAGTGTAGTCAAAGGTTATGTGATGTAAGGCCCGAGCGTATGAGTAATGATTTGAGCCAAGTGCACCGAGTTTTTGCAGGTGTTATCGCGAGTTCTTCTCTGTGCCGCCAGGTGCAAGCAAGCGTTTGGAAAGAAAACTTGAGCTCTCAGCCTTGCGAGGTGGAGAAGCTGTGTTGATCTACGACCAATGGAAAATTGGCGGGTCACGAGGCTGAGCGACCAGTCCGTCTCTTCTTGTCAGGGAAAAAGGCTGCCCCAGCTTGGCAGCTGCAAAGTCAGGGACATTCATCGCTGCCGTCGTTGCCGTTCGCTTCGTATTGAATGGGCTCGAGGTTCCGATGAATTTCAGATTGACCTGTCGTTCCAGGTACGAAACATGTTGAATCGGCAGAGCAGCCTTGAAATGAAGCTGTCCGCCCGCTTAGTTTGGCGATGTCTGCAACGCCGCCGTCACTAGCTGGCGGAGTCTCTACATACGGACTGCGGGTGCAAGAACAGCAGACTAATTGGTTCTACAGCGTACGAGTATAATTACCAAGTGTCATTGCATGGACAAGTCTGCCAAGGGAAGCAATTCGCCAAAAGCCGGCCCAGATTCCGGGCCAGAAGCAGCAAGCAAGCTTGGGTAGGGAACGCCACCACCACCGGCAGTCCCTGAAGGAGCCTGCAGAAGAATATCGACATCGATCCCACGCGATCAGTCAGGCCCGATCTCCAGTAACTACTACTAGTATCATTCAGTGCTCCTCGCCGTGAAATTACCAGCACCTTGTCGGGGCTCTCCTCCGTCCCTCATTTGCTCGGACCGCCCTCCAACCGTCGAGCCAACCCGCGAATCACACGCCTTGTTTTGCCGCCCATGTCCAAGACACTCAAAGTCCCCCCCCAGTGCCGCCCGTCGAATCACAGTGCAGAAGCGCATATGGTGCACTAGATGGACTGCTGGATCCGTCACCAACAGCCCCCAACCGCCGTTTCTTCAACTTGCGCAAACGGCCCTCGAATTGGGGAGCTGCTGCAGCTCTTGAGTGGCCCGATGCAGAAAATCAGAGCTTGCCACCGTCTGCGCTAGAGCTCACGACTGACCCCTCAAGGTGTCTGCAGCCGTGGAACGTCGTACTCGCACGGCAAGGATCGATCTGGGTTTATCCTCTCTTGGTAGTACTAGTACTACTCGCTCGTACGCAACAACGGAGATGTTTCTTCTGGCTGGCAGTCTAGATCCTCGGAATCTGTTTCTTCACCTGGTCAACGCCGTTGCTGCCACCTGGTATGGAGCCGTTGTCAGCAAAAAGCTGGAGACGCTGGAGACGCTCGACGCCAACAACCGGCCACCGGCCACCGACCGGATCACCGGCTGCCTGCCTCTGTCCTACTGTACAGGGCTTTGATGAGGGACTTGGGGATATGCTTGACGGACAAACAAAGGACATGAATCGAGCTTCTGGCTAGCTCGTGCAGCCGGCAGGCAAAAAAGACCCTGGCTGTCGTCCATCATCAACCTGTCTGCCGAGCGACAAGCAAGGCAAAGCAAAGCAAAGCAAAGCAAAGCAAAGCAACGCGCCCCGCCCGCTAGCAACTCTCGAGATAATTGCCATTCCCTGGTTGGAGGCACGCCAAGGCTGGACTGCGGCACCTTGACCTGCATGCCGCCGCTTCATCACGTCGCCCGTCACACTGGGCCGCGCCAATTCGTCCCCCAATGTGCGCAATTCCCCGGATGCGCAACCCCCCCCTGGTCCTCAAGCGACCAATCTCGCGACCGGGCCAGCCGCTGGGGGTTCCTGGTGCTTCCCATGAACCGTTGGATTCACACGAGCTTGTGCTGCCTTTGCCCTGCCTTTGCCCTGTCTCTGTCGATGTTGGCCGGGCTGCTGTTCTGGATCAGGTCAAAGATATCGTCGCGACCACGATTCCAGCGCCCCCGCTCGCATGTCGACAACGCCTGATGGTCGTTCGTATTACTACTAGCATCGACAGTGTCAAGGAGTGTGCATACAACTACAGCATCCCGCGCCTGTCACCCAATCTTTCGCAGCCGTCCGTCCCTGGTCCATCGTGGGTGTGATCCACCGGCTTAAGCATCCCTGTATCACTCGCTCCGTGCCGACTGCAGGGAGTCAAAGGAAGAGCTGTACGAGCAAAACAGTACAGTACAAGTCTGTGCTTTATTATATCCTCACGGGCCGCCGCATCTCGCCTCCCCACCGCTCATCAGTTGTTGATCAAGCGTCGCCATCTCACTGCCCGGCTCCTTCGTTCATCAGTGGCCGTGATTCTAGGTATCGAGAAGTCTGGCACTCCTCGTTATGACTTCCTGGAGCGCGCTGCAGCTTCATTGACACTCACTTTTATAATAGCAGCAAGTCCTCCTGATCGGCGGGCTGTAAGCGCTCTGGCTGCAATGCGATAGAAGCATTCATTCGCTATCCTTGGCCCAGGTTGAAACCGCAGGCCATCCCCATTACTTAGGTCTTACACAAGTTTGGGGGGTTACTACCTACCTACGCAGTACCAACGCACGTACTCTCCCTCGTTGCGCTTCGTGCCTCGTCCGCCACGTTTGCTTCAGGCGCGGCTGAAGCAGCTGAAGAAGTCGTTTTCCACTGGTCATCATGGCGCCCAGTATGCAGGAGGAGCTCGCTTCCCAAGCCACGCGAAGCGTCTCCGACGTCGTCAAGCGGCTGCTGATTCCCTTGACTCCCACGAGCCCGCCGGGTCTCGTCCAGGCGAATACAGTTGATCCGTGGTCCAAGGCCGGCAAGTATGCTCTCGGCTGGACCTATTTCGCAGCAGCGCTCTCGGGCTGCGTCATCTCCGTCCGCATCTGGCACTTCTGGCAAGACAAGATCCGGCAGGCCATCTACAAACAGCAAGTAGAGACGCATTATCGAGACACATACAATGTCGACGCCAACTTCGTCCAGGCGGCCATCCGCACCGGCACGGCCCAGGAGTTCTTCCCCGATGGCGATCCCATGGGCGAAAAGTTCCGTCCGAAAGCGCACTTTTCGTCCATCGGCTTCGTCAACGACACGTTGGCCTTGTTTCGATGGGTCTTTTATCGATCGGTTCCCGACATTGTCATCGGCAAGCATCGATTTACCTTCTCCTCGCTTGCCGTTCTGGCCACGACGTTTCTCGCCCTCGCCTTTGTCACCATATATACCTTCCTCCAGCAGCCGCTCTACTGGGAGAGCATTCGCTTTGGAGCGCCCCCCGTGGCCATCAGGGCCGGCATGCTCTCTGTGGCATTGACGCCCTGGATTGTTGCGACAAGCATGAAGGCGAACATCCTGACGATGCTGCTCGGCATTGGGCCAGAGCGGCTGAACGTCTTCCACCGATGGCTCAGCTATCTTTCTCTGTTCCTAGCGCTGGTTCACATGATTCCCTTTTACGTGCAGCCCGTCTGGAAGGACGACGGCATGTCCGTTTGGGCCTCGACCTTTCCCTCTTCAAGGGGCATCATCTACGGCACGGGGATAGCCTGCATTGTTCCCTTGATCTGGCTCTGTGTGGCGTCGCTGCCATGGATCCGAAGGGTTGCCTACGAGCTGTTTGTCATCTTTCACGTCCCCGTCGGTATCCTCTATGTCGGCATGCTGTTCTGGCACACGAGCAACAAACTCCTCACCTGGGACTACCTCTACGTCACCGTGGCCATCTGGGCAGTCTGCAACATCATGCGGCTCTTCAAACTCAACTGGACATGGCCCGGGCGACTGTCCTTTATGGTTGGCGACGAGGCTGCCATCACATTGATGGCCGAGAACGCCATCAAAGTCACCATCCCCACGCAGATGCGGTGGAAGCCTGGCCAATACGTATATCTCCGAATCCCCGGCATCTCATTATTCGACAACCACCCTTTTACCATCTCATCCCTGTGCAGCGAAGACTTTCCTTCTGAATACGGGGAAAACTACCGGGACTGCATCCTTCTGTTCAAGGCCTACGGCGGGTTTACGCGCAAGGTCCTGGACACGGCCATAGAGAAGGGCCCGTTTCACACGTATCGCGCATTTCTGGATGGTCCATACGGCGGCATGAGGCGCGATCTGGCTGCCTTTGACACGTGCATTCTGATTGCTGGCGGAAGTGGCATCACGTCACTGATATCTCAGCTCCTCAACCTGGTCAAGCGAATGCGCGATGGAAAGGCCATCACCAGAAAGGTCGTCGTCGTTTGGGCAATGAAGAAGATTGAGGACATGGACTGGTTCAAAGAGGAGCTGCGCATCTGCCGCGAATCAGCACCGCCGGAGAGCGTGCGCTGCAGGTTCTTTGTCACGTCGGCGGTGCGGAACCGATCAGGGCAGCAGATGACGGCGCCCATCAACGGAAACAGCGCGCGAGCCTTGAGCCACAAGTTCCACGATAAGCTGGACGGCTTCGTGGCAGGCATTGCCTCGAAGCGCAACTCGGCCCTCATCCATGCCGAGGCGCAGGGCGATCCGGACCGAGAGCGCGAGCTTCGCGCCGAGAACGAGGATCGTATCACAGCCCTTCCGCAGCAAAAGTACCTGCAGCCTCATCAGTACCCACCGCCTCCGCCTCGCTTTCCGTCTCGCGAGTCCACCATGACAGCCATGTCCGAGGATGGCTTGGGCAGTCTCAACGAGAACGGCTACCCCGAGGATAAGAAGAGGGAAGATGCGCCACCACAGGAGCATGAGCAGGAGCCTGTCCCCATCATGGTTCCCGAACTTGCCCATTTGTATAATGCTGGTGGCATCCCTGCTGGCGTCCATGCTGGAGGACCTGGCGACTTTGGCCAACAGGCTGGATTCGACTTTGGCTTCCCCCAGACCCCCACCGAGTTCCAGAAGAACCTGATGCGCTCAGCGTTCCCCGTGCCGCTTCAGATTGAAGACGGTTGGACCGTCACGTACGGCCGGCCCCATCTTGGACACATGCTCAAGGAATGGGCCACGGGCGGGCCCGAGGGCAGAGGGATCCTGGGCCGGCGGACGGCCGTGTTTGTCTGCGGGCCCCCGGGCATGAGGGTGGGCGTGGCCAACACGGTGGCGAAGCTGCAGGCGGAGATTTGGGGCGACGACGAGCTGGAGGAGATCTTTTTGCACACGGAAAACTATGCTCTCTAGAGGAGGGCATGAGTTGGATCAAGAGTGTGTAGCTTGTAAGAAAGAAGCGTGATAATGATGATGATGATGATGATGGTGGTGAGGGGTGGGGAGGGGTGGGGAGGATCACGATTTGATGTATATTCTGTTCCAAGTTTTACAAACTGGCTGTAAAGGCCTCTGAGATACCACATGTACATAGCAGCATGCACATACCTTTTATAGTACCTAGTACCTAGTAGCTAGTTTCCTTGAATCTCGAATTTAAGCAGCGTTGAGCAACAGTTGTCGCAAATATATTCTGCAAGCACACTCACTCCACTCAAGACTGCAAACAACATTGAAGTGAATCAGAGCATGGGCCAGTCCAGGTCGTACATACCGTAGAAACTCGTGAAATTCGACCGAAGCTAGGTTTGGTGGAGCCGCCACGTGCACGTGCACGCCAGGCAATAACAGGAAAAGCTGCAGTAAGTACAGTACAGAAAATCAATACCTCAATCCACCGCAAATTGCTATGCAGGCGTATGTACTGTCTTTTGCTAATCAACCAACAAAGCCGCCACAACCTCAACGCTGCAGTCAACCAGCGTGAACTACATTATGCGAAGTCCTCTGATATATATAATGCGATAATAATTTTTTTTTCCTGCTTGCGACCGTAAAGATGCACTGTATTATGCGATTAATTGAGGTACTGGCAGCTTGAGGTACCTTAGCCAACCTTCCCTACTGTAGTAAGGCGTGCTGCTAAAAAAAGATGACGTGGCGGCTCCACTAAACCTAGCTTCGGTCGAATTTCACGAGTTTCTACGGTACTAGGTACATAGGCAAGAGACGGGCAGCGCTGGGTTGCACGAAGCCGCCTCTGGGCCGCGGGCGGGCCTTTTGCGGCAAACAGATGTGGTGCAAGCAATCGTGGCTCATTCAAGTGGCTGCATGAGGGTTGCTTTTGATCCGATGAGGCGAGATATCATTACTTGGATGCTTATTCGCGTACATCTAAATTGCGTAGGTATATATACCTACACCTGCATGGTTGGTACTGTATGTACTCTAGCAGAGGATGGACATGTCAGGCTTCCCCACGTCTCAGTACAAGGCAGCGCCCACTTACACGAGACACCAAGCATGACATGTTTACCTTCCAAAATTGTGTACATGATCAGCTCTCTCTCTTTATTTCTCTTACTAGCTTCCCCGGAACCTTGATGGCAATGGAGAGAGAGAGCCCGCCAAACGGAACCTGACTGGACATGGACTGTACCTTCCACGCACCTTGATGGTTCGCTGGTGCCTCTAAATGATTGCGGCCCTTTTTGACGATCTTGTTGTATAAGACCTACCTGAGGTAACCTACCTTACCTACTAACCTACCTAAAAGACAAACAATATCATCACAGAACCTCTTTTGTTTTGTTTTCTGTTTTTGTCTTCCGTATCCTCGAGTTTTTTTTTTTACATTTCTTGTTCCTCGACATCTATCTTCTTTCTGTAAATCTAGAACCAGACCAGAGCCCTCACAACGTATTCTGCCTCGACCAGCTTTCAACAACACCCCTCCTACGAAACAGCGCGACAAAGATAGACCAAGAAAGGAGAAGAAAAATAAATTGAAAACAACGGCATCATGTGCGACGCAGACGACATGACGCTCAAGAAGATGGAAAAGGGCTGGTCCATCGCGACGCGGTGCTCCGAGGAGAGGCTGCGGAGGGTCCACGGCTGGGACGAGGAGCAGCTCGAGGATGCGGTCCGGAGGGGGCTGGTGCTGCTGGAGACGGTGTGCGTCTTTGTGCATGGATGCATCAAGTCGGGCCAGTTCAAGTATGTTGTTTTCTTTTCTTTTAGGAGAAAATCTCTGCTGGAAATCTGATCCGAAAGAGAGAAGGGACGCAACGATTTGCTGACTTTGAACCGGGGGAGTTATATAGACTGCCGGTCGAGTTTTGGAAGATTTTGCACTTCGAGTACGGCATCGTCGTTTATCCTTCGGCGTTGACAGAGTGTATGGCGCCGTCGGGCTTGGGGACGAGTCAGACGTTTGCGGAGATTTACAGCTCTCATATTGGTCAGTCTCTCTCTCTCTCTCTCTCCCTCTCTCTCACTTGCAGACGACTTCCCTGATCTTATCCCTCTTCTTTGCTTCGTCATACATATATACTGACGTGGAGAGAACATAGTCATGCTGTGGGAGCGCGATTCCGAATGTCCGCCGCGGTGTCCGTTTGAGTTTCTCACAGAACCCTTGCCGTTATACGAGCAATAAGAGAAAAGATCGTAGATACCAGATTGTGCGGCGGTTCATTTTGTGTTTCGGAAGGGAAGGGGGGTGTTTCTGGGTGTTTAAAGAAAGGAATAGCGATATGGAATTATGCTTGGCCTGGTTGATTTAGAAGACAGCGTTTTAGAAAGACGGGATATGAACAAAGAATAGAGAGGAATGCAGAACCACCAAAAGGGCAGCAGCAGCAGCAGCATCATCGAAGTGTAAGACATCATCATCATCATCACACCCCGTCATGATTCCACCTTTTGTCCAACGGCCCCATCCCGATTCGCCCTCCAGACGCCCTCCTCGCCCTCAAACTCCTCCCTCTTCCACACCTCGACGCGCTCCTTGCACGCTTCGAGAGCCTCTTCGCCAGCCCTCCACGCAGCCTGTCGATGCGGTGACGAGACGGCGATGAGGATGCTCTCCTCGCCAATGGGCACCGTTCCAAGGCGGTGGATCATGGAGATGCCCTTAAGGCCGTGCTTGGCCTGGACGTCCTTGCAGATGGAAAGCATGGTGCGGAGGGCGAGTTTGTTGTAAGCTGTGTATTGGAGTTCCTTGACTGGTTTGCCGGCAAAGTTGTCTCTTGTTGTTCCTGGACATGATGATTTAGTCCAAGAGCAAGCCATCAAGATGATGATAATGATGCGACATCTGAGTTAAAGGGGGGGGGGGGGCGCTCAAACCTGCAAACAAGACAATGGCGCCGGCTGCGGGGCTGCGGACTCTGTCTATGGCTTGTTGGAGGTCGAGATGGTCGTGTGTGAGGGCGACGTAGCAGCCTTGTTCGGAGAGATGCCAGATGGTGTTCGTATCGTCGTGTTTTGTGTCTGTCATGGCTGGGCTTGGAGGAAGTTTGTATAGGTAACCGAAGTGAGATGCTTAGTGAGGAGCTGGTGCCAGTATATCCAAGGCAGAGGTGCGCTCGGAATCGAAAGGAGAATGATGTCAGTGTAAAATAAGTACAAGAAGAGAAGACCAGACACAACAATATGAGAGATAAATTGAAACTTGGCTATATTGTGAGGTATATGGCATCATGAAGATGAAAAGAGGATGGACGATTCTGTCTGCGATGGTTTAGAGTTGCGTCAAAGCGGTACTTGTCCCGCAGCAGCCATTGCGCTGGCGTCTGTGTACTATGTACTACTAATGTAATACTCGTACCTCTGTGTAAGCCCCCTCTTTACAGCTGGCTGAGTCAGCCATCAAGCTCTTTCAGCTTCTACCTTACCTCTTGAATTGGTGGGATCTCTTCTTCCACCTCAGATGTTGCAACAACATCCTACCTCTTTGGTGTCAGTTTCTCTGTCTTCGCCTCGAGCATTGAGAAGCCATCGCCAATCCTCTTCCGCTCGTTCGTCACCTCCTTCTGCCGTCATCATTCACGTCTCGTCCCCATCTCCATAAGTTGCGCCTGACTGGCCCTCTGTCGTTATGCGCGACGACCATCACGCACAATCCCCAGACCGGGGCCGACGTCGTGAATCCAACCACGACTCCCGCCATCGACCGAGAGACTTCCGCCACCACGACGATCACCAACAATCGCGGCAGGGTAAAGACACGGCCCGCGCACTCATGGGAGTCTGAGGGGCCCGTTTTCCCTTGGCTCCAGCTCCAGGATCTCCAAAGAAAATGGCTGATGAATTGAGCTTGACGGCTAACTTGCCCACGGGACAACGAGGCTATTCACAGTCTCCTTCCAGGGACGACGGCATGCTCGCCGACGCGTGGGACCGGCGCGACCATCGCCCTCGGCCGCCTCGCCAGTCTCCTCCCTTTGGCGCCGACCGAGCGCCAGACTACCCAGACGCTCATGACGCGCGCCCTAGGCCGAGGCCGAGGCCGAGTCTGAGCCCTCCGGACTGGAGTCGTGACAACCAGGGCAGAATGTATAACGACGACTATCACCGGGGACGTCATGACCAGGCCAGAGACAACGACTATGCGACCACATATCGCGACAGGAGATACTCGTCGCGATCGCCGCCTGGGCATCACTACAGCAGGAGTCGTTCTCGCAGTCCCGCTAGGGAGGGCGGTCGATTAGGAGATGCTGGGCTGCCTAGTGATACTGTGATCTTCGAAGGGCTGCCCCGCAGAGGCGAGGTCCGTATTACTTGAAGTGGTCGACTGGAAGAGAGAGAAAACCATCGTGGGAAAGGGTCTTCTAACGAGAATTTACATTCAGCTGCGAGAGAGCGTTGCGCAGGCTTGCGAGGACTATTCCGTCCTCGATATCCGGTTAGCGTATGCCAAAGGTATGTGTGTCTTGGCATTGCATTGTCCTTGTGCGCATCGACACCCACTAACGCTTGTTCAAGGAAAACGTCGGGCGTTCATCCAGTTCGAGGACGTTGATCATGCAACCGCCTTCGTCGACGATCATTTCCCAAAGGTTCTCATCACCCTGCCTCATGCGACTGATGAGGTCCCCGATGGCAAGTGCAGTGCCTTCATTCACTTTGCTCATCCCAAAGCGGATGGAGATACGCGCGCCGGCGGCCAATGGGTATGCCAACCTGTAAGAAATATACCTTCCTCCCGACTTGACGGAGGGGATGACAACTGACAAAGACGCAGTGCGGCTTCGACAATTACTCTTCTCGCACAAAGTGCAAACGCTGTGGCTCGTCGCCTCTATGTACGTACCACGCCATGCTGTCAACGTACAAAGCTCTCCGCGGCTGCTAACTTTACTCGTACTTGTAGCCTCTGCGATGCAAGTCAGCTTGATCCCCGCTGCTGACGCCGGCGATGCACCAACCCAGATCTTGGTAGTGTATCCTCTGATGGCCTACGTCACCGAGGAAATGTTCGCCGCGGACATGAAGCGTCTGGAGCTTGAGAAACCTGATCCAGCCAGCCAGAAGCTGGCGCCAGGCTCAAAGCTTCAGTCAACCGCTCCAGCCGATCGCGCTGCCCGGACAGGCGCACGTCCAGGGTCGCTCCACCGTGTCTTTCTGATGCGCGATTCCATTACGGACGAGTCGGTCAAATACGGCTTTGCTGAGTTTTGGACTCTGCAGGATGCCGTTGATGCCATGGCCAAGATCAAGCTGCTGCCATCCTTCAGCGTGGCCGCCTCTCCCGTCACCGTGGCTCATATCCATCTCGGGGTCTTTGTTCCAGAGGAACGCGCGATCACGCCCGAGATGGAGAAATTCTCCTTCAACCCATTGTTCAACCCGACTCTCCGCGTCCGATATCGCGATCTGCGAGTCTATCCTAACCAGAAGGTCCTGGCGCCTGAGCCTCCGGGAAGTGCCAGCGCAGGCGGAGAGCAAAAGGGCAGCGATCAGGGCGGCAACAACAACAAGAAACAGAAGAAGAGAAAGGCAGACGATCCCTTGCCTGCTGCTGCGAAAAAGGCAGTTCCTGCAATGGCTGGCCACATGGCCCTGTGGCAGAAGAAGCACGAAGAGATTCACACCAATGAGTCGGGCGCGACAGCTGCTAAGCAGCTGCCAGCTAAAGATTCAAAGGCGAAGGAAGCGCCCATCAAGTTTGCGTTTCCCGGGGCATCTGCGCATGCCTCAGGCTCTCAAGCAAACTCAACATCACCTCCATCTCAATCAGCTAAGCCAGCGCAACCAACGAAACCAGCACCCCCTGCGCCCTCTTCTGCACCTCCACCACCACCCCCTCCAGAGAAGCAAAACGGCGACACGATGCCTGCAGCCGAGCCTGACAGGCAACCGAAAGACGAGAAGCCAATCACTCCATATGCCGACCGAGAAAAGCTGCAATGCCTTCTTTGCATGCGCAAGTTCACGTCCCTTGACGAGCTAGGTCGTCATGAAAACTCGCGACTTCATAGGGAGACGCTTCAAGATGAGCAGTCCGTCAAGAGCGCGCTCCAGAGATTAAGCAAACGAGGCATCCCCCTGCCGACACAACCCGGAGGCGGTGACGACGCCTCCAACGCCGCGGCACCTCAATATCGCGACAGAGCCAAGGAACGCCGCGAGCAGTGGAACCAGCCAAAGAAGCCACTCCCCAGCGCCGCAGACAAGAGCGCTCCGGGGCCTCAGAAGAAGGACCAGGCCAAGCCCCCAGCGCAAGAAAAAGCCCCGGCGCCGTCAAAGGGCGCAGGCATGCTCGCCAAGATGGGCTGGACGTCTGGCAGCGGCCTGGGAGCGAATGCCGAGGGGCGCACCGAGAGCATCGTCACCCACGTGTACCGGCAGGGCGTAGGGTTGGGCGCTGAAGGCGCAGACTTGGGCAACGCGCAGGCGCTGGGCGAGAGCAGGACGGTCAACAGCCGCAAGGACTATGTCGATGCCGTCAACGAGCGGGCGAGGGAGCGCTTTTTGAAGGAGTTTGGAGACAAGAAGGACGGCCAGCAGAATGGGGAGGACAAGGACAAGAACAATGATTCGAGGGGGGCGTGAGGTTGCTCGGTCGGCGGTGATTTGACACTAGAGGCGGATGTGCTTGCTGCAACGTGCAGCGCGGCGTTGAGGAGACTCGAACAAAGACATCTTTGCGACCTCGTCCACGGCGGCTGTCGCTTTTCTTCCAAGGATCTGTCTGCATCTCAGACTATCTGGAGAGTCTATGCCAAAACGCGAAATAGCAGCTGCTATCTATACTTCTTTAATCCTTGACTATGCCAGTATATTTGACCTTGTATATCTGAATCATAGACCTTGTATGTTCCCATGCATGTCCCCTAGATAAATTTGTTGCTCTACATGGTATCTCGTCTTCATAAAATCGCCATAAATTGTCAACCCAAACGTTATCTCTCGTTTCGTTAAAGAAAAGAAAAAAAAAGCAGCCATCCATCTCGAGAAAATTAATGCAGCACAATCTAGAAAGCTTGTCCTCTATAGTACACTCATCATCATGGAAACGGCCGTGAACAAGGTGCCGGCCAGAGCAATAGAAAATGTAGGATGAAGAGCAGCACCGGCAGAATCTAATTGAGCGTCAGAATTGCAAGAATCTAAGAAGTCATCGGAGCTGGTCGAATTACCTTCATCTGAATCGTCCGACGAATCGTCAGAGTCGTCGCCCGTGGAAGCAGGGCCGGGAATGGTCTTGGAGCCCGCCTTGAACTCGACAATGGTGCTGCTGGTCGAGTTGAGCGTCGCCTGGGCAATGCCAATCTGCTTGTTCTGCAGGTCGTAGACGACATAGGCGGACCGCAAGAAGGTGTCGCCCAGCAGGACAAACTCGTCAGACTGGATGCCAAAGGTCTTGGTCGAGCCCATGCCAAAGGTGCACACTCCGCTCCAACCCTTGAAAAACTTGCTCAAGGAGGGATCCGACATAATCTCGTCTGAAGCCGCGGCGAGGTTGTTCAAGACCATTTCGTCAATGGGCACCTTGATCGTCTTGCCGTCGAATTTGAAGTTGAAGGTGGCATCCTTGATGTTTGCTTTGGCGCAGTCGATAAAAGGAACGGGGAGTCCCTGAATGTTGAGGACGTCGTACTCGTCAAAAAGTTCCTGCACGACAGCATCTGGGAGGAGGGTGATTGTTGAGCCAGAGTCGAGAACGGCTTTGGCGCTGACGTCGGGCGTATCAACGTCAGACGCCGAGAAGCCATCAAGGTTAACACTGTACATGACAATATCCTGGGTCTCGGCAATGGACGGCGGCAGCGACTGAAGGGGCAGAGTGGCAAGGCCGCCGTGGAACTTGTCGGTATCGACACCACCAAAGAGGAGGATGCCCTGGCTAGTTTGCAGGTCGTTGAGGTAGAGACTGAATGCCGGAACAGGAATGACCTTTTGAGACACCAGGTTATCGATGACGGTGGGATACTTGGTGTCGGCTGCCTCGTTTTCCCGGAATCCCAAGCCCAGGATGCCTGTGCCGCGGACTGACTGCAGGGCTAGGCCAATCTTCTGGCCCGTGATGTTCGCCTGGTTGATGGTGACGGTATCCGTGAAGTAGTTGCCTCGTATCCTGCGGCCGTCAAGGTAGGTGATGTCGAAGACTTCAGTGCTCGCCTTATAGGAACTACTCCTCCTTGGGTTGACTACAATGACAGAGGACATTAGCTGCGCGACCACAGGCAATAGAAGTAATGAAAAGATGCGGCCTACACTGTCTGAAACAGTATTCTCCAACAGTCTGCTGAGTGAACTCGTCTGTGCAGAGGTCCGCAGTGACGGAGTTGACCCAGGTATCACTGCTGCCGGTATCGAGAAGGAAACTCAGCTTCTGAGGCGGCGTGCCAACGCTGAATTGGGCATAGTAGCCACCTCCAGTGAGGTTATTGATGGCGTCAAGGCTCACGCTGCCATCGCGACGCAGCAGTGACGGGGCAAAGTCGGGGTTGAGGTTGCGCTTCTCAAAGGGGACGGTAACGACGCCTGCAGAAACTGTGGCAGCGGCGAAGAGGCCGGCCAGCGAGACGTACTGAACGAAACGCATTGTGGATGAAGATGGGGGTAAATTTAGAATAGGACAAGCCCAACGTTGTGATGGCGGCTTGAGAATATGCCCAAGCACCCAGAGCAGGCTATGAACACGCCGTCGTCAGCTGCCGTGGTGAAGGAGGCTCAAGTCGCGACCAGACAAAGAGACGACACGGGAAATCCATTGGGGCTGCTCCAGCATTTAAGCATAGATTTAGAACAACTGCGGCGACTGCCTGAAGGAGCTGAACGACCATCATCTCACTGCCCGTCGCCTCATCCCTGCCACTGCATGCGGCTAAGACGACTTGGGGTTGGGGAGCCATGCCTGGAGACCCAGCAGCCAGCAACCCTGTCCTGCTTGTCCATCCATTCGGGGTGACACACACACACACGAAGAGGCGGACCCATGAGCCTATTTGATCTGTGCCATGCGAGGACAGCAGAGCGTCAATGGGTGAGAGACATGGGACACAGGGCCCTTGTGGGATCGGACCCAGGCATCAGAGGCATTAGAAAGCGTAGTAGCTCTGTGTGTTCATGCTTCGATCTTGAGGACTGGCGGGGCCACGCGGGAACCAATGTTTGCCGTAGACCATGTGGATGCACGTTGGGCAGCCTCCCTCTGAGAGCATCGATGGAGTTTGCCTGCTGGGTTGCTGCTGCCGTCAGCGTGAATCGCGGCTGTCAGGGTGATGAGAAGCACGTCGGCCGCGGCTTGGCTCGTGGCTCGATGGATGGAGCAGCGTCGCATGGTTTCCATCCTTGGGGCGCTTTTGAATCCTTCTGGAGCTGAAGCGCCACCCGTCGTCCATCGTCCATCTAGAGGCGGCCTACCTATGTAACAGTAATAGTGTGGCATAATTTGCAAAAGAGCCAATTGGACACGAACCGCCTGGCGCTTCTTGGCTTAGGGTCTGCTTCGCTGCGCCACGACCCCGGGCCAAGCAAGCCAAGCCAGGAACAATCTTCCCTTTCCTGGCCGTTGACGGTGAGTCAGTGCGTTGTTGCTTCGAGCTTGTGTGTGTTGGTGATGTTGGTTCCGCGCCATCTCCAGTGCGGGTATCTGCCGATTGCTGAAGAAATGGAGCAATTTTGACAACCAACGATGGAGAACAAGAGGGAACTCCATACAAGTACGTACAAGTACGTACAAGTACTGTCCAAGAGTTTGACAGCGTCGGATGAGGCAAATGCCAGGGCTGGATGAAGAGGAGATGAAGAGGAGACGAAGAAACCGTTTGGTGTTGTGATTGCTCTTGCCCCTACCTTACTGAAAGATGTTGTCGGTATCGGAATGCAGCATTCCGTACCTTCCCAACTTCCAGGAGCACACAACGTGCTGTCGGTACGTACACAAGGTACCTAAGGTACTTTGTGCACAGACATCGCGAAGTGAATTTTATGCCTCTTCATGTCACTCCTGCTTGTTGATGATTGAGGCTGATTGTTCACGTGGCAAGTAAAACAACACACAAGTACTATCCCTTTAGTAAAGGTCGGTTGCTATTTTTGAGCAGGTGGACTGCTGCTTGGCTCTGCCAACGGATTGGCGCTTGTGCAGAAGGAGCGTGGCTGCGGCTGAAAATCTGCCTTGTGTGCGTTCAGTATTAGGTACCTAGGTAGGGAGGAGGACGACGACGAAACTATTATATGCAGGCTCTTGTTTATTACTGGAGGCTGATGGGCAGGGTAGGATGATTTAAGCGAAAAGTGATTGATACTGCGAGTTGGCTACTGGGTAAAAGCAGGCCTTTGTTACTAAAGTACCTATATGTATGTCGCGGATGAGATTCATAAATGCTGCTACATCTCGGTTGACATCGCCTTGGATAAGTCAAGGTATGTCATGGTCTGCCATCATCACCGCCAGCATCATTAGTATGTGGATCTACAGATATATCCGGTGCGTCTACGGATGCCTCTCGAATAGCGTAAATGCCCATCAGGGAGTCGTATGAGAGGGTTTGTTAGGATGATGATAGAATGGTCTTCTCCTGTTTCACACATGACCGGCAACTGTGGTAAACTCGAACAGCAACTGATGAATTCCAAACTATCGCATCCGCTATACAATCTATAAGTCTATGTCGGCCAAATTGCGTGCCGTCTTCGTTTAACAAGTCAACGCCATGCCTAAGCAATATATCTTGTCTCAATCACAGCTTGGCCCCCCTTTCCGTCTCGTCCTGCTGCAGCCTCACCACGCCCTATATCCAACCTCGTCAGTCAATCATCCCCCCTATCAAAAGACCAAAACAAAAAAAAAAAAAAAAAAGACCGAGGGGGGGTTGAAAGGGAAATAATACTCACCTCCTGCATACAACTCGCCAACAAGGTCCCGTCCTGCGCATAAATCCTCTGCATCACCACTCCCCTCCCATCCCCGCTCCACGGACTCTCCATCTCCGAAAACATCCACTCGTCCGCCCTCACCCTCTTGGGCTCGTGGAAGTAGATGCTGTGGTCCAGGCTCACCATCATGCCCATCCGCGGCCTGTCCACCCAGTCCTCCAGCCGGCCGCCCATGCCCTCGAACTCGAGGAACTCGCGCACCCGCTTCAGCTCCGCCTCGGGCAGCGCGGCCACCTCCTCGGGCGTCTTGGCCAGCCGCCACAGCCGGTGAATCCGCGCCACCGTCCCGACAAAGTACTTGTCCGAGATGTACGCCAGCGCGTTCAGGTGCGCCTGGTGACCCCCCGAGGCCGAGATCTTACCCTTGCAGCGGTGCCACTGCCTCGCCCTCATCTGGTCCGGCCGCGCGTCCGGATCCCGCACCCGCAGCATCTCGATCCGCCGGCTCAGGAACGGGTCCCCCTTCTGCCCGCCGTCACTGGCAGCGACGGCCTCGTCCGCGTCCCAGCTCGCGTCCGGCATCTCCACGCCCTCGGGCAGCGCCGCCGCGTGCCGGATCTGCTTGGCCCCGCCGCTGCCCTCGCGCACGAAGCTGACCGTCGTCGTGAAGATGCACTTGCCCCTCTGCCGCGCCTGCACCGTGCGCGTCGCAAAGGACCGCCCGTCGCGCACCCGCTCGACGTGGTACATGATGGGGATCGTCGCCGAGCCCGCCAGCAAGAAGTAGCAGTGGCACGAGTGCACCAAAAAGTCGTCGCGCACCGTCATCTGCGCCGCGGCAAGGCTCTGCGCGATGACGGCGCCTCCGTAGACGCCGCGCGCGCCTTGGGGGAGCCACAGCGGGCGCGTGTTGGTGAAGATGTCCTGGCGGTGGATTCGATGTCAGCTGGTGTTTTCCATATCGTGATGGCTTCAATGTAGATCCTCTGGAAGGGTAAAGAAGTAGTATTCCAGGTTGTCTGCTTACCTCGCCCAGCACCGCCAGCGGCGTCACCTCGACCGTGTGCTCAATGGGCGCCTTGTTCGGATCCGGCTCTGGAGGCCGAAGCAGCGTCGTCCGCTTGTCCAGCACCTTTTCCGTGCCCTCCACCTTGGCTTCTGTATCGCGGCCGCCCATTTTCGTTGTGGTCCTCTCTCTGTTGCTTCAACTCGACGCTAATGTTCCTCTTTTTTCACAGCCGATTACCCACAAACACTTGTTGGCGACTCCCAAAACAAATTTGAGAAGAGTAAGAAAATGAAGGGGGATAAGTCAGGAAAAGAGAATGAAAGGAAATGGAAAGGAAATCAATCGGGCGTCCCAGAATCGAGTCAAGCACACGCCAAATCAGGGGTCTCACTTGACGTAAGTGTACTTGGGAAAGGCTCAGAAATGCCTCGGCTCAGCCCTGCCGAAGCTAAATCCACCCAGGTCCCTACTAGTAATCAGCTCGCGGCACTCGAAATGAGAATCACGATTCCATTCGATGCATTCATTGCACGGGACGGATTGATTTCCACATGTCATCGATAAGACGGCTAATTCAAGCCACTAAGATGGCACTCTTCGATGGAATCTTACCCGCTCGTCTTGTTTTTGCTTGCTTACCTTAATATGCTAACATGGTGGTGAGGAAAATTGGTCTGTTCCTGACCCGATCACGATAAGGTACGTCAGGCGCACCACTTTATCGTGCTACTGGAGCATCAGCACTCTGAATTGCCGAGGCTTGCCTCCATTCTTTTTTTCCTTTGACGGCCCGCATCTCGATGCACGCCAATAAAAGGGGCCCAAACCCGTAATCACATTCTCATGAATGGTCTCACTACTTATCATGAGATCAGAATCGAATAGCAATTCGATGCACATTTGCTAGACCCGACGTGTCTGTTGACCCTCAAAGGACAAATCATACCCTGGACTTGCATGTGAAAGACGACGTCACAGTCAGCAACTCGCCCGTTCCACTGCCTGCCTGTTCGTCCATCTCAAAACCTCCTGAACATTACCTCCACTGACTGCATATGCAGAGGTTGAGTTAACAGTTGAATGTACAGAAGAGGTATATAGTACTGTCAATACAGTTTGTCGAAATAGTACTAATATTGCATACGAGCTAACTCCCCATATCCTTCCATCTTGCCTCTTGTCTTCATCTCTCAATGAGTATCGAACAAGACTCCAGCAATACACCCATCTCAACATCTCAGATCTAGTGCAAAACAGATACAATTACATTTTGTCCTCTTCCATCCCCGACTTCTTCGTCTTTGACCAACAAAACTCACACGTCACTCACGAGTTCTCAGAAGGTACATCTTCAAATATAGGCTCCAGCCCTTGCCATGCTGCTGCATAATCGCCCTCGGGTCCGGCCTTTTCTCGCTGCGTCCAGTACTTGCCATTAAATTGCCAGTACTCCTCGCCCGTAATTTCGCACCTCGCCTTGGTGAACCACGCGGGGACAAACTCTTCCCCGGCACTCTCGCGCGCTCGGCGTCGGGCCCGCTGGTTCTCCTCCAGCCGGTTCTTCTCGCTTGCCGCAAAGTCGTATTCGCCCTCTTCCATGGCCCGCTGGTCAGGCCGCAGACGTGAATCGGTGGGCGCAATCCATGCCCTCAAGTTGTCGTCAATGTGGTTGAACGTCAGCACGAACGGCGTCAGGTTGAAGGGGATGCCCGCTGGTCGCTCGTTGGCTTGCCAGATCAAATACGCTCGGTTGGGGTCCGCGATGCTGCCTCGGTGAACAATGTCCTTGTTCTTGGTAGAGGGCTCGTCAACGGCAGCCTCGTAGCCGGGTGTCAGGCGGGCATAGAGTCTTGAGTTCCACCGCCCGCCGAGGCTGACCCGCACCTGGCCCGAGGCATCCACAATCTTGCCGACGATCTGATACGCACTCGAGGCCTTCCAACCACGGGCCTTGAACTCAACGTGGGCCACTTCTCCCGTCGTCCAGTTCTTGATCTCCATGGGGCCGTAGTTGTCCACCGTGGGGTTGCCAGTGATGATGCCAATGACCGAGGACGTCACCTTCTTCCATGTGTACAGTTCCTCCTTGCCACCAGCGGTAGGCCGGAGCCTGAGGAACCACGTGCCAAGGGGGTTGATGTCAAACGACTTGCCGTAGAACTTGGACTTGACATGCGATTCGCCCCAGTACGTCCAGTTGGGCGACTCAGCCCACGCGGCGCCAATCGGCGGGTGGTGGCTGACTTGCTCAATGAAGAAGCGGTAGTTCTTGTCTGGGCGAACGTACTCAAACGTTTCGCCGAGCAGCGGGTTGAACGGCTTGGCCACGCGGCCAATCGTGGACGCGTACTCGCTAGCAGCGAACGCCGCCACGTACATGAGTCTCTCGATTGAGTCTGAGCGTTCGGCTGCGAGATCGAGAAGGTCCGCGTATTCCATGTCCTCACCGCAACGGTAAAGCAGAGAGGTCGGCTCATTGAACGACACCGGCAGCGTCATCCTTGTCATGTCCTTGCCAATCATCGACTTGAGGATGCCCTGTCGCTAGTTGTCAGCTCATGTGCGCACACTTCGATCAGCGTCAGACGAGAAAATATGCAACCTACCCAGAGGGAAATCTTTGGCCGATCATCATTCTCGATCTTGAGCTTGTGACGAATGCCGTTTTCATATCCCTTGAAGGAGCTACTGATGTCGATGCCCGAGACGACCACGTCCTTCTTGTCCTGCTTGGTGTCGCTGGGAGGGAGCTCCGTCACTTCGACGTCGCCGGAGTCTATCGCATCGAAGAACTCGTCTTCCACGCCGGACTCGCTGTCGGACAACTCGGCCATCTGCGCGAGGGCCGTCTGCTTCCGAGCCAGCGTCCGGCTCGTTGCCTTGACAATGGCCGCGGCCTCCTCGACCTCTTCCTGAACCTTCTCCATCGTCGGCGTGACGCTAGCAGACGGCAAGCCGCCGCCTTCCATGACCTCGCGCAGCGCCTTCTTCGCCAGCTTGCGCTTCATCTCTGATTCACCGACGCGAGCCTCGAGGATTTCCTGCTCACGAGCCACCTGCGCCATGCTCTCCTCCCACATCCGTCGCATGTTCGACTCGCGATCCAGCCGGTACTGCCAATATGCGTCACGGTCTTTGGAGATCCGGAGCAGGTCGCCAACAAGGCCCGTCAAGCTCCGGATGGCAGCGTCATATGTGGAGAGTGCCTGTGCCACCTTTGTATCCGACAGCGCTGTGGCAGGACTGCGAGAAAGCTCTCCCATGAGCGCCGAGTGCACGCTTGCCATGGTTTCGAGTTGCAGTTTCGCTGATTGCGCCGTGATGTTGAGGGCGTCCTTGGTTGCCTGGGGCTCCTCGCGGCCACTCGTCTCCTCGCCATAGTCGTCTTCGTCGTCTCCGTCTCCAGCTGTGGTTCCTGGGCCAGCAACGTGCTCGTGGCTATGTATGGCCTCGGCCTCTGTGTAAGTATCCACAAAATCCTCCTCTTCTACACTGCCTATGCTCGTTGCGGTCATGTCTGACTTTTTAACCGATAGGATGGGTCGCGCCTGCAACTGCGTGCTGATCCGCCTCAGATCCGTCGTGCTTGTGTTCTCGCTGTGGGACTCCTGGAGGGAGAGTGCGCCGCTCTGATCGGCTTTGGCGATTCGAAGAAGCTCCGCGTTGCGAGCCGCTTGGCGCTCTTCCTCCCTGGCTTGATCTTTGGTCCACTGGATGGAGTTGTTGAGGGCCCAGAACCACCGCTTGGCCTCCACCTCGTGGTTTGCCTTGAGCGTATACTTCACAGACGATTTGCCGATGATTTCGAACTTTGTCTTTTCATCCGGGCTCATGTGAAGCTGGGCAATCTTCATGTTGATGGCCCCGCGACATGCCGAGCCGGCATCATCTTGGTGCTTGTAGTAGCTGAGCACACCGTCCTCGAGCACGAACCAGCGCAACTGGTATCCCTTGCGATAGTTGGTCCATTTCTTCAAGTAGCCCTTCATCTCGCGGGCCTCGCGGCCTGCCAAGGGATCGATAGGCCCTCCAGCAGAAACGCTCTGCGAGGCCGCATGTCCCAAGACTGCCTTCTCTTGGATACCCCTCTGCGCCGCCACAGCAGCTGGCGACTTCTTCAGGATGGCCTTGACATTGTCGTCATTCGTGATTGACTGGGGCAGTTTGCCTCTGCGATCGCGACGGAAGGGATCGGCGCCGTGTAGCAGAAGCACTTGGATGAGCTGAATGTTCTTCTTCTTGGCCGCTTCGTGAAGCAGCGTGCCGCCGGCTTGCGCAACAACCGGGTCGCATACAAACTCGGTGCTATTAATGTCCAGCATCGTCTTAAGCCGCTGCTCCTCCAGCACTTGAGCAAGGGTATCATAGTCGTTCTTGGCAATGAGGTCCTGAATCTGCTGCACTTTGGCGTCCGTGAAGAGAGAGCGCGAAAGCTGGAGCAGCTGGAAAATTTCGGGGGTTCGCGCCAGGTCGATGGGGAGCTTCCCTTGGTTGTTCGCGATGGCATCGTTGATGTCCTTTTGCTCCAGCAGCAGCTTGACTGCCTGGGTCCGGCCGTGCATGGCGGCGATGTGCAGCGGGGTATTGCCATCCTTGTCTCGAGAGTTGACGTCGAGGCTGCCAAGGCCGTCCGAGAGAACATATTCAATGACGGGGAACTCGGCACACTGCATGGCCAGGTGAAGAATGGTGGTGTCCTCCAGTGCGCCGCCAGCACTGGCCCCGCCAAGGGACGAGATGCTCGCACGTGGGACGCCGTCGGCCGTCTCCCGAATGGCCTTTGAGATGGACGCCGTGTCCCCGCTCCTCAGGGCCTCGACAACCCTGAACTTGCGCACCGACTGCTCAAGGCTGCCGGTCTTGACATCTGACGTAGGGGAGGATTTCACGCTCGCGGCAGCCTGGTTGTTGGACGGCGTCCTGCTCAGGATGGCCGACGGCGTCGAGAGTCGCGAGCTGTGGCTGCGGGCAGCGGATGTCGCAGCCTTCGGGGGAGATGCATGACTCCCCGTGGCCGAGAGTCGGCCGTCTTCGGATCCGGATTCGTCATCGCGAGTGTCTTTTCGGCGCAGCAGCGACAGCGCGGCGGCGGACTTGGACCGCTTGTGGTTGTTGCTGTAGCCACATCGCGAGTTAGCCACCTCACGCCCATCTTATCAATCGAATTGTGGACAGCGCAGCGCAGCCCCCAAGACAAGATTGAAGAAAGGAACACGGCGCGGGGGTGGAGGACGGGACTTTGGAAACATCAAGCTGCCGCAGACAGCCGAACGATGCAAAGCTTTGAAATCCGAGCATAACTAACGTACCTCTCGCCCACGTCCGACATGCTGGGCTACATGCAATTTGTCTCGCTCGGGTTTCGCTTCGGGGGTTCGTGGTTCGTGAGGTCGTTCGATTTGCGAGGTGCAGGCTGAAGGCAGCCCCCAGCCGCCAACGCAGAGTCGCTGGTCCAGGCAGGCGATAACGGCGGCTAGAAAAGGGGCTCGGTATCGATTTCTGTGACTGCAAAGAGCGCGTCTCCAGCACAGGACTGCATGCGAATTGAAGGAGCAAAGTCTAGGAGCGAGGCAGCGTGGAGATTGGGGTGGAGAGAGAAAGTGGCATTTGAGAGATGATGCTGCAGGGGTGGCTGAGTTCGCAAGTTCCCGTCGACTCCAGCGTTCAGGGCGTCTCAGCGTGCTGTTACAGGCTGTCCATCGCTAGTGACAACCACTAACAGCACTGCAGAAAGCAGCTGGAGCACATTGAGAGCGAACAAAGAGCCTAGAGCGCTAAGGCCGGGCTGGTCTGGTGCCAAGTTCACATAAGGTCGTGACACAAACGAGGTGCTGGCCTTGAAATGACGTTTTTTTCGCTCCAAACGAACTAGCGGGACTGCAGCAGGTGGGTGTGCTTAGTCATGTGCCATGGTTCGCGAGGGGATGCGCCCCATCAGCTTCCTTTCATAATTGGATGCAACGAATCAAGCAATGCATGTCTCTTTGTTTCGATTATCAGGCTGTTGGCCCTCCAATTCCAGCGCCTAGGTAATTGATTGATCACATCCTTGTTTTGCCTCGAGAATTGCCACGGAACGATGACGCATGCAAGTACACTCGACTCCAGAGGGCATCGACGGCGATAGTCTGAATGCCACTACGGCCTCTTACACGCTTTTCGGCGTTTAGCTACATGTACCTATCTCAAGAGCCTAAACTCAGTATCCTACCCTGCTACCCTAGAAGAAAGCCTTTGAATCTTGCTTCAACATTGACAGAGACTTGCATAGGATTGTTCAAAGTCAATGTGCGATTACAACTTCGTGTCAATTAAGCAGTATTGAACGCCCATCAGATCTGCATGAACCCGTCAAATGTTCAGTAATTGGGATTACAGCATATGTTGACCCTAGATGAAGATGGTTTAGCATGTGGCTTCATGTTCATGAGGGTTCAAGCAAGAGACAAGTCGTAGAAACTTCATATAGATCCAAATCACCTCAATGGCGTGCCTTACGTCTCTTGAAAAAAAGCTCAGTCGCAACCACTCGAACAAACCACAACAGGTAAAACACCGAAGCAAATGGACTCCCCTCTCACTTCAGCTTCCATGCTTCCCATCGACGTTCTCGCCCCGTATCCAGCTGAGATTATCATGTCCATCATAGATTACCTCCCTACAGATCTGATCTACTTTCGCTTCGTCGTCGAACCCAGAAGCACTGACGAAGCGTACATAGAGCACCGGCAGCGACTGAGAGACATTGCCATCTCACATAACGTCAAGTTTGACAACATGTCCATCCTGAACCTCGCCATCATGGTCAACGACACAGAAACTGTAGTACTCGTACTTGAAGAGGCTGCAGAAACCGCCGAACGATCACCAATAAGAGACACCGTGATTCAAGACGCAACTCGCCCGCTATGGACAAAATGGTTCTCATGGGCGATAGGTAAGAACCGTCTCGAGATCGCCAGACGAATGCTGCGCGTGGCCGGTATACCAAGCTACCTCAACCAAGAAGACAGATATCTGGACAAATTGCTTCTCTTGGCCATAGAGAGATGTAGAGGAGCGGACATGGCGACGCTCCTGCTCGAGCATGGTGCAGACCCGGAGTTTTGTGAGAACGGCGATACACCTCTTCATCTTGCCGCGGGGGAAGGCAACAAGGAGGTCGTCAAAACTCTGATTCTGGAGTACAATGCTGATGAAAATTACAGAGGAGCAGGATTCCGCTCATGGAGGCGACCAGTCACAGGGACATGGACACAATCAAGCTCTTCCTCCAGTCGCCGCGCCTCATCCTCAACCAGCGGGATTACTGGGGTGAAATCGCTCTTCACAAGATCATCTCAAAAGGAAGGCCTGATATTGCAGAGCTGATGCTCACTTGGAATGGCATCGAAACCGATCAGCGGGTTTTCAAGGGACACACGCCGCTGATGGTGTGTCTCCTCAACATGGCCGGGACCGCCGATATGAGTCCCTACCTCTCCCTGTTCAAGAAGCTGCTGATGCGCGAGGGCATTGATGTGGAGAGTTTTCAGCGAGATCATGCGACCATTGTATCGGAGCGTCTTTGAGGATGGGCAGCCCGACTTTCTGCTGGAATTGATGGGACAGATGCGTTTCGATATTCGTTACTGATGATTGGTTGCAGGTTCCCCCCCCTGTGATTATAGGCGAAGCCATGTGCATGACAGTACGTCGCCGGGAAGTGAGAGTATCCGGATCTGGTGTCCCTCGCTCTCTACAGGACGTTTCGCAGGCGGAATATTCGGAGGAGATGAAGGCGTCTACCGATGCCTTATATGCACCCGGCTGGAATATATCTTTTGCACGTTTAGCTGAGGAGATCGAGACGCCCAATCCCAGGTATCTGAAAAGTAGGTCGTCAATACGACAGTGACGTTTCATGTTGCTTTCACTACTACCTTAAGTATTACACACATGGCCACGCGTCCGCTCTAACAACTATGTAAGCTCCTTAATGCTTTGAGTTTACCTCGACGCCGTGTGGCGCTAGAATTCCCATCATTTCATTCCAGATCTTTGCCTGAAGCTTCTTTCCCTTCTCATTCGTCACTAATATGCCTGGTCTGTAAACAGCACACCATGTCAGCCCAATAGTTCGCAACAGCATCCCCGAGAAGGGCAAGGCAAAAGGGGCTTCTCACTCTGCAATCTTGTTCTTGTGATACCACAGCCCGTGACTCTCCGGACCAAGTCCACTCGCAACGACAAGCGTCCGCGAGCCTTCCTCCGTCGTCTTGCAGATCGTCGCCTGGATAAGAGCAAACCCGAGCCGCTGGCCCGCAGAAGTCGACTCCCGACCGAGATCCGACTTACACGCTCCTGGGCATGAATAATTCACCACCACGTCTGGTTCGCCATTAGGCGAGAGGGCAAGCTTCGCAATTTCGCGAACTGCGTAAATGAGGACCAGTTTGGAAACACAGTATCTGTTGGCCACCCCCCCAAAGTTTTCCTTCTTGTTCAGTGCTTCTAGGCAATTTGGGGCGTCCTGCCAGGGCTCGCCATCCGGAACCCTTTGGTGTCCTCTCGAAGCAACGATACTTAGGCATGGCTTCCAGTCTGGCCGTGACGATTGCCGCATTTTTGGAAGAAGCAGTAGCGCTAAGAGCGTCGTCGCCAAAGCATTGACTTGCAACGTCTCTTCCCAGCCGTCCTTTGTCAATCCAAACTGAGCTTTGTCGACGGCGGCATTAAGCAGGGCAATGTCGATTGCTGAAAGTTCAGTTGTTGCTCGGTCTGCAAAGGCCTTGACTGACTCAAAGGATGCCAGGTCAATAAGCCAGACGTCAACTGTACATGCTTCGGCTTGTTCCGGCTTGAGACTGGACATGATGTTTTGCCTGGCCGCCTCGCCCTTGCTCTTGGACCGAACTCCCAGAATCACTCGAGATGCCCCCAGACGGACATAGTGACGGGCTGCTTCGAGGCCAAGACCTCCACTGGCGCCAATGACGATGACGGTTTTGCCGGGAATGGGGAGCTTGTCAAGGGTTTCCAAATTGGGGGCTGACCAGCGGTTTGTCAAGAAACCGCAGAGGACCTGTGCTGTACTTATTAAAGCTGCAATTACCCAGCCCGTGGGTCCTATAGGCCGCCTAATAGGCAGGCGCAACCTATATAGGCTGCTTAATTAGCCTAAGGATAAAAATAGGCCGCCTAAAGATAAGCTATAATAAAATTAAGCTGCTTATAAGCAGCCTAGAAGAGGAAGAGATATATTTAGGTACTTAATAAGCACTAGCTGCTTATAAAGTGTATTAATTATATATAATAATTATAAATACTGCTAAACTACTATTATAAGTATTAAAAAAAAAAAAAAATAATTACTTAAGTATAGTTTACTATCTTTCTTTTTTAATGCCTAAATCTTATAGTTATTATAAATTAAATCTAATTTAAATTATTAAAAAGTATATACTTTAAAATAATAATTTATAAAAGTAATTATAAAAAATAAATATCCTTTAATATAATAGTAATATATTAAGTATAAATAGTATAAAAATTAATTACTAAAAGAATATTAATATAAGGTAATAATATAAAATAAATATTATACTTTAAAAAAGTTTAGTTAAAAGTATTTTTATAGCCTTTTATAAAGTGCTAAAAGTATTAAAATATATTTTAAAGTGCTTATAAAGACTAGCTTTATAAATAGTATTTTTAATAAGGTATATAAATAGCGCTTTAAGTAAAAGAAATTAAGTAATTTACTAAAAGTAGTAAATTTTATAAAGTATAATAGCTATAAAGTATTAATATATAATAATTAATTATAATAATTAAAATATATACTACTAAGGCAATACTAATATTTAAACTATAAATAAAATAAAGTAAGGGCTTTATTAAAAAAGGTCTTTTTATTAGTATAGTATTTTTTTATAATATAAAGTATAGTAAATAGTATAATAATAATAATATTATTATTATTATTATTATTATTATTATTATTATTATTAGTAATAATAGTAATAATAACTTAAAAATAAAATAAAAAAAGTAAAAAAAAAGGATAAAAAATAAAATTTAAAATTATATATAAAATTAGCTATAATTTACTATTAAAAAAAGTAAGAATAAAGTAAATTAAAAATAAAATAAATATTAAATAAATAGTTAGATATAATCTTAATTTATTAAAAAGCTATTTAAAAAGGGAATTTATATATAAAATTATAATAACTTAAAAGAAAAAAGTAAGGTAAAAGTAAAATAAAACTTATATTTTATTTACTTTACTTTTAAAAAAATAAAGAATTATTTATTATTATTTAAGGTATTTTTTAAGTATTAACTTATATCTTTTTTTACTTTTTTTACTTTTTTTACTTTTTTTTTTTTTTTTTTTTTCTTTTTTTTTTTATTATAATTTTTTTATAAAGACTTATTACTAATAGCTTTATTACTTTTTTTCTCTCTTTTTTATAATAATAATATATTAGTAAGTATATATTACCTTTTTAGCTCTTTTTTATTTACTACTTTTTATAAATAAGTTATATTAATCCTTTATAATAATTAGTATTATAATAAAGCTAGTAAAGTATAGTTATAATTACTTACTAAGTAAAAATAAAAAATATAAGAATAATAAAGAATTTTTTAAAAATCTATATATAAAAAAAGCCTGCTAATGCCTTAATAATATAATAAAAATTAAGTAAGATTATAAATATAAAAAGCAGTTACTAGCCTAAGCTATTTAATAAGTAAAATTAAAGCTTTAAAAGACTCATATATAGCTAAATAGTAATATAAAAATAAAGTAATAACTTAAAAATAATTATATAAACTTATCATAATAAGGTGGGGATCCTCTAGAGTCACAAGCAGCAGGCAGCTGCCTGCCGTTCTCCTCTTTCCCCC